TCCAGGCCTGGTAGCTGATCAACCCGAGCCGGTTGACAGCTAACGGGTCGGCATATATCGTGTAAAAAGAAAGGCGATATACCATACCTTCTAAATAGCATTTATCCATGTCTAGGGGTACAACCGCAGATCTACGTATATTTCCGAGCGTTGGCAGGTGTCAAGGCACTCTGACATCGGCATAGATACTCGCTCGGAACGTCAAATGCCTCGGATAACCGGGTTGCAGCGCAGCCAGCTACCTGCTCCTAATGTGAGGTCGGCAACACCACCGTGGACCAAAAGTCTCATTAAGGTGGCTCCAAACTAGTGACCGGTGAAGTCTGCCAACCACTAGAATTAATTTGAACCAGCCCTGGTAAGGAGGTCTAGATGCAAGTGTGTGCATGTGTGCAGGGACCATGGATCCTTAGCCAACGCCATAACAGCCCAACTTGGCGGCATGCGTTCACGATCCCCCTCGTTCTGATGAATATATGCGAAATCTAGGCACAGGGCATCACAATGTCGTCTACCCTCTGAGCCTCACCACTCTCTGGCCGTGGATGTCATGCCGAAAAGAGGTGTCCTCTCCGACAGGCGTGCATACGCAACCCCAGACCGTAAGGCGGTTGGCACCTCAGCATGAGGGTCAGGTATGTTTTGTGCCGACTAGCGCACGTCGCAAGGGGGATACCGATTTAGTTTCCTTGCTGACGATCACCCGGGGAAAATCGGGTCCCAGCGCGGGGGCTTTACAGACTGCAGGATGGGGATCTGGGGTACTTGGGCGACGTCAATAATGCGTGTCTGTTATATTGGAGATTGCCTCAGCTTCTCTGGATCGTAGGGGCAGGGATATGACTTCGAGTCTCGGATGCCAAGGGGAATCCTCCAGGCAAAGGGGAATGGGCATCAAGCACAAAGTTTCAGCTAGAAGCTCTGAGGATGTCTGGTCTTAATCTCCTAGCATGTGGTATCTACTATGAGCGTGGAGCGCGAAGAACGGTATGTAGTGGCCGCACTGCACACAGCATTCTGTCCCGTCTCGATCGTTCCAGGAGTCTCCAAACTCAGACAAGCCATCATCAGTCTCCGAATCGTGCTCCAGCCTGCTTGACGCCTGCTCCTGGATGTGGTGGGGCTGAACTTCGTCGTACACCCTGAATTCCTTGAGCACATTGTCTTGCCTTTTGAACATCACCGAGATGTCGCGGCCACTGGCTGATGAGTCGTCGGTCCCGCTCAGAACCATATTCGCCGCGCATATATTGATCAAGCCAATATTCCACGTATCCCTTTCCGGGTTGAGCTTATAGAACATGGGTAGCAGGTATTCATCGACAAGTTTTTCAACCAATTCCTCTCGAGGACTTGACAGATTGAAGAGAAAGTTTGGAAGGGGTTGACTTCGGCTTGCACGCTTGAAGTCGTAGGGCTTACCCTCACTTACTGCGAAAAAGGGTCGAGTAGTCAAACGCAGGGTTTTGGGATGGGCTATCCATTTTTGAGAGCTCTGCGTGTCGGCATTCTCATCATTCTCCAAGAGATCAACATGCATCCTCCTGAGGAGGGAAGTCGACAGTGCCCTCAGCTCGCGTGTTATTTCGGACAAGGTCTTGATCCCACGATAGGTGTCTTCTATGCTGATCTGGGTAGGTATTGGGCTGGAAGACTTCACTTCCGTATCGTCCACACCATGAAGCAAACCCCAGACTTTGTCAGCGGTGCCCTTCTGAGAGCCCGGGCCTCCGAGGAGTTTATCCAGGAGTTGAGGTGACATGGTTGGGAAATTCAACGCTTGCTCGACCGACACAGCAGAGCCTTCCGTGTAAGTGTCTTTGTTGGCTTCCCTTCCGAGAATGTGACTCTCCAGGGTAAATGTGATTTTGCATCCTATGCCGGGAATTTGACGGAGGCCATGAGTGCCCATGAATGAGTATACATCAGCATCGCGCAGTGCAAGGAGAACCGTCTGGTTCCTTGGCTTGTTCTTGTTTCCGACAAGTTTGCTCAAGAGCTTGTTTGTTGATATGCCACATGCAGACGTGTACCCCTCCTCCTCGATCTTGAGGCGTAGATGCCTAGCAAGATGTGATGCAAGAAGAAGCCGCACGTATAGTTCGTTCTCGAGGAGATGATCCCCATGCCGAGTCCCGCTGACGCATCCAGCAATGTCTGAGGCGTCGAATAGAAATCCCTGCTCAGGATCTTCTTGTGAAAGGTAGAAGAAGGAGGTAGACAAAGAGTTGCGGTTCAGCAGAGGCACATTGTAAGCCACCAGATCGGTGACATCAAGGAATACCTCGTCTAAGCCGAGTCGCTCCACCTTCTTGTTCCAAGAATAGGCGGTAAGAAGATTGCACAGCTTCTTAGAGACGTCACGGAAGTCGGAGAGGTCCTCGCCGTCAGCCAAGATCAGATCTGGGCAAATTTTCTTCGCCTCAGAAATACCCATCAACTTCTTGACACCTCTTCTCCGAGCCTCATAATTGCATGTTGCCAAAATGGACTTCTGCTTGATGCCCAGTGGCAGCGACTTCAACGCAGGCTGCTGGTTCTCGATGACCTGGGCATAGAAACAGTCGTAATCCTTCGCAAAATGTTAGAACTCATGCGCGAAAGAGCCTACCTTACGGCTGGCGCCACAAGGTAATCTTATCAAACCTTACAAAATGTAGGACAATTCTGTCATCTCTCCTTCGTGGAGGCTTCCATTTGAAGCGGTCCATCATGTGCTCTCCTATTCCTTCTCTGTCGTGTCATCATGGCTTTAGCTATTATTTGATGAACTGCGCATCGCGATTACGTGGAGAAAGTCGTAATACGTCGATGTTCCGTTGAATATTTTTGGTGGTGTTGCCTGCTTAGCCTGGTCAAGAAAGGGTTGAGCGCTGACTAAGATAGGAAAGGACCCTTGTGGGCTCAGGCTGAGTCGACTCCCCAAGTTAACGTTAAGGTGTATCCGCCACAAACTAAGTTGGCATATTGTACATGTCACGAAGATCATGCACATATTGCTTACAACCGCCAGATACGCCAGGTGTGTCGGCGACCTTCAAGTACTAACCTGCAGGCTACCTTATGAGGCACAAAATTATGAATACCTGCTAATCACATGACACACCAGAAATGGAAAGGTTGAGGGGAAAGAGAAGGATTGGTCTGGAAGATGTGCAATCTTTTCCAACCGATTAACCAACTACACGGTTCTTGCCATTAACGCTCCACGCCGATGCACAGGATTGATAACTGGCAACTTGTACAGCTATGGCTTTTGGATTCATTGCGGCTCTCTGAATCACGATCTGCTGGTGTTGACAAGATGCTCCGAAAGTTGATTTCTTGCCCGAGGATCCAGCACAGGTTGCACCCTTCAACTTTTAGTGCATGCAGGGGATTCATGTCGGCTCGAGATGGTTGCAGAAGTCTCGCATCCGGTCAACTGTCCGCAAGCGAGATGCAAACGACCTACCATACCTGGGTAGCTCTGCTGGGTTCTGTGGCTTATCATCTCACGCCCCAGACGCGTTCAGCGGCCGCAGTCTGAGCAGGCATTTCTCTTCCTTCACAGATGGGTCATCATCGCCACAGCCATGAAGATTACCGTGACAACGGCGATCCTGGTCATGGAAGAGATCAGATCCTCGTTCTAGTTTCCTTCCATCTTCAAGTTAGCCGCGGATTCACCGCCATCACCGCTGTTCTGTTGCTGGATCCCCCGTCCCGCTACCCCTCTCTGTGACAATAGTCCTTCCTTCGCCTAGGATGCCTCCGTCTTCGCGCGGCTTTTTGGTGGGTTGGACACGCATCTGATTGCGCCGCAGCGGGCGACATTGCAGGCAAATTAGACGCCATTGTGATATTGGGCACGTTGGCCGCATCTGCGTCTCGCAGCCAGGGGTCTGATTGGATGCTCCCACCGCCGCGACAAGGGTTCAGCGCTTGCGCCTGCACACGGGCTTGTCACTCCATGTCGATGTGCAGCCAACCACGCTGCGTGATCGTGTGCTGCCTGCGAGACTACCATCAGGACACATCCTCCATGGACCTGGCATCCTGGCTCTCCTGCCTCCCAGTTGCCCATCCGTGGTGATTTGGATCCTTCTCGGCTGCTCTAGCCTGCTTCTTTCCCCTCTCTCGAGTCGCGTCTAATGTGTGCCAACTGAGTGCAAGCCGCATTAGTCGTCCATCTTCGTTTTGGCGCCTCCCTCCCAGAAGTCTGGCACCCTTCCCTGGTTGTCCCCGTCCGATTGCCGCCCATTCCCCCATGTCCGCTCCCTCTTCATTAATTATATAGCCGCTGGTCTCCTCGTTTCTCTTACTGCCACCGTTTGATGAGCCTCCTGTTGTTTGAATGCGTTTTGTGTCTCCGTGTGTCCGCGTGTGGTGTCTAATCACTGTCAGAGGTGCATTGAACGTCTTCGTCTGCTGGGATCCAGACTGAAAGGCGTCTATGCTGCATACCTCCCCTCGGACACATACACACAATCGTCACTCCGTGTACGGTTTCTTCACTTCCTGGCCCAGTACATATCTTTTACGAGTATAATCTTTTCACCATGTCGGCTCATCAAAGCCCGCCTAAGAGGCCAAGGCTGTCTCTCCAAATTAAGGCGATATCGAACGGCCCAAGTGTCAGAACATCGCGGACTATTGCCGCTGCGGTTGATCCGAAATCTCCTACAGCCTTCAACACGCTCTCAAATGTCTACGTTACCGCCATAGATCGGGCCACGCCGGTTGAGCCCGTGACGGCCATCAACACGAGGCAGCCTCTGATGATTCAAACACAAGGCGTGACCAGAGAGCAACACATGCAGACTCCTTACGCAGTATCTTATCCAGAAACGCCCCTCACTGCTCAGCCTCTCTCTCCAGCCGTAGCCGCGGAAGTCTTCTTTCCCAGCTCCATGACCATGACCGCCACGCCGCCTCTCTCGGCCGGCCCAATGGATCCGAAATCACCAGCCGTGTTTTCGTTCTCGGCCGAGGACACATCGCTTCAGCCTCCTGCCCCAATGTCGGCAGTATCTCCCCGCGCAGTCAGGCAACGACTCGCACTGCCGCTTAACGCAATTGGCGGGAAGGTGCCTTATGTTCATCCACGAGCGCTTCATAGCATCCTGCGTAATTCACCTCTTCCGCCGCCAACAGCAAAAACGCCCATATCACCCAGGAGGCAGTCTTTACGCTTACAGGAGAAGGCAGCTCGGCGGGTTGGTTACAATAGCCCTCTCACCCAGACCATCATTACCAACAAGTACACGAAGTCGCACATCGATTTGCTAGTGGAGGAGGTCTCACCCTACACAACTCCTGTCACGGATGAGCAAGCTGGTAAGGTCCTAGATCTTACTATGGCCTATACTGGTGACGAAACTCGCGATGGCGGCCAGACACCAGGCCCGTTCGAGGAGATGCGTCGTCGGATGGCTGGGCTCGCGACAAGTACACCAGTCTCACCATCCGGAGGCATTCGCAAGAGAAAGAAGAAGGATAAGGATAAGAAGCGCCGTTGGGTGTGGACCATCGGCCAGGAGGAAGACGATGAGGACATTGGCGGAGCGCTAGCGGCTATTCGAGCAGCTGCTCGAGCTAGTGCGTCTAATACACCTGTAGAAGGTGCTCCTGCCACGAGTGTGGCTGCGCCGCTGCAACCTACCGTTGTAGTGGACTCCCCTATGGAGATACTTACTCCAAGCATTGAAACGGCTGGCCAGGATGAGGAGGTGGCCGACGAAGTCATGTCTCAGACGGGTAGTACCGTCTCGGAATCTGTGGACAGGGCACTCACCCCAGGGGACATGGACATTGACATGATCACCCCGACGGTTACTCGCAAAAGACTTCTCAGTGCAGATATAGCCAACCGGCAGCTCTACAGATCTGAGCGACAGGACTCTGTGGACCTGTTCAACCCAGACACGGGGAGCAGGAGGGACACGCCTGTGCCGGCGGACATGATGGTTGCATGATAAGGTATTGGATTGGTGATGAACGAGAACAGACGACGGAGATTGCCCCAAGGCTGAGCATGCGAAATGGCTAATAAGCGAGGGGGAGTAAAAGATAGTCTGACTACCGAGACACTGCGGCTCGTTCCTTGTATTATCATGCATGTACTTATACTAGCCAAGTTAAGATGAGCTTATGACTGCACATGAAGATTAAGTACCTACTACAGAATATAGCATTATCAGCATCTTGCATCTCATGGCCACCTACCTGTTTGGACAATCATTGACAGTGTTATCAACGACATGGCGCCAAGTGGGCAGACATATGTGGGCACTGGGTAGTTGATGATTATCAAAAAATATTCTATCGAGTCTAATAAGTCTAGATATGTTCACATGAATCAAGATAGATAGAGGCAATCGGGATTCGGCCGTAGGCAAATTGCATCTCTGCATTCTTCGCCTCTAGCACACACGCGGTATTAGCTTGCGAGCTTTTTGCTGCAGCCTTCAGGGCTTTGCTGTATAGTATGGGCGCCAGTTACGCAAGAGCTGGATGATCCCAGATGGCGATCGCCAAGCGGGGACATCGGTAGCAAATCAGCCTGGCGGAATGTTTCCTGCTCCCTGTTCAGCCGCCCATTTCCTTTGCGATAGCTCTCGAGGCTGACGAAATGGGTGCCAGCATTGGGGTGCCACAGTGGTGGTGTTAGTCCAGCAGGTCTGGCCAAGCCTAATTGCGGCAGGGCAGCTGTAGAATGTAGAATGTACTTTGCCTCTTGGCGGCTTTTGGTGAGACATAAGGCGGCTGCCAAGCGGGTGGTGGGTACTGGTGACGACAAGTGTGCTAATGTGGGGTGCCAGGCTATGACGTCGTCGAACAGCTTCAAACACGCTGTGCTGTGACAAGAAAGCAAGACAGATTCGATTATGATGAAGCTCAGCTGTACAGGGCCAACCAGAGCAGATCAAACAGCCAAATTGTTCAAGCTGCTCCAAAGGCCGGCCATTCTTATCCGACGAGCAGTGCAGGGCAGCGTAACTGCTCCAGACCCTAGGTAGAACTTGCTTTTCGGGCCAAGCTTCCTAGAGTAGCTATATTGCCTTTCCCCTCCTGTTCACTTTCCATCCCTTTCTCGATACTTTCCCCCATCAAACTGCCAGATCTATTCACGATCTCTCCTATTTGCTCTCGGGTCCCGTTATTCCCCGATTGGGAGCGAGCTGAACTGGGCAGGAGCTTATGAGTCAAATTCTAGTCGCTTGAAGTATTGCCCTAGACATCGTCGCCATCCCTCACGATGGACCAGCAGGAGACTGTTGTGCCTTCGGGCCAGCATTATTCTGGCGCCAACCGCATCCCTAATATCAAGCAGTTTATGGAGAGCCTTGACAAGGACAAGAAGAATCGAGATGCTCAAATCGATGCCAACCTCAAGAAGAACAAGGCTGCTGGCACCGAGGTCAAGGAGCACAAGGAGGGTCAAGCTCCACGGCATGGGAAGAATCGCCGTACTGTCCGAGATCCCGTCACCGGGAAGGACGTGGAGATTGACGACATCGACAGCTCGATGATGAAGTCGGCCCAGGACCCTCATGTAAGTCACATTGTCTCAGGATCTCAGTTCCAAGGCTTCCACTGACCATGCACCTAGCTATTCGTTCCCAATGCCAACCTCGGCAAGGAGACCACTGTAAAGACTGAGCACACACAATCTGGCGAAGAATATAGGAAGAACCAGGACATCACCGCGCCGCCCGATCCCGTCGCGGAGGGCGCAACAAGCGACGTTCCCATTCATGGCGAGAAGACCAATGTCCTCTTCCACCCCACGCCCTCCGTCAGCTATGAACCAATGTATGCTACGATGGAGGCGAGAGCAAATGTTCTCTGCGCCGGAATCTTCTTTGGAATTATTCTCATTGGCAAGATGTTCGGTGGCAGGCTCTGGGGTCTCATTCCTCTAGCTATCTGCGTCGCGTCCGGCGTATTCCTCTGGATCAAGGATCTGATTCGGCAGGGAAGAGACACCGAATGGTCCAGCGAACAGAAGCGTGGAGAGACGGCTGTTGTCAATCTCATCCCAGAGTCTGTCGAGTGGCTCAACACCGCTGTTGGCCTCATCTGGGGCCTGATCAATCCTGACATGTTTGCGGCTGTGGCTGATACACTTGAGGTATGTCAACGGAAGGAAATTTATTTATCCACCTCTAACATCGCAATAGGATGTCATGCAAGCTAGTATACCAGGCGTTATCGAAAACGTGAAGGTCAACGATATCTCCCAGGGCAGCAATCCCCTCAGAGTTCTCAGCTTGCGTGCCTTGCCAGATAGCCACGTTCAAGAGCTGAAGGATGAGATCCGGAAGAATGACGAGAAGACCAAAGATCCCCAGGAGATAGCTGCTGACGAGGAAGGTGGGGATTTCTACAACCTCGAAGCCACAGTTGCTTACCACTCACTACCATCATCAAATGATGTTTCATCCAAGGCTCGCAACATGGGCATGCAGCTCGTCTTTTACCTTGGTATCAAAGGACTCTTCGGAGTACCGTTCCCCATCTGGGTTGAACTCAATGGTCTTGTTGCTACTGCTCGAATTCGTGTCTCTCTTGCCCCAAACCCTCCGTTCATCAAGACTTTGAGCTTCACTCTGATGGGTTTGCCTAAAGTCGAAGCGAGTTGCATTCCGTTGATAGAGAAAGGTGCCAATATCTTGAACCTGCCTCTCATCTCCAACTTTGTCAACTGGGCGATTGCTACCGCCGCAGGAATGTATGTGGCTCCGAAGTCTATGACTCTTGATATTGGCAAGATGCTCCAAGGCGACGACATCAAGAAAGAGACCCAGGCTCTTGGTGTATTATTCATTCGCATTCACAAGGCCACTGGCTTGAGCAAGCAGGATCGTCGCGGCAGCGACGGTGGCGGCTCTGACCCCTATATCTGCGTAGCTTTCTCCAAGTTTGGCAAGCCTCAATACTGCACCCGTGTCATACAAGATGATCTTAACCCAGTCTTTTCAGAGAGCTGTGCGCTTCTCGTCACTTCAGAAATCATCAAGGCTGACGAACAGCTTTCACTGGAGCTTTGGGACAGCGATCGCTCATCGGCTGACGATGTTGTCGGAAAGGTTGAGTTGAGTATTCAAAAGCTAATCCAGCATCCCGGAAAGATGTTCCCTCAGTGCTCGCAGCTGCGCGGCGTCAAGGCTGAGAGCACGATGCCTGGTGAGCTCCATTGGGAGGTTGGGTTCTTCGGCAAGACCCAATTCCGCAAGGCTCTAAGAACGGATGGCAAGGACCCCAACCTGCCGAAGGAGCTACGTGACAAGGCAGAGCTTCAAGATGACAAGGGAGCTCTAGACAACGCGGAAGAAGATGCTGTTGTTCATACGCCACCAGACCCGCTGTGGCCAAGCGGCATCCTCAGCGTTGTCGTGCATCAGATCGTCAACCTCGAGCTCCAGAATATCAAGGGGTCAAATGGCAAGCGAAAGGGGCGCGAGTTTGAGCCAGCTCGGCCGGAGGCTGGTGATATCAAAGAGGAGCAAAGCAAGACGCTGCCGAGTTCATATTGCACAATCATGTTGAATGATGAGCTTGTGTACAAGACCCGAACAAAGGTCGTTTCATCAAAGCCAATCTTCGAGGCGGGTACTGAGCGGTTCATTCGAGATTGGAGGTCATGCATTGTCACCGTTGCTGTTCGCGACTCTCGCAACAGACAACACGATCCTATCATTGGCGTTGTACCTCTGAAGCTCTCGGATCTCCTCTTGACTAGCAGTCAAAGCAGCAGATGGTACCCTCTTGATGGAGGTGTTGGCTTCGGCCGCATCCGTATCAGTCTGCTATTCCGCTCCGTCGAACTCAAATTGCCGCCGCCACAGCTGGGTTTCGGTGAGATCGGGACATTCGAATTCCTGTCTGATAACATCAAAGCCGTGAACTACGCTGGATCACATAAGACAAAGGTCAAGCTTCGAACCGGTGGAAGTTCTGCAACTATTAAGAGCGAGAAGTGCTCCAAGTCCGAGGATGGCAACGGACTTGTTTGGGATATTACCGATGAGACCATCGCTGAGAAAGAAGAGCCCCATAAGGTCCGCCTTCCCGTACGTTTCAGATACCGTTCACCCGTGTTCTTCGAGTTCCACCAGTCTGGAAAGCGACACTCGGACACATTTGCCGCCTTTTGGCTTCAGGATCTTGTCGACCTTGAAGACAAAGACTTTGACATCCCCATCTGGAGATGCAACAATGGCTTGCGTCTCTCTCAGAACTATATTACAGAAGAGAATTACAAGTCCGTTCCAGACCTGAAGATTGAGGAGATTGGTCGACTTCAATTCCGCGGTCGCTTCAAACCCGGCACGGACCGCGACCATCTTAAGTTCGTCTCAGACAATGATTCCCGCGAAACGATTGAAAGCTGGGAGGCTTGCTTTGCAGAGGGTGTTCGCACTGAGGAGGTCAGGGGCGAGGTCCCACCATCGATTCAGAAGCTCCACGACGCATCCCTCACTCAGGGCCGCGATGTACTTGCTGAGGCAGATGAGACCGACAAGCAGAAGTGGCTCTCCAGAGATGGAACCGACTGGAGTGGTGCCTTTGGAAAAGACCCAGTCGACCTCATTGGTCATCACGCAAATAAGGAAGGGGATGACAACGACGACGACTATGAATCGTCTTCGGATAGTGATCCTGACTTAGGCCTTCAAGACGCCACCTCCAACGGCTCCGGGAGCACGGAAGCGCAGACTGACGCCACCCGCCCGTCTATTGACAGCACGATGAGTCAACAAACTACGTCTTCTAAGAAGAGCAAGAACCCCATCAAGCAATACAAGGACTATAAGGAGCGCAGCCGAGACCTGCACCGCCAGCACAGGGGCTTGATGCAATGGTAAGCCCTCCTTGACATTGAGCTTGGCTCATGACACTGACACTTTGACAGGCGACCGATGCGTAATGCTCAGTTTGCTAAGGATGAGGCTACATTTGCTGTCCGAAGAGCATTAAAGGTTGGGTCTCTTAGTGGTCGTAAGCCGGATGTTGAGACTGAAGTGTAACATTCTTGCAACGAGTTAATGGGTTGATGAACACGACAAACGGTTCGTTAGGTTGGCGTGGACACGAGGCGTTCTGGTTGTTGGCGGTATCCAAAATTGTATAATTGATACTTCTTAATCGCTTAGTTATTGAATGAAGAAACCAGTAATAGGACGTTGTTGATACAAGTTGTGTCCATGATATGAGGTGATTTGGCACGTGTGGTTATTCTGAAGGCCCTTGCAAAGACTCCTAACCAATTGTTGCCCATAAGGAAGCCGAGATATCTACGTAGTGGTGGCCCAAGCTTCCGTCCGGCATTGCGGCAGCTAAAACTTCGGCCCCGCCGAAAGTCGCCAACTTCAGAGAATATCTCTCCACGAATTCTATCAACGGCTGTATTCCAACTGGTCTGCCCTCCCACCTCTCGCTATAAGAACAACGCAAACCAAACCGAGACTGCATCTTCCTCCCCTCGCTACTGTCGTCCGAAAGCTGCGCGGACCATAGCTAATCCACCTAGCCAACATGGTTCCCTCTATCAGAGCGCCCAAGCTGTACAGCCCCTACGGGCCCCGAGTGAGGAAATCCAACCAGCTTGTCATACTATGGGTGGGCGGTTTCTTCACAATCCTCTTCTTCGTCTACTATTTCACGACGCGGCATCCCGAGAGGGCGAGGACATATCAAGAAATGCTGCGAGCAGGCCCGCAACAAGATCCCGCCGACTCGTCGTAGCGCGATCACACGAGTTTTGGCCTTCTACACTCAATTATGGCGGTCAATGGTCAGTGGAAGATGATCGAGGTCGTGTATCTAAGCCTAGGGCCGGCGAAATCGGCTGGGACTTGTCATCAAAGAGACAACACAAAGGGCACAATCGATTGTGGAAGACTGCAAGAAGAAGGAATTGGCATTGTTGTGGGTTCACCAAGCTTGAAATGGTTTTGGATACAGTAATCGGCGCTAAGCATGGAAAAGGCGTATTTGAACGGTGAATGAGTGTATTATTATAAATAGCTCAGCCCACATGCTTTGTGAGATGGGGCAAAGAAGCATGCTTCAAAGTACGCTTCGCAACAAAGACTTTGTATAGTCCTTCACTGTGGCCACTGAGCAGGACAGAATTCAGACGCAGCGTAATATTGTACTCAATTGATATAAAAGCTATCATCAGGGCCTGGGGATAAATTTTGATGGAGAAGCAAGCAGCAGTCCTCCTGTCTGCCAGTCTCTTGCTTCCATTTTATTCAGGTCGGTCGATTCAGGGCTAGCTCCAGGATCACATATAAGGTAAGTTTCAATGGCTAGAATGGGTCACACTTCTGCTTGCAGGTGCGAGCAGTGCACGATGTCTATATTGAAGCAAAAGGTCGAATGTGGATGCGAACAGTGCTGGGCATCCATTGCGGTTGGCGATGTTGTTTGCGAGTGCGACCAATGTTGGAATACCATGGGCAGCTCTCCACGTTCGCGACTAGAAGAGACAGGGGATGAATTCATCCTTCAACGGCCGAAGGGAGTCTACACAGGTGAATTACGCCCTCGATCCATTCGAATCGTCAAGGGGGACAAAGCAAAGAGGGACGACAACACTCCTACTTCGCTCCATGCCGTGAATAGCCGAAAAGGAGTTCCTCTTCGTTCGAGCTTTACCATTGAAGATCTGAAGAAGGAGGTTGCACAACTAGGTAATGAGATCGCAGAAGGCTTCGCTGTGCTTCGCAAGGGAAAACAATGGTGAGGGGATAGAACATGAGAACATCATGTGAATATAGGACAAATGGTGACCTAATAAAACACTCTGGAAGTGATCTTGATCGTTTTGCAAAAGAGAATAAAATTTCTTTTGAAAAGACAAGTGAAGTGTTGTGAACGTAGCGAAATAAACCGGTTCGCAGAGCATCACTTGATTCTACTGGCAAAAGAAATAAGTGGGAAACAGGAAATCAAGTTGTGGTCGTTGGGGGTTCACTTGTCACATACCGAAGAACTCGGGTTCGTGTCAGCACTGCCAATATCTTGACATGGAAACTTGAGGGTATAAGCACCTTTTGAATCATACCACACTATTTATACACCAACTGAGCCATCCACGCTCTTCTATTGCGATCGATTATGCCAGGCGCACACCGGCTTCTCTCCGTTTCTTCAGCTGTTGGGCTGTGGCTGAGCTCATGCCGACGTTCTGGCTGGCGTCAAGGATGCTTTGGGCTTCGCGTCGTTGTTCTTCTCGGATCTTCTTCAGCTTCTTATCCGTTTTGCCTGCACCGCTTCCTTTGCCGTGGAACTGATGACTCAGATGCTTGAAGGCCTCCTTCTGGTCCAACTCTCTACCATATTCGTCGATGTACTTGAGGTTGACAGAAGGCTTGTAGCTATCTCTATACATGCCTGACATGATCTGCGAGATTCTGTATTCGCGATCCGCGTTCTGTTTGCGAGCATAGTCTTCACGCTCTCGGGCAGACATGCGGTCGAGGACCCCACTTGTTCGATCCCTTTCACGCTGACGTTTGGCATCGTCCTCTACTTGCGCAAGTAGCTTGTTTCGTTCGGCAAGGAACTTCTGCTTCTGGCGCCATGCTTCGTTCATCTCTGCCCCGCCACTTTCATGGATGAGGCCGCGGTCCTTCAGAAGCTGAAGTGTAGATCCAAGGCCAGCTCCACTGACTGTCTTCTCCTCTTCTCCAATAACGGCACCCGGTGTAACTTCTCTCTCCTCATACTCTTCATGGATTGCTGGAGCATTTTCCATATCTTCATCTTCGGAGGCTTCCGCATCCATGGCTGTGAAAGGCTCCACAGAGCGAGATTTCTTACGTGGACGATCGGAATCATCATCTTCTCCTGGCCGTTTGAGAGTATCAACGAAACCAGAAATCTCGTCAATGACCAGCCCGCCACCCTGGGTGGCGTCTTGCGCATCCTCAGACTCGTCAGGCACTTCTTCTTTGAGCTGTTTTGCGATGTCTTCTGGTTTCATCCGCTTCCTCTTCTTCAAAGCCGCTCTCCTTTGAAGAGCCAGGGAAGATTGTAGATCGTCATCATCTACAAAGTTATCATCGGTAATTTTCCGTCTCTTCGCAAAGGCACCTGCACCGGAGTCAATGTCCATTGACTGGTCGAGAGCGGATTCTTGATCGGCCGGGAAAAGGGCGTCATCATCATCGACCGGCCTTTGTCGCGTGGACTTCGACTTCTTCTTCTTTGGTTTTTTAACCTTGATCTCGGATATATCCAGATAATCGGATGCGGGTGCAACGTCTACCATGGGCAAGGTTAGTCTACCGACACAAAGAGTGAGCAGAGAAGCGTCGTGATACCACTTACCAGGAATGTCAATGTCAAGTGTCTGCAACTTTCTCTTCGCCACAGGATTCTCGAGTATGTCGGCAATATCCGCGGTGCCTCCTGTAGCATCTAGTGTAAACAGTTTCTTCTTCTTGCCACTGATCTCTTCGTCGTACTGTGCCAAAATGCTGCGCTCTCCGGTCTCATCAATATTGTTTGGATCGTACACCGGTCGTTTCTTCTTGAGGTCCAAATTCTCCTGCAGCTTCTCCCGCTCTCTTAGGTTGAGGTTTTCAAGCTCGTCGCCTTCCTCGTCCTCGTCCAACACAGTCGTATCCTTGAGTGTCAAAATTTGGTCGTCTGAATCGAGGAAAGTGGACATATCGTGGGCAACTTTCACACCAGCCAAGTCTTTAGAGGTATATTCTTTCGCTGCGGCGGCAGCAGCGGCAGCAGCCTCTTGCTCTTCCTTCCGTGTCTTCTCGATCTTCTTTTGTCGCTTTTTCTGGCTTTTGAGCCACGCTTTTGCATCCAGCTCTCCTTCATCGTCAAGGTCGCCTAACCCCTTCCCCTCCAATACAGAGAGACGCTGTGCGTTCTCACGAGCTTTTCGAATTGATGCAGCCCTCTCCTCACGCTCCTTCTTAGCCTTCTCGGCATCGCGTACTTTCTTGAAATTGTCGTATGCTGCCGCCGTCCTTGTTTCGATGGTGCTGGCCGCTTCTCCTTCCTCCTCTGGCGATGTCTCCTTCGGCTTCGCTGCCGCAGCGCCAGGGACTGGCAAGGGCTTTAGGCCCATCGCCGCGCGAACACGGTTCATCTCCTCTATCGCAGTGGCATCCATTTTGACGATCTATGCTGCTCTCAATATCGAGTGGTATAGTAGATACAGTCGTCGTCTTGAGGATGATCTCACATAAAGGAATGTTTGGACTTGGTTATAGGTCCCCCAGCAGATGAAGGGTCTGGTAGGTTACCTGCACAACCCACGCTACTGAGGTAGGTAGAGTCGCCGACACCTGCAACACGTGACAAACTTACATAAGCCGAAATTTTCAGATACCTTTATCCGCAAGCAATCTTGAAAAATTTCCGTTTCCTTTCTCTTTCTCAATATCACGGATCTGTGCCCAGCAGTCCCCTGTTCGTAGGGTTGATCGCTGCGGCAGCTCGTACACTTTAGGAGCCATCAATTTACCATGATGTCAATCTTCCAGTCGACAGATCCCAGAGTGACCGGTGTTTGCGCTCCCAAGATCGCCGTAAAAAGCTGAGCTTGGTGAACGCAGACTGTCCCGGAGACGCCATATTCCACACCCCTTTTCCGAGATCGTCGGTCGATGAGGTTGGGGAAAACCATGGTTTTGCCTACAGCCATTTTGTGAGAGCGGAATTGTGTTCTTCTAGTCATCGCTTCCATGGTGTGATTACTTGATGTCTGTGAGGGAAGCGGAGCTCCCTCTTCTACCTGTGCCGGCCCACCTCTGGAGTGTCTTGCTCTGTGACACGCCCTGCTTTCCATCTGGTGTTCTGCTCAAGCAGGACAGGACCATGTTATGAAATGTTCAAAACAATCCTTCGTAGTCAAGTCAATGCAAGGGACTTTGCCTGCCCAGAGCCAACTATTTCCTCGATGCATGTAAATAAGGACGGATCGGACCTTTCACCCAGCCGTGGACTCTTTGACAGACAACATTTCATAATGCTCACTGGAACATTTGCTGTTGATGTCTGAATGGGTAAGAAGACGACGGCATGCAGCATCCTCGGTTCAGAATATTTGCGTCGTTATGCTGCTGCTCTTATGTTGTAATCAGGGCGCTTCCTGAAGACCTGTAGAACCACATTGCGATGAGCTCTTCTGGTGTGAAATATCACGGACAGAGGCAGTATTTTACTTGGAGCTCCATCAATTCAGGAACGTCCAGGGATCAGCTTTTGTATGTTTGGTTGAATTGAGAATTCCAGCTGCAGTTTCCCCGAGGATTCTATGGCGGGGAAGTGACGCTTCACGTAAATCAAGCAAATACAGTCTGCATGTACTCAGGATACTTTCTCTGCTACATATGTCAACATAATGGTTGCGAGACTCTAAGCCTTCGTGGTTATACCGTAATCCTTGTGTTGCCTAGGGTCTCAGTCTGCCTTATTGGCATTTGGCAATCCTTTCGTACTGAACCGATTCGATTGCATACCATCCGAGCACTAACACATTGATGGGTAACGTCATCGGCCACTTTTGATTACCCAGACTGGCAGCATCAACAATATCTGCATATTCCTCATTCTGCATATACAGAAAGCCTCAGAGTCCTCCGTAGGGACAAGAAACTCAATGGAGTCAGTTCGAGGGGCTGTCAGCGACGCGCTTGCAGTAAATAACAGTGCTGGTTTCGCTCAACAGGCATTCTCCTCGCTTGTCCTCCTAGGCACATATGCATATCAAGCCGTTCTTGGTCGATTTAACACCAGCCGTACGAGAGCACACCAAACTTCTCTAAGCCAGTCTGTCAGCTCCTTCATTGAATCCGAAACTCCCATAGCATTGAGTAGCCTGCTTTGCAACATTGGCTCAACAGGCTGCTTTGTTGCAGGTGCAGCATCTGGTACGGTGATCGCTTCCCCTTCGAAGGAAGATCCAGACTGTAAGTCGACAATTGGTATGTCCGAATAACAGCAACGAATCTGATTTGGCTCAGACTTTTACACATGGACCAGAGATAGTGCTCTTGTGTTCAAGTCCATTGTCGATATTTTCACAAGTGATTACAATGACACCCTCCAAGACGAGATTCAAGATTACATCGCATCGCAAGCGTTTCTGCAGGGAGTTTCAAACCCTTCCGGCAGCCTTAGAGATGGCAGCGGTTTGGGTGAACCTAAATTCAACGCCAATTTAAGTGAATTTATAGGTTCCTGGGGTTTGTTGCCCGCGACATCGTCTCATCTTTCGTCACTGATATGTTTAAGGTCGACCACAAAGAGACGGCCCAGCACTCCGGGCTGTAGCTTTAGCCTCCTATGCCAACTGGCTCATAGTGAACGATTATGCTTCTACGGCCCGTCAAATCATTTGGCCAGTCATTCACAATGACATTAGCTATGTCGCTGAGTACTGGTAAGTGGCCTAACGGTCTCTTCCATACTTCCCCAAGCTTACCTGCGCAGGAATCAAACCGGATTTGACCTTTGGGAAGAAGTCAATGGAAGCTCCTTCTTCACTGTGGCCAACCAACATCGAGGTGAGTGTCGAAGCGCGTTGTAGGTGTATGAGTTCTCGCTGATAACTTATTATTGTAGCCCTAGTTGAAGGATGTGCTCTTGCTGAGACGCTCAACATCCCTTGCCCTGTCCCTGAGTCTGTTGCACCACAAATTCTGTGCTTCCTCCAAACCTTCTGGTCTACTTCAGATGGCTACATATTCGCAAACAGTAAGTCACAGTCGCATCATTTTTCTACTGAATGTAGCTTACAGTGGCAGTCAATGAGAACAGCGGTCGGAGTGGGAAAGATGCAAACACTATTCTCGCTTCTATATCGACATTTGACCCTGCCGCGGGCTGTGATAGTTTTACATTTCAGCCTTGCAGTGACAAGGCACTTGCCAACCATAAGATTGTCACCGACGCTTTCAGAGCAATCTACCCGATTAATTCGGGCATCCTGCAAGGTCATGCTGTGGCAGTTGGCCGATATCCTGAAGACGTCTATTTCGGCGGGCACCCCTGGTACTTGAATACACTAGCAGCAGCTGAACAATTGTATGATGCTTTGTATGTTTGGAAAGCTCAAGGCTATATTACAGTTACGCCGACATCGTTACCCTTCTTCCACGACCTCGTGCCCGATATCGTCACAGGTACGTATCAAACAAACACACCAGTGTATACCGTCTTGCATGATGTTGTGTCGAAATATGCCGATGGCTATATGAATGTTGTGGCTACATATGCGCAGACCAATGGATCTATGGCAGAGCAATACTCGAGGTCAGATGGTACACCACTATCCGCTCGAGATTTGACATGGTCTTACGCAGCTTTTCTCACCGCCGCTGCCCGCAGAGATGGCTCCGTCCCTCCTTCGTGGATATCACCTCCAATAGAAAGCGTTCCGGGCTCTTGTTCTGGGACTTCAGTACTTGGATCATATACGTCTGCAACGGAGACCTCATTTCCTCCATCGCAGACACCGAAGAAGGGAGCGACTACCAGCCCTACGACAACCAAAAAGCCTGACAGCACAACATCAACCTGCACAAGTTCTACTATGGTGGCGGTGACGTTCAACGAATTCGTCACAACTCTATATGGCCAGACAATCAAGATCGTTGGCGATATCGATGCCCTTGGAAATTGGAATCCTGACCAGGGAATTGTGCTCAGTGCTTCTGAGTATACGCCTAACAACCCCCTGTGGAGTGTGACGGTGAATTTGCAGCCCGGTCAAGTCATTGAATACAAATACATCAACGTTGCAGCCGATAGCACTATCACCTGGGAGGGAGATCCGAACCACACTTTTACTGCCCCTGCCTCTTGCGCCACGGCTATCACAAAGTCTGATAGCTGGCAGCTTTGAAGCAAAGTTCAACACGAGCTAGAGGGCTTAAACAAGGCATTTGATGTTACGACTCTTTTAGGCGTCATTGAGCACATCGTATTGTTGCATCGCCAGCCATCGCCAGCATGCTTAGTTGTCTGCGACAGACAGAGACGAAGATGACGATCGTTGCTGCTATATATACTGTTCTAGAGACTTCATAATCGTCTCAACAGCCCACTCAAGGGTGGTCTCCATGCCTATATCCAGGCCTTTACCAAGTTGCGCTTGTATCCCGGTCTGAGCCAAAACGTCAGGTTTGAGCTGGCCCTCGACATTGCCGTCCTCAAATAACCACTTGTGCTCTTCGGCGTAGTTTGGCCACACAATCTTGTCCACATAACCAGGCGGGTCTTTCCAGAAGCCTTCCAGAGTTACATACCCATCCCGAGCCTCACGCCGCTGGGTGGCTTTTGCGCGGCTCACAAGGAGAAATAGTTTGATGTCAAGAATGTTCATTACCCCGACCATTTTCGGAGTGTAGAGGAGGAAGCCATCGAGCAAGCATAGCCTCAACTTGGACTTCTCAAGTATATCATGTCCAGGTCGTCCAGGCTGTACCCAGCTCCGAACCTTGGTCTTCATTGCTTCAATTTTCTCATCTGAAACGGGGCATTGACCGACCGAGTTCTGATCCTCTTTTGAATCTACTTCCGGCTGGGAGGACAGTGTGAGCGGGTTGGTGAATTTAGGGGGGCGTGGGTATATGGCACCGTGGCTTTCTCGCCGGGCCCAGGAAGGACTGTTACTGACAGGAAATGTGCCCTCAGAGCGGATATGAGCCAATGCTTTCTCCATATCGGGGATGTTGAGGGATTCGGGGCAGTCCCAGTCAACCAGACCATCTTTGATGGGTAGTCTGTAAAGACGTGAGCAATGTAGTCAATGAAGAAGGCTATTTCGGTTCAGAATCTCACTCGATCTCTGGCCTGTAGAAGTCATCCTCATGAAGAATGAAGGAGTTTGGGAAGATGTCTCGTAACAGTCTAGCCAGTGTCGTCTTCCCGCTTGACGAGCACCCACTGATGCCTACAATGACTGCTCGTCGATTCTCCATGATGAGGGTTCACTGGCGCTTTACGCACCAGGTTGTAAATGGTTCTCTCCTTTCTATGACCAAGATCTGGAAATCACTACCTAAGCATCTTTCCAACGGTTGAGTCACTGGTCGAGGCCGAAGTTGCACATTCGATAAGCCTCTCCAAATATGCAGGTCGCACTGATAGCGAGGTGTTAGTGTGGTTTACAGCAGCCCCACCTCTCACGCACCAGTGACAGCCTCCAGGATGCGATGGCATCCCCTGTCCCTGGAGATCCTTCCACTAAAGGTGCTAAATCGTCTTGCCTGCCTGGGGCCTGTGTCAGTAGCTGTGACGCACGAAAGTTTCCTAGGCCACATGTAAACCTGGCCAGAGCTCTTGTTTGTCGCCTGCTCCTTCATTCTTACCAAGCACAAAGGCTCGCGGCAACACCGGAACTCACAAGTACAGACGGAAGCTTGCAAAAATCCCTATCCACCGGAACGAAGACTAAAAGTAGAGAAAATGGCGACAATGCCAGAGGGTATGCCCTCGGTCGCGTTTGTGACCACCTCGATCATCACCTTCATCTCTGGCTTCCTAATGGGCGTCTACTCGATCCGCGGGTACCTGATATCTCCTGAATTGAAGGCAGAGCGAAAAGGCAATCTCGAGGATCCCGTCGAGAGCGATGAGTCGGACATTGACGAGGACGACACAATCCTGGACCACGCTCCAAATTGGGCAAACGGCGTGGATGCGGATCGCAGAGATGGCTTGCGCGTTGGCGATGCAAAGGGCAATAGCGAAACCGCGAAGCCGGCAGCAGCTCCAGCCACAAACTCCAACGAGGAGTGTAAGCTGGTCCTTGTTGTTCGAACAGATCTTGGCATGACAAAGGGTATGATTCCGTCCTGTGTTCCATGCTTGCGACTTCGCTAATTATCCATTTTTCTGCAGGCAAGATTGCAGCGCAATGTTCCCATGCAACTCTAGCTTGCTACAAGACTCTCTCCCGAGCAGCAGAGAAGGCACCGTCGTCGCCCGAGGCACAGATTCTGAAGCGCTGGGAGCGCCATGGCCAGGCGAAGATTGCGGTGCAGATCAAAAGCCAGGACGAAATGCTGGAGCTCATGGGCAAGGCGCGGAGCCTGGGCATCACGGCCGAGGTCATTGCCGATGCTGGTAGGACACAGATTGATCCTGGTAGCCTCACAGTGCTCGGCGTTGGTCCGGCGCCAAAGAGCCAGGTTGATCTGGTGACTAGCCATCTGAAGTTGCTGTAATCATGACCAGCGGATGGCGAAAATTAGGGTATTAAGAGCTTTAGGTTGCCACTAAATACAGCTGAGCAGGGCCATTAGTGAGTATTCTTGCTGCGGGAGGCAGTATACGAATATGCTCACTTGTATCATATTAAGGAAAAGGGGCAATTAGATATGTCGGACACAGGCGCAAAACATGTACACAAGGGTGGCGTTTGCCAGGCATATAGATCGCTAGAAAAGCGAGACGAAAATGGACGAGACATGCAACATTTGCTCTATTCATAGACCTAGTAGGGGGGTATCTGATGCCGATTACACCTATTCCTTGCGTGCGAATCTGGCCAGCGCTGGGCCCAGCTGTTCTTGACGTTCCTTGTGCTTTTCATCCTTCCGCTCCTGTTGTTCTTTATATATTTCCTCAACTCTGAGCCTCTTCTCGTCTATGATGTTCTTCTTTCGTTGTTTTCTTAGGTATTTCTTCAGAGCACTATTCTTGCCTCTTGCCTTATTCCTAATTTCTTCAGCGATGTCCACTGCGGGAGCATCAAGATCCTTTTCGTCCTCACGCTGCTTGTGAGATCGCAAGTCCAAATTACCGATGAAATTGGGATCTAGTGCAATCATCTCTGGCTGCAACTTGTTCAGGAGAGACTTGACTTCAGACTCTTGCCGTTGCTTGGCAGTCTCGAATGGGTTGACTTCCATGGCATCGAAGTTGGCCTCTCCAGCGCCAGGAACCAGGATGGATGAGAAACCCTGATCATGACCCAGGCCGAGGATATCTTCAAACGGGCACCACCGTACTCGCTCTATGTGGTTGCCTTCGCCTCCCCAAGCCATGTAGGGACTCGAAACCTTCTCCTGAGTGGATGCGTGTTTCGAAAATAGCCCCTTCCATATGGTAGTCCTGGTGCCCCATCCAACTGCCGTTAGACCGGAATCTGATATCGAGACTGAAGATGCAGGTGTTCTAGTGAAGTAATTATTGACTTCCTTGAACATACGAATATCCCACACAGCCATCTTGTTGTCCTGACCAGTGGAGACCATATATCGACCCTCTCGATCAACTGCGAGGGACCGAACAGGACCCTTGTGGGCGAGAAGCTTAACCAGCGGCTCTGTTGAATTTGGTGACCATAGAGTAACGGTGCCATTCTGGTGACCCATATGTAATATGGCGTTATAGGGATTTTGCGTTAAAGAAACTGGTGGTCCGAATTTTGTATGGATTTCTGATACAATTTGGCCTGTCGAGACGTCCTGATACTTCAGATTGGCCGAGAGACCCTATAATCTTATGAGAAAACATAGAACGAAGTGCGGAAAGGTGTGATAGACTTACCAGGGTTGCCAGAAGGAAGTGGTAGGGCAGGAACTCCATATGGGCGACCTCGGTATGTTTCCGCAGACAATGGATCTCCACACCATTCCGGTCGTAGATGTACACGTACTTCTTCTGCGCAACCGCGAAGTATTGGTTATTGTGCAGCCACCGTACGTCCCTCACTGTCTCACCGAGCTGCAATTCGCAGCCCAGCTTCCCTTCCCTCCAGTCCATCGTTGCGACATGACCTTTCCGCCCAGCAAGTAACAGTTCTCGCCCGTTTCGTGTGTATTCGCAGGCGTAGGGTCCCAGAGCATCTAGTTTCAGCTCAAACCCCTTCTGCGCAGTCTCGACGCCGACATCGCGTCGAATATCGTCCTGGCGCACTTTGTATGTTTTCTCAAGCTCGGCCTCTGGCTCTAAGAAGCCAGCAGTGTTCTCCAAGAGAATTTCTGCATCTTTAGCCTTGAGGGTCGCATCCTTGTATTTCGTTTCCAGTTTCGACAGGTTGCTGCGCAGCTTCTTGTCCTTGATTCCCTTCACATCTATTCGTCGCCCGCGGCCGTAGGCTAGCTGTGCCTGCTTCTCTCGCCGCCTCTTTTCGCGCTCCTCTTTGGATAGCAATTCTGTCCTGGCGTCTCGGACGGTAAGGGCGCCATTGGATTGAGCCTTTGGCAAACGCTCTTCTCGCCGTGTAGCGACCGTAACGTCCATCCTGTCGGGCGATTGGGAGGCTCGAGAGGTTGTTGTGGCTCGTTGCTTTACTCGGGGCGCCTTGAAATTCTAGATGACCACTTATCGATTGGAGGGAACTTTTTTTTTCTGGATGCAGGTGCTGCCCGACAGGGATCTCTGCTAACTTTCTAGCACCCCGCTACTACGCCGGCTGTATTTAGCGCTGGCTTTCCAGTAAGTGATAAGAGATAAGCGACCCCACACACAAAAATTTCCAGAAAACCACCACTTTATTTTGCCCCTCATCACCGATTGACATATTGTGAACTGTGCACTGCAGACAGCAGAGACAGCAGACAATTGACGTCTCTTCAGCCTCTGCTCTCTCTTCTCTTTCCAACGTGGCTTCACTACCGTTTAGGTTTAAGGCCGGCGGCGACGGAAAGATGCCGGCGACTGTAGCGAGTCACTCGCACCGCCCGACTACTAAAGTCGCGAACAAGCCCTTCAAGGCTCGGAAGGCAACCAAGAGCGCTTTGAGAGAGGCCTCGAAAGGTAAGCAGATCCTAGCGTTTAGGCAACACTTCATGAGTCACTCCGGACCCAATTAGTGTCCCAAAGCCTTATACATATCTCTCAATCCTTGAAAGGTGGCTAACATCCCTTTTCCCGGCACAGGCAAGGTTCCTAACGAGCGCCGCAAGACACCCCATCAACAAGTCATGTCTAAGCTTGACCGCCGTAACCAAGCCAAGCAGCGGCAAATCGAGAAGCACAGGGAGCACCAGAAGGAAACTTCAGTCTTTGCTGGTCGCGATGGAGCGCCGAGAAACGTGGCTGTCATTCCCCTTTGCAGCGATGGTGACGCCATCACAGCAATTCAGGCTTTGAACCAGAGCCTTGACATCGAGCACGAGCTTACATATGGCCCTTCAAGAGTTTCCGTCGACAGATTCAAGCAAAAGTTGCAATACTTCCCGGTCAAGAGAGACCTCAATGCCTGTCTGGATGCTGCAAGAGTTGCGGACTTTGTGGTGCTCATTCTTTCAGCGGAAGAGGAAGTGGATGACCTGGGAGAGTTGATCATACGGAGTGTGGAGAGCCAAGGCCTTTCAACTCTTTTCACCGTTGTGCAAGGCCTCAAGAACATACAGCCCGCGAAGCAGCAGCAGTCAGTCTTGGGATCACTGAAATCCTACATTACCCACTTCCACCCGGAGCAGGACAAGATCTACAGCCTGGACAATCGCCAGGAGTGTTCCAACCTGATGAGATCTCTTTGCAGCACAACGCCAAAAGGCATTAGGTGGCGAGACGAGAGAAGCTGGATGCTGGTAGAGAACGTCAAATTCGCCCAGACGGAGGAGGCGGCGACAGTGCTGACCGGAGTGATCAGAGGAAAAGGTCTCAAAGCAGACCGTCTGGTGCAGGTTGGGGACTGGGGCACGTTTCAAATTGAGAAGATCACAACCGCCCCTCTTTCAAAACGTGGGAAGAAGTCAGACGAGTCTATGAACCTAGAAGGGGAAGGCTCTGATGAAGTTCTGGAAGTACCCGACGAGGACCAAGATGACCTTGTGGACCTTGCACCAGAAGAAGTCAACATGGACGATGCTGATGATAACATCGACGCCACGTCTGTTGCCGCTTCGACAAAGAAGGGCGTTCTGCTTGATGATCACCATTATTTCTCTGATGATGAGCCCGAAGCCTACACCAAACCCAAGCGAGTTCCCAGGGGCACGTCAAAATATCAGTCTGCCTGGTATCTGGATGACGATGTCTCAGATTCGGGGTCTGATCTCGAGGATTTCGATATGAAGGATGTCGACGAAGATGATGCCGAAGACGAGCTTGAGGATAGTGGTGAGGGCATGGCTGTGGACAGACAAACAGAGGCTGGTCCCTCCGAGTATCCACAGTCAGAGATGTTCGTGGAGCCTAATGAGGATGAAGACGCTGAGCAATTAGCAGCCTTCCGATCAAGGAAACGGGACGAGGCCAAGGATGACCTTGAGTTCCCCGATGAGATTGAGCTTCATCCGAACGTTCTTGCTAGGGAGAGGCTTCTCAGATATCGTGGACTCAAGAGCTTGCGAACTAGTCCATGGGAACAAGATGAAGATAAGGCTTATGAGCCGGAGGAATGGCGTCGGTTGTTACAAATCTCTGATTACCAGGCTTCTCGTGTTCGATCAGCTCGTGAAGCCCTAGTCGGAGGCGTCGCTCCTGGAACGCGTGTTCATGTGCACCTCAAGGGAGTCCCCACGTCTATTCAGGAAACTTGGGATCCAAGCCTTCCGATCACCTTATTTTCTCTTCTGAGACACGAAAACAAGCGGACAGCAGTCAATTTCTTGATCAACTTGAGCTCTGATTATGAGAACTCGATCAAAGCCAAGGAAGAGTTGATCATGCAATGCGGCCCTCGGCGCCTTGTGATCAAACCACTCTTCTCTCAGAGTGGTAGCACCCCGAATGATGTCCACAAATACTGTCGATATCTTCACCCGGGTCAATCCGCCGTGGCGACCTTTATGGGCCCTGTCACATGGGGAGCTGTTCCAACCTTGTTCTTCAAGAGGTCCGCTCCTAGCCAGGAAAGTGGTGAGGATGAGTCCAGTGTACCCCTGACCCTCATCGCGACTGGAACCGCTCTTCCACCCTCTACCTCTCGAGTTATTGCCAAGAGAGTTGTTCTCACTGGACACCCGTACCACATTCACAAGAAGATCGTAACCATTCGCTACATGTTCTTCAACCGGGAGGATGTCGAATGGTTCAAGGCGTTGCCTCTTTGGACAAAACGAGGACGCAGTGGCTATGTCAAGGAGAGCCTTGGAACTCACGGTTACTTCAAAGCAACGTTTGATGGCCGCATCAATCCCCAGGACACTATCGGTGTTAGCTTGTACAAGCGGGTCTGGCCGAGAAGCGCGACTCCTTTCAAAGGTTCTTTGCTGGATTTCGACCGGCAAGGAGCTCTAGACGAAGCGATGGATGAAGATATTGCATGAACACTCTATTAAAACTTTTAGACTCGATTCGGGCTACGACGGTATGGATGCATTACGGAAACTTGGAGGGTTGTTTATGATGATAGAGATGATAGATAGGCTTAAAGGTCTAATACCAGCATTGCTTCGTGTCTTTTTACATGATTACGGATCTCAATTGCCGTCTTTGGATATCCAGACTATCGGTCAAATTGTTACATCATGAATAGTCGTTCATAGAGAGTCCAGCCCTGGTGTTGGGTTCGGGCCACCACTTGCTGTCCTATTCTCTTCCGCTCCACTCGCCTTCCAGGCGCTCAGGATGAGTTTGACAATGTGGTCTACTCCAACGTTCTTCTTGACCTGCGCAAAGACCGTTGGCCCGCCTTCACGCATTTTCCTTGCGTCCCGCTCCATGACACCGAGATCAGCACCGACCGCCTCCGCCAGGTCCGTCTTGTTCACGATCAGCAGATCGCTCTGCGTGATGCCCGGCCCGCCCTTGCGCGGGATCTTGTCACCGCCGCTCACGTCGATCACGTAGATGATGTAGTCGGCCAGCTCGCGGCTGTAGTTTGCAGCGAGGTTGTCGCCGCCGGACTCGATCAGCAGCAGATCGGTGCTGAACTCGCGGTGCAGGTCCTCGAGGGCTGCGAGGTTGGCGCTGATGTCCTCGCGCACGGCGGCGTGTGGGCAGCCGCCCGTCTCGATGGCGCGGATGCGCGAGGCCGGCAGCGCCTTGTTTCTGGTGAGGAACTCGGCGTCCTCGCGGGTGAAGATGTCGTTGGTCACGGCGGCGATGTCGTACTTCTCGCGCAGTGCCAGGCATAGGGCCAGCATCAGCGCGGTCTTGCCGGAGCCGACGGGACTACATCAGAGTCAGTCAGGAGGGGCTCGAGTGATATTGCGAAACTATGGCAAGAGGAAACAGGGAGCAATGCATGCTAGGTGGAAGTTGCGCAATCGCCCTCTGTACTATGCAGTAGCTTTGTGGAATAGCCATACCCTCCAATTCCAATCGTGAACGCTCTGTCACTCCAATTCCTGCCCTCGACGATGGGCATCTCGCGGCCCAGATAGCTTCCGGGACCATCGAGGATCTCGTGGGTATGGCCGTGCTCCGCCGCCGAGAAGCCATCATGAGAATGGCTGTGGCCACCATCATGTGAGTGTGTGTGTGACATGATCAGAGTCGAAATAAAGAGAGATAGTTTGATTCGTAAGAGTTCCGTCCCCGGCCAAGTTCACCAGTCACGCGAGAGACAATCCGAGGTTGATTGTTCCTCCCGAGCACATTTCGAGCTTTCACTTCACTGAGGGGCAAATGTCCAGTGCGGGGCAGGGTACCGACGCGGGACAGCTTACAGAGCTCCTTATCAGTGGGGGTTATTTGTCTTCCTCCTTATCAACACTTACACAATCAACATAACACAGGTATACTTTCGTAGGCTTGAACACAGAAAAGTGAAGAGCTGCAGACAGGTTTTTCAATCAACTGTACAGAAGCAGTTGAGAACTGGCATGTTTTACTGAGCCTATTTACAAGGGTCTTTGGCAGCAGAGCTACCCTAGTACCAATCATATCTTAGGAGCGGAGCATCAGGCACCGTATCATGGACCCATGCCTCGAAACTGGGATGATGGTCAACTTATCACTAACAGAAGGGGTTACATGGCCTTGAAGAGCCAAGAGACTCATAAAAGAATCAAAGTCCGGACAACTAGGACGCTGTGACTAATCTCGCTTTGGGATCCTCGGACTTGAGGACTCTGCCCGCTCTGGCTTTGCCAAGGTTCGCTGGCAGGCCACATGAGCGATGGAGAATATAATGCCGTTTCTGAACTTGCTCATACCTGAGTGCGGTCTGTATTGGCGGGCCGGAACCCGCCTGATGGCCATTGCGAACGCGGCTTTCCTGCCAAAGGATTCACCAGCGAATAACTTCAGCGGAGAAATATGCTCAAAGATGCTCGGTCTAAAGCACTATGGCACTCGGCTAGGTACGATGTCGCTAAGTGTTGAAAGGCGTTCAAGTGAATAGCCCAGACTTATCTTCATAATACATATTGTGGATCTTGGAATGTGCCTCGTCTCGGAACATATCTCTTCAAGTATTTATATCTACCAGTACCCTGAAGTTGTCAAGGAAGGAGGTCAAATAGTATGGCCGAGAATACGTTTCCTTGCCTTCACAATGGCCAAGATCTTCTGCTCCTTATTCGCGAAAGCCCTCGCTATACTATCCATCATGCATCTAGTTCACGGTAAGACACAACTGTTGGATTTGGTGACCCAATAATTTCATTTGATATCCAGGTCTACACTGGAAATGGGTAAACCTAACATGAATAAAGGGGATTGCGCCGCAGCCAAACCAAAGAACTATGGCATCGTTCTTCTAAGAGCATTTGACGGCATGGATATCTTTGGACCCATTGACGCTCTCCAGCTGCTTGCACACTGGCAGCAGCTGAACCTGTATCTCATTGCGGACACACTCGATCCGGTGACAAGTGAGCCTGCAGCAGCAGCCATGAACCTGTTCAACTCCAGCTTCTGGCCGGAGGTTTTGCCCACCCACACCTACGACACGGCGCCGGACCTGGACGTGCTGATTCTCCCCGGCGGGCCCAGCGTTCGGGCTCCGAATCTCAATAGCACATACGACTTCATCGCCCAAAGGTATCCCACTCTCAAGTATCTGATCACGATTTGCACTGGTGCAGGCCTGGCTGCCAAGGCTGGCGTATTAGACGGCAAGCGAGCTACTACGAACAAGTCCGCATGGGCTACGATACTGGCCATGGGCCTGAACGTGAAATGGGTGTCGCCGGCGCGATGGGTTGTGGATGGTAATGTATGGACGTCGTCAGGGGTAAGATGCCTCTAATCAATCACAGCGTGGAAATAACGACTTCGAATGACTGATTTCTGTTCCTCGTGCTTTAGGTCACAGCTGGGTTGGATTTGATCTTCGAGTTCATCAAGAATATATATAGCCAGGAGGATGCCGACAAGATTGCGGGCATGATGGAGTATGAACGGCACACAGACCCGAGCTGGGACCCGTTTGCAGCTTACTTCAACGTCACGCCAACAGGAAACTAACTTTATATCAATGAACTGCACTTTTAAGTGAAGCGATGGCTCTGAATTATTGTTATAGTTCACCGTGGACTGTTGACCTCGTAGACCGAGCTCTTGCTACTGCTGCACGTCAACTCTATGCAGCCGTGACCTTACCCTTGGTCAGCTTCTCAGCTTCAAGAAGCTCTAAAAACGAGTCTCTCATTGACACATTAAGCGGCGTATACGTGATGCCCAACATCTTCTCCGCCTTGCTTGCATCAAGGCTGTAAACCGACTTCGCTTCCTCCCATCCACCGCCAGGCGTCCCCTCTGGAATGCGGCTCCTCAACTCGAGGAGCTCCTCACGAGCAGCATCCGCGGCACTCTGGTAGTCGAAGTGGCTGCCGACCAGAAACCGATGGCCAGCCGCCTCCGGGTGTTCAAAGGCGGCGATATGGATCTTGGCAACGTCTCGAACGTCAACAAAGGCGGCAAAGTCTGTCGTTGGGATCTTGTCCGCGTCCATTAAAGCCCACAGCTGGGAGGTGGACTGATTTAGGTTGTCGATGCTGGCTAGAGGCGGAACATGAGGACCGAATATCCAGGCTGGGTTGATCACAACGTGAGAAAATGAAGGGCTCTCTGTTTTCATCCAGTCCCACATGGCTTTCTCTGACAGTGCCTTCGAGGCGATATACGATACTGCACCCCAGTCCGCAGCAGCTCCTGCTTCATAGGTCAAAGGACACCAGTCCTCCTCAGTGTATATATACCCGGGACGAAATCCCTGAGTGACGTCCAGGTTGGCTGCGAAAGACGATGTTGTTACCACTCGACGTACTGAACTTCCATAACGCTTCACCGCTTCGAGAATGGCGATGGCGCCATTAATCGCCGGATCAAGCATATCCTGTTTCTTGTCTGCGATCTCGAACATGAAAGGGGAGGCGGTATGAATGACGCCAGTTACGCTGCTGTCTAGTGCCCCTTCGTATGACTCGGGCTTCGTAATATCGTCGACAATGGACACGGAGAACATGGGGCCGTATTGTGAAAAGGTCTCCTCGAGCTTGGCAACGCTTGACTTGCTCCGCACAGTTCCCTTGACATGGTAAGAGTTCTCCAACGCAAGCTTGATGATATGTCCCGCTGCGTAGCCATTGGCTCCGGTGACGAGAAGTGTTTGAACAGAATGGGGAGACATGGCGTAGAGGGCCTCTGGGATCTGAATAGGAAGAGTACTAGATTGGACAATTGTTCAGATCATAGAAGCAAAATGAATTAAGAAAGAAGAACATAATTCAATAGGGACTAGTGTGCCTTAAAAAGACACACTTCATCGACCTTCGCCTTGAACTCGTCATAATATCTCGCACTGAAGAGCCTTTTTAGGATACAACTGAAAGGAGAAGATAACACTAGATCAATGATCAGCAGGGCGCTATGTAAGCATAGCCTGCCTGCCGTCGACCGCGATGATATGCTTTCGATGGGCATTATTGCAGTGTGTACGAACGATGAGGATGACAATTAGAGGAGCTCCACTTGTTATTGGCTGCCACGCGCCTCAAGGTTCCTAATTAGGAAAAATGTTCGAACAATTATGCATGACGAGGTGACGAACAACCCTTACTCATGTTAGTAGGGATTAAGAAAAGACGAACCGACAACTGACTACTGGCCTTCATAGCGGCCGATGGGCGGCCGACTATGCAATGTTCCGAGCACCGGGAATCCGCCAAGGCGGCACGGGCAGCGTCAGCTCACGGCGGACGGCGGAGGAACATGCAGGGCACTCAACCCGTCTGTGTATCCGTCTCACGAACACTTGGATCAAACCCGACAGAATCTTCGGCCTCCTTATCGGGCTTTGAAAGGCAAAGCTCCTGAGCTCCTTAAACGACCAAAAGAGGGAAAGTAATGAAACGGCTCTGTCAATATAGCTCCTTGCATTGTAAGTCGGGGGCATTAATGTGTCAATATGAAGCTGAGTTTGCACTTGCTATTGCTTCATATCACTAACTGTGTGTACCTGACACAACTCTTCTATATAGAAGATGAGAAGAAATTTCAACTTTGAGGCACATCAGCAGTCAACAACGAAAGAAGGGTTAGTGAAGCTTGAAAGAATACTTTCCAGTCCACAGAAGAAAAAGAAAGGTGCGGGCTGAATGGTAGGAACCGAGAGAAGAGAATGACGAGATCCTTATCAATGTAGAAGACAAAAACTGCCAACACACGTGCTGGCTGTAAAGTCCGATCGCACTTGAGTATCGTCGCCAGAAGCAGAGATCAAATGTCAGACTCTTGTTGACGAGGGTATAACCACATCATAAAAACGGATAAGAAAAATGGCCTGGGTAATTGTTTTCCGTTGGACATCTTTGATGTCGGACCGAAGCCGGAATTACCCTCCGGTTACCAGAAGACGCCGGTCGGTAACCAGCACGTCGAAGATCCAAACTCGAGTAGTTGGACACCATGTGAGGGCCGGAGCATACGAAGATGACAGTGAAGTAGCAGTATCAGGAGAAGGGAAGCATAGGAGAAAGGTGAGGTTGAGCAGATATGCTGATGAAATTGTGGGAAAGCAAGCGTAAGAAAAACCATCAGCTTGCATCGCCTGACATGACATATTTAGGTGATCATGACTTCTCAGAGCGTTGTAATTGCGAAAGGCTCTAGACCAGCCTCATAGTACTTGTCCAGTCACTTGAAATCCCTCGGGCAAGCTGCAGGCTTAATAGCGTAGTGTGAGTTTTATAAGAACGCTCGCATTGCCTCAGCAGTGCCTGGCCGACATCTGATAATTTTTTACAAGACTTCAGACCGGAGAGCAAGCTGTTCCGTATAAGGTGCTGTTCCAAGGAGTCGGCTCCGGAGCTGACGTTTTGTACCAACTGGTATAAAAGATCTAGAGCGACAAAAGAATAGGAATATAGAGAGGTGCTTGGCGCAGACTGACTACCTCATGCCTACAGAGGAAGTCTTGGAATGGCCGGATTATCTGCAGATCAACAGAGGGAAGTGCATGGTCGAGGCGCACACCAAGATTCCGGAACGTGGCGTGACCATGGAAGAAGTTTCACGGTCCGATTGGGTACGCGGGATTGTGGCCGTTGAACTGCGAGCCTTCGCCGTAGTGGCCGGCTCATGGTGGCACTTACACCAGGAGATCCGGCCACTCGTACCCCCTTTTCCCATCAGATTGCCTGGTTCCTTTCCGCCATCAATGAACAAGCAAACAGCCGGGACGAGCCTAGGGAGGTTATGCGGAGATCGGGTATGTTAAGTCAATACACCTCGGGTAAACATCTAGAGAGCTCCACTATGGCGAGAATAAGGCTGAGGAGCTGGGGCCTGGTACAACCGAAGTTATCGTAGTCTATCACATCGTAGCCGCGACGCCCCGTATCCTGCCGGAGGTTATTTTCGTGAGATCCGTCCTACCCCGGACTAGCTGATAATCAGGTACTCAACGAGATACCAATGAATGGAGAGGCCTCAGAGAAGCTAGAGGACATCTCGAGGCTGAAATCCACACCTCTCGCTTAGCGGGGTGCAGTTGCGCGAGCCATATTCTGCCCATCAAAGCGAAACGTGCTGTTGCTTTGTCGACCTGCGATACGAGGTAGAATGACTGATCCTAAAGTACGGGCTCCGGCGAACCCTGGCGGTCCTCGCTGAATTATAGGGTAAGGAGTGCAAATGTAGGGCTCCGTTATCGAGGTACCAGATGATACAGGATGAGTACATCGGACGATTGGGGAGCAGTCTAGCCCTACTTCGATATCATCAGGAACAAGACGCTTCAGCGTATGCATTGGTAGCTGTCTAACGGCGTCGCCTATAACACACACAGGATTAACTTGGTAGCGCTATGCGCCCCATCGCTCACGAAGGATTTATTTAATGCGGTTGAGTAGATAATCCCATGGCAGCATTACCAAAGCCTGTGGAAGGGGGCGAATCTTCACGTCATATCTGGAAGCGACGATGGCTGACATGCAACGGGAGTGACGGGAAGGTGCTTTGGGGCTGGAGGGGCAGATCCGAAGTTCCCCCATCAATGTAGCGAGGAAGTAGCGCACTATCAGGGTAAGGCAAGAAGAGGAACATGAATCGTCTTGGCACCGGCAACAGCGTCGAGGCCCCACCAGAGCAGACCTCAAACCCTGGTCGCAGTGATGCAATGCAGCAATTGGATGGAAGGCACGACTGGGCCGAGAAATTCAGACATGGCAATTGCGCAGAAGAAGCATCCCACCAGGGAGCCACCGTACTACGCAGGAAGTACCACGCTCATCCCACCACCCCACCAGAGGGGTCACCTTGAGCATCGACAGCTCAGGATTTTGCACAAATGTCACCAGAGCGAAGCGCAAGGGACCCTCTCTGTAATTCTCTGCCACCTCTTCTATGCAGTACATCGGTGTGCACAGTACTTTAGAAGAGATAGCTGGCAAGACTAGACTAGAGAAGAGTTTGCAGTAGTGGTCTGAAGAGAAGGTACGGCCGAGTTTAGTCCACTCTTTCCCATTTGCCTGACGTGACAATCGATATCATCATAATCACCCATCATAAAAAGAGAGCCCCTCGCCCACCCCCGCGCCCTTTCCTCGTCTATCGATTTTTTTTTTTTTGTTGTGGAAAGTCATCAACAATTCGATTTCAAATAACTCTCTCTTTCCCTCACCATCCGTGACCAGCGCAATTTTTAAAATCCCTCTTGCCGTGTCCACAGCTTCCCATTCCAATTAATCATCACATTCTCTCAGGTAAGCACCGAACATAGCACCGTTGCCCCGTTAAAACAAGAGTCGAGTCACCGAGAGGAGTCGGCCAAAAGCTGTTTGGCTTGGTTTGGCCTGCCTGCCCGTGTCCGTGCCACTGTCATTTCCAAAATTGCCCCTCCAAGAAGCACCAACCAAGCAACAAACAGAGCCCGCTCTGCACTCTGCACGGCGTGTCCAGACCCCTCAACACCTCAACCTACCCCGCCTGAACCGGAGCTTCAGCCAATAATTATCACGCACTTTCCACGCAGCAGCAACCTTAGCACTCGGGTTGGCACTGACTGGACCAGCCTGGGCTGAGACCTGAACCCTGAGGGCTTAAAAAACCTCTCATCCCTCCCGTCTTGTTACATCTTGATATTTTCCTCCTCCCTCTCTCAAACAACAAACAGCTCTTTTTTCTCGCAGTCTTCCTATCCACTCTCACACTCTTCACTTTTGAAAAGAAAATACAAGCTCACACCTAAGAAACAGCAAACATGGCTATCAAGGTCGGCATCAACGGATTTGGCCGTATCGGCCGTATCGTCTTCCGCAATGCTGTTGAGAAGGACGATGTCGAGATTGTTGCCTGCAACGATCCCTTCATTGAGCCTCACTACGCTGTAAGTTCAATCCCCCCACGCCTTTCCCGCCTTCGACAGGCTGTGTTTGCAGCTATCGCACCTTGTGAGGCAAACATTGTAGCTGACAAGATGCTTTCTTTCGCTCCCCGCAGGCCTACATGCTCAAGTATGACTCCACACACGGTAACTTTAAGGGCGAAGTCTCCGTCGATGGCGCCGACCTGGTCGTCAACGGCAAGAAGGTGAAGTTCTTCACCGAGCGTGACCCCGCCAACATCCCCTGGGGATCCACCGGCGCTGAGTACATCGTCGAGTCCACCGGTGTCTTCACCACCATCGACAAGGCCAAGGCTCATCTCAAGGGCGGTGCCAAGAAGGTCATCATCTCTGCCCCCTCAGCCGATGCCCCCATGTACGTGATGGGCGTCAACGAGGACAAGTACGACGGCAGCGCCGACGTTATCTCAAACGCCTCGTGCACCACCAACTGCTTGGCTCCCCTGGCCAAGGTTGTTCACGACAACTTCACCATCATTGAGGGTCTGATGACCACCGTCCACTCCTACACTGCCACCCAGAAGACCGTTGACGGTCCCTCCGCGAAGGACTGGCGTGGTGGCCGTGGTGCTGCTCAGAACATCATCCCCAGCAGCACTGGTGCCGCCAAGGCCGTCGGCAAGGTCATTCCTGACCTCAACGGCAAGCTGACCGGCATGTCCATGCGTGTTCCCACATCCAACGTCTCCGTCGTCGACCTGACTGCCCGCATTGAGAAGCCTGCCAGCTACGACGAGATCAAGGCCGCCATCAAGGCCGCCTCCGAGGGTCCTCTCAAGGGTGAGTTTTCCTGCTCCTCAACCTATCCAGTTTTGAAACGTTTTGCTAACATTCTCTTCAGGCATCTTGGGCTACACCGAGGACGATGTCGTCTCCAGCGACATGAACGGCAACCCCAACTCCTCCATCTTCGATGCCAAGGCCGGTATCTCCCTGAACAAGAACTTCGTCAAGCTTGTTTCCTGGTACGACAACGAGTGGGGCTACTCCCGACGTGTCCTGGACCTCCTTGCCTACGTCGCCAAGGTCGATGCTGGCAAATAAACTGCCTGGAGCAACATGTGTGAACAAAGCTCCTTCATTGCAATGTGCGGTTCTTTCGGACAGGATGGGTTATGAGAACGGTCACCTGGTAGCTTTGGTAGTATGAATATAAACAAATTAGAACGCAATGTTTTTTATCAAATCCTACATTGATTGTGTTATGCTTCAAATGTTGGCGTCTGTGCTTGCGGCCACCCCAACCTCCATTGGTTTGGCGTGTGGCAACGATGTGGCTAAGCCTGATCTGGCGAGATCCCTGACATGGCAGGTCAAAAAGTCACTTCACGCAGTGCAATACTACAGATTGGTTTCGCAGTTCATATTTCATTATGTCTACCATAATCTATGGTTGATGGAATCTATCCATCCTCGGAATATCCTGCTGGCTAGAGGGTATCGTCAAGCAGAATGGCCTCATTTCATGCAACCTGCTGATACGACCTGAACGCCCTGTGCAATGTGTGTGAATGTCTAATAAGACTGTTTGTGTGTGTGTTTGTTGAATGGAGGCTCGAGATCGATCCATTCGGCGGGCTGGGGGGATCCTGTTGGGGCATGATAGCAAATATCCTGTGGGCTCTAGCCACTAATTGTACAGTGATGATACAAGTTAATTTTTGTTTTTTTTTGTTTTTGTTTTTGGGTGCTGTTTTGTCTTCTTCATCCGTCGTATCGTTTGTCTCTCTTCTCGGCCTTAGAAGGCGGCACCGCCCATGCCCTCGCCAGCGATATTCTTCAGGCTCTTCTCGCTGAGGTCGCTCTTGAGCTCGAACGCCTTGCTCTCGCGCTCGAGCTTGTCCCACAGGCGCAAGCTCTTGCGGAGCTTCTCCTCCTTGGCCTTGGACTCCTCACGGATGCGCTCCTCCTCCTCCTTGAGGCGGCGGTGGTGCGGCTCCAGCTCCTTGGTGACGCCTGTGGTGAGCGGAGTCAGGGACGGGTCGATCTTGCCGCCGGGAATTATGACGGGCATGCTGGACATGAGGTTCTGAGCGAGCGTCGGACGCGAGGCGCCCTGCTGGGCGGCGGGGCCCGTGGGCGGGTTGAATGGCTTGGAGGCGAGAGATGGAGAGCCAGTAATGGATGATGTAGAGCCGGCACGGGGACCGGTAGGAATCCCGCCAGCAGCAGAAGGTTGCGGAGCTGGAGATGTGGAAGGGCCTGAATGACGGGCGGGTAGCTGACCCCATCCACCGCGGCCACCTCGTGGTGTAAAGCCACCACCACGCGGTGCGACATAGCCCCTTGGTCCAGCAGGTGGGACAGTAGGACTAGTAGTGTCCTGGCGAGACTGTGAGGCGGTAGTCTGAGATTGAGAATGTCGGCCAGTTAGGCCGGGAGAAGCGACTGGTGTGCTAAAATTTCTCGCAGCGCTGGGGCCAGTTGGGGGAGGACGCAGGGCGGCAGGACCACGAGGGGGTGATCTAGCGGGGGTTGATATGTGATCTGTAGATTTGGGGGTCATGGTTCTGGTGGGTACATTGTTTGAGGAGGCTGCGGGTGCAGGAGATCGTGAGATGGGTGATTGAGGTCGCGATCTATCCTCGCGGCCTCTGCGGGAGCTGGGGCGTGGCGAGGAGATGCGCGAGGCTGAGCGAGAGGTGATGTTGGAAGAGATACCAGATTCTCTCGGCAGAGGAGATGCCCTTCTGTAGGACGAACCTGGCCCATATCTATCATCGCGACGGTCCGCACTACGAGACCTCGGACGGTATGAGCCCCCACGGGGACCAGCGGGCGGCGATCGTCTGTAAGGAGAACGATTCCGGTCTCTCCGGTCCCTGTCAAATGGCGAACGTGATCTACGTCTGCGAAAAATGTGAGCATTCTCATTAAAGGGTTAGAAAATAGGGTTTTACCTCATATCTCTCGAATCATAATCTCGACGGGGAGATCTGGCTCGGTCATCGCGTCGTGGAGATGAGTAGCGAGGCGGCGAGCGTCGGGGGCTACGTCTTGGGGAACCGCGTCTAGGTGGGGTTCGTGCTCGACTACGGCTCCTATCGCGTCGGCGCCAGGTCTCACCGCCGTCTCGAGAACGGTCTCGACCTCGATATCGATCACCACTACGCGAACGACGTCTTGGAGACCGATTTGGAACGTAACTATCGCTCCCGCCCGGTGGGGTTCGACCTCTATCCCTGTCACGATCTCTATCCCGATCTCGGTCTCTGAGAGGGCTTCTAGCTCTGCGAGGTGACCTGTCACGGTTGAATGGTCTGTAGGACTCTCCGGCGCCGTATCGAGTGACTTCACCGTCTTCGTATCTAGTTACAATGGTGTTAGTTGCCCGTTTCGTACGCTTCAGCTTTCGTGAGCTAACGACACTTGTGTACGGCTCATGTCTATAAGACTGTCTGAGTTTGGAAGCAACATGCTGGCGGCGCGGAGAAACACGAGGTGCTGGGTTACACAACGGGGAGGACATGGTAAGGTCGATGATCACAGGCGGCGGTGTTGGAGACAGTGTGAGATCGATGATGATGGGCTGGGTAGCCTGGTCAGCCTGCTCGACTCCCTCGTCGTGATTATGAGCTCTCTGTTCGTTCAACAAAGGGCCTGGACTATCCGGCGCGTATGTAGGAGAATCTATCATGTCGACCTCCGGTGATTCCTCAACCTCGTAATACCCGTCCTCTGTGCCGTAGGCCTGAGCATTGTGAGTATGATTCACATTGTTTTGAGTAAGGTCTAGCTGGACATCGCCGTTCGGGTAAGGCGCGCCGAAGTCTTCATGTCCCTGAGTACCATAGTTGGGAGCATCATGACACTCATTCTGTTGACCCAGGATGTTGGGATTGAGATATCTAGATTCCTGAGCACTATGATTCGCGTTTCTGACGAGCGGAATATCTCGGATTGGGAAAGGTGGACTGAAGGCTAGATATCTCCGAGCTAATTCCCTCTGAGCATCGTCATCCAAGCCATCATAGATATGGGTTCTCTGGCTAGGAGAAGGTCGGCTGCTGGCACCATGGTCCTGAGCATCGTAATACTGAGCAGTATACCTCGAAACGGGTGGAACGGGGCCCATCTGAGGCGTTGGACCACGAATCTGAGCTTCAGCACTTGAAAAAGGTGGACCGAAAGCAGAATAGGAGGTTGATCCATGGGCTTGGGCGCCAGGGTAAGAGAAGTCCTGAGGCGCATGATGGATTCCAGGACCATGTGACACCGATGGGAGCTGCTGGGATGTGTAGCCTGATGATTCTGAAGTCCTGGGAGATGATTGTGGCTCCGGAACGGTAGATGACGAGCGAGTACCAGAAAGATCGATGATCTCAACCGTAGAGGGAGTCGAGACAGGCTCAGGGGCGATTGTCACTGTCACAGGATCCTCAGGAGTCTGCTCCTCCTCGTAGTATTTCGACCAGTGGGCTGGAACACCGGCAGTGGGGGGCTCGAGTGGTTGGAGAAGGAGGTTCAGGGGGATGCCGCCATTTGTGAAGGGAACGTACCCAGGCTGATTGAGCCACTGCGGCGGAGGAGTATCGGCTACTCGAGCAGTGTGGATGTAGGTAGAAGTATCGGTTGCATTGACGACTGGAGCTCGCTTGTTCGCGGCGGTCTTATTCGCCTAGGGTAAAACCTCAGGCGCAAAAAGCGAAGTCTTTGGATCGTCGTAGCGTCTGATAGGGGGATGAGAGATCACCTCCCCTTTCTGAGAAGCTGAGTTATTGTGCGCCTTGTTGACAGGAGCTTCACTCTTCATGGAAGCTGTCTTCTCCCAAGGCAGAACTTCCGGCGCGAAGAGTGAGGTAGCCGGGTCATCGTAACGTCTGATGGGAGGATCAAAGCTGTCCTTCCCATCCTTGTTGGCGCAATTGTTCATGGAAGTATCGACAGATGTAGAGGTGAGTGGCTCGTGGTTTTCATTGGCAGCTTGCTTCGCGAAAGCCAAGGGTTCTGGCGCAGAGAGCGATATTGCCAGATCCTCGCGGCGGCTGATGGGAGGCTGAGACAACTCTTTGGATTTGCCCTGGTTTCTGTCCAAGGACTTCTCCTCCCCGTCGGTGTATAGCTTTCTGAGGTTCGTTCTGGCTCTGCGACGCAATGGATCGTGGCGTCCTGGTCTACGAACGCTCCCGCCGTTGGCGGCCATTTCGTGAGAGCCATCTTCGTCGTCGTCGCAGTCCTGAATCGCGTGGTCCTTGGGTCGCGGGACCGGAGGGTAACGCAAGCCCCACGGCATCTTGTTGAGTTTGAGGTGAGGTAGGTAGGAAGATTCGGAAGGTGATTTGGGTAGCTAGAAGGTGGTATTTGGGGTTTCTCGCAAATGATAGCTGCTCTGGAAAGTTCCAAGAGCTGAAGGTCGGATTGTTTGAGGAAAAGTTCGGAAATGGAGTTGTGGTGGTGTTGGAAGTTGCTCCAAGGAAATGAGGTCGGGGGGTTGTGGGAGGTGGAGGGGGAAAGTCATGGCAAAAACAATAGGAACAATGGGGATGAGTAACAATACTGACCTTCTGCTGCGCTCGCGATCCATCTTGTGTGGTCGTCTGAACAGCACTTGGCTGTTTTCTATCAGAGTCGTGAAGTTGATCTGAGGAGGATATCAAATGCTCCTCAGATTCCCTTCAGACGCGACTCACCCCAGGGAAATATTTTCGGGGGGGAATTTTCCCGAGCCGGTTCTTATCGATAAGTTCAACTTACTACCCTACCCCCTGTCAGCATCCATCGCCTAGGGTGTACATACCCCTGTACATACAAGTCACATCTGATATTCCCTTCCTGAACAGATTGGACATGGAAGTGAAAAAATGAGTAAAAATACGATGTAAAAATCATTTCCAACGCTTGAAATTATTGAAGATGGCCTGTTCGTATATATCTTACTGTATTGCAAAGACTGACTTCGTTTCTATCAAACAAGACAAGCATCATGATCGAGCAATCGATGGGGATTATGGCAAGCAGGAGAGTGCAAACATGGTATATAGCTAACCTGTCCTACCTTGATGGATTTCACCGTGCTATCCTCGTAATGCAACATTGCTATAACTTACATACATCAGCTCTGGACATCATGCAACCGAGACTTCTTGCCATTCAGTTGCTCCATTAATTGGTCGTCCCCTGTCACAGGTCACTTCTCAATTGACCTTATCCTCCTCAGTAGTGTCTCCATGGCCATCCACAACACGGTCCAAGATCCAGTTGTAGACTTCGCCAGCATGTGCTCTCATCATACGATTGAGGCCATGATGCGGACTATGCACCACGGCGCCAAAGCGCTTCTTCGACACCTTTCGGGTCAGGTCCGAGTCGTTCCAGCATGCGTGATCGTCAGCAACGAAGACGCGCGAATTTTCCTTGTACCATGAAGATAGCTCTTGGTCAACATCAGACTTTACAGGACGTAGCGTGCCATTTACAAAGTTGACAACTCCGGAGATTCTTGATTTGCAATCTGAAGCGGATGTTAGGAAGCCAAACACGAGAATCACGGGTAGCGCAAGCATACCTCTGCTTATCAGGAGCGTCTTAACTCCAAGATAAGCGAAACCAACTCCCATGAGGAAGATCTCCTCAACGTTGTCCCAGAGCTGCAGATAATTATCCCATATGTAGCATACGAGCTCCTGTATCTGCAGCTGCATCGCTCTCTCATCTGTTCGTTGAGTGAATGGATCCGTATCCTGTTGTGTCATTCGGTTAGATCAAGCGAGGAAACTAACGGGAGTAACAATTCAGTAGCTTTCATGACTAACCTCCGGATGAGTGACATAATAAGGGATGTTGATGTCCATGACACCAAACTTCTGGGCCACAGCCCACTCGATATACTGTGTCACGCCGTCGGCCTGCCGCAATTAGTACGAAAGCAGAAAGAGCCAAAACATTCCAACTTACCACCCATCCATTATGAGCCTCGATAGAATTATCAAGCGAATCCGGCTGGGCAAGCAATGCGGGACTGTTGGTTGCAGTGTCAGCATAATATCCTCATCGTTCTCACTGTGCCGTCACGTACGGATCGTGAATGATCATTAGAAGTCTTCTCGATTCATGAACACCTCTAGTGATTAGAACCTGGTTCTCATAAGACTTGAAGAGCGTCTCTCTCTGGATGTAGAGCGGAATCATGCCGAAATTCTGGGACAGCATTTGCCGTTGATAAGTGCGAACAACGTCATGAAGACGAACTCCTCCGAGAGATTGAATGTCTTGGACATCAACGATGCCCGGTCTCATGCATTCCCAGTAGGGTGCTTGGTGTGCCTGTACCTTGGCGAGAAGTCTGGCCGCCTCCTTGTTGATCTTGGGTATTGTCATCATCGGCGGTGGCTCTCCCATCAAGGTTCTTGCAACAGCAACAGCAGATTGCGAGATGGCGCGCAGGTTGTATCCTCCCTCCAAGCAAACGGCCAATTTTCCGTTTGAAAGAGACATGAGCATGTGAGTCATGTGCGCATAACATGCTGGTGTGACGAAGCATCCGCCAAGCTCATCTCCGTCAGCTGCATCGAAACCAGCTGAAATGATTGTCAGATCCGGATTGAACTCTTGCGCGATGGGCATAATGATCTTCTGGAATGCAGCCATGTATTCACCATCGCCCATGCCTTGATCGTGCCAGCCAATGTTGACATTTCTTCCTAGGCCTGCACCCGTGCCGCAGTTTTCTATACCGCCGTCAGGTGTCATGGGGTTATCAGGTTTTCCTGGGTAAAAAGTGCCGTTGATGTAGACGTGAATGGAGATGTAGAGAATGTTAGGGTCGTTGTAGAACATGTTCTGCGTGCCGTTTCCATGATGGACGTCCCAGTCCAGGATGAGAATCTTCCTACATAAGTCAGGGAATTGTTGTTGACAGATCTTTGCTGCTATCGGAACATTGTTGAAGAGGCAGAAGCCCATAGGAGAGTCGAACTCTGCATGATGGCCTGGTGGACGGATGACTGCGAAGGCGTTCTTGACATTGCCATTGACAACGCTCTTGCATGTCTCAATGGCGCCGCCAGCAGAGATCAAAGCAGCAGGAAATGTCATCGAGCCAACATACAGTGAGTCCCTGCCAGAGTCAAGGATCTTGGTCAATCGGCGAAGATCCTGGGTGGTCTTGTTGTCCAGATCCTTCACCCATTCGTAGTGCTCTGGGCGATGAACAATACAAATCTCATCCTGGGTTGCTTCACGTGCCGGAATCCTCCACATGTACTGAGTCGGATTGGTATTAATGACATCAATCTCCTTCTCTGGAGGTCCGGAGTAGACAAGGCCATTTCTCTTGAACGCGTTCATGATGGCATCAATTCTTGAGGGATCCTCAGGATGATGAGGATTCGGACCGAAGTCGGCGTTGGCATGGAGCTTCATCCGAACATCGTAGCAGCAGCCCGTAGGAAGGAGACCCTTCCGTCGCAGGTCTTGAGGGTAGGCAGTGGGATCCTCTTCCTCCTCAGACTCATCAAGATCGCTTTGACCGTCAGGAGAGGCACTTTCGAGGCCCATGTCAAAGTCTCCAGAGTAGTGGAAACCATTCTGGGCAGAGTGACTATTGATGCGATGCTCCTCACCATCCATCACCACATCATTGTCGTTATCGTCCATGCTGGACAAACGACACACTGTTCTTCAACCTTAGAAAGCGAAAAATACGCCTCAAAGATGGTACAAACATGCACCTTGACAAAGAAAATCTCAAGGCGAATTTAGTTCTGTGATTGGTCAGTGTTTTGCTCGAAACCTCTCTGAGGTTAGTAAGGTCAATGTGAAGAGGTACGATTTTCGATGGGTGTCAACAGACCACACTGGCGAGCTGAATGCGAGAGATGAGAGACAAGTGCCTCACTGAGGAAGTGAATGTGTAAGATGAATGTTTTGAGGAAAATGAGGCGAAGATGATTCGAATATATGGGGATGTGTGTGGCACTGGCCTTGGTAGCCGTGGTATGTCGAGGTTGCAGCTCGAGTTTCGGGCTAAGACTCCCCTGTGATGCAAATTGGGGATTGGATGTTTACGTAGTGAGCAGTATTGACAACAGGGATAAAGACTGAGAGGAGATTGCACAATTTTTCTCGTTGTGCTAGAAAATACTCACGCTCTTTGTCTCGTGGCTGCGCTGTCGAGCCCGTGTTAGTCGTTGAGTCTCGGGGCTGTCTCTTAGATTTCGCTCCACGTTTGGTGGAAAACCGAGAAGAAACGGAGCGGGCCGGTGCAACGTGTCGTGTTAGAGCGTCTCCCCACTGCTGCTACAGAAAGTCGCTGCAGAGACGATTTATGCGAGGCATCGCATGCGCGCGAGACGCATGGAGAGAGGAGTGGCGGGCGTTTGTCAGGTGTTGGTGGTCAGGTCTATAAGTGTTGTGGTGAAGAGAAGGAGGCTAAGGCAGGTGTCAGTGAGGTGGATAAGATAGGCAAGGTTGGTTTTCCTGGCCTGCGAGCTGGACCTGCCGTCCACCCAAACTTTGGCCGTCCTGCAAGGTTCCGCGCTAACACTTGATGCGGCTTAAATTCCCCTATCCTAGATAGTACGGGACTACAATCGCATTACCATCAAGAACCACTTTCACCACTGCCAGATGATTTCACTGGGTGCTTTCGAGTGGTATTTTCATATTCATTGAGTAGAAGTGATTCGTAGTGATCCTTTTAAATAGTCCATATTTTGAAACAACTGCTGCTACAATTTGAATCCTCTCGAACGGATCTGCACGAGTCATGGTATCAAGAGGACATGCGGTGAATCCAAGACACTCGGCCTCTCTCAATGATTTCCGTTCATGGACAAACACAGGTGATGGCAAAGCATGAGTATTGTCAAATGCGAGCTGGATAAGGAATCCAGCACCTCTATGCAATGCCCCCGTTTTCTGTTGAATTAACGAACACCTGAAACTCTATCTGCAAGGAAAGTACAATCATGAAAGCTCTTGGACATCTCAATCCTCAGCAAGATCTGTTCGACCATCACCCCTTCACAGTTCGTCAGGATCGAGACAGCCTCTGGGCATGGTTACCAGATCAATATCATCACCCAGATTAAGTCCGGCATCATCTCCGGCAAAATGACTCCCCGCTTCTCGAAGGTCGAGATCCTCGTCATCCTCGTCGAGAATACCACCACTCCAATCACCTATCAGACCAACGTAGCCGTTCTGCAACTTGCGCTCTTCTGTGATAGCCCTGATGGCGAAACTCAAACTCTCCCACTCTCTAGAAAGACCCGGATGCTCGATCTTGATCTTTCGAAGGAGACTCCCCTTAGAGAAACGCGTCTCAACAAGCTCAAGGATCTTAGCCGGCGATAGCTTCAACACAGTCTCAACGACTGACTGATTGACATTGATGCCATCGTGCGCAGGATTGATACGAAGACCTGCTGCGGAAGATCCAAAGGCGATTCGATGAGCCTCTGCTTTGGAGATAGACCAGTCCTGGAACTAGTTAATTGGCTACCCACAGGTACAGAGAGTGCGACAACTTACCATGTACTCCAGGACAAACTCTGTAGAGGGACAGATTTTCTGCTCCACAATGATCCGTACAACCATCCACAGGTCATCGAGCTCTAGCAACTCCGTATCTGACAGCTGGCGCAAGAAGCTGCACCGTGGGTCCGAAGAATAGGCCCGGGGGATATAGCGTGGTCGGGGAAGATCACCGTGAAAATAATGTGCGTAGCTCATCCACCGATATAATGCACCGCGAAGACGCTCTGCCTCATGGGCTCCCAGCGTACGGCAGTCAGCAGGATTTGTAAATCGCCAGTTGGTGTAAAGTCTCTCCCACTCCCGTACAACTCTGTGCGTGCTCAGCAACTGTTGTATGCAGTATTTGAGCTGGTTTGAATTGAGATGAATGGTCGTCTCAGACTTCTTATCCGAGGCGTATACCCATCCGGACAACGGCTTGCCTTCGTAGGAGATGTTCCGCCGGAAGAACGATCGGGGGACATGTGTTTCATGCTCGGATGTGGCGACGACAAACTGCAGGATGTCATCAAAAGGGCTAAGTTCTGCCCTGAGAGCAGGCAGAATGACTGCTGCCCAGTTGCTGTCGTATATGCTCTTCAATTTCCTGTTCGTACATGCAAGGATGAAAGCGCTCCTCACGTCGCATTTCTCAAAGATGCTCAGGATTGTCTCAACCGGAAGGCTTATGATACCTCGAGTCGTATGATGATGAGAAACGTATAGTCGCTCAGGCATTGAGAGATGGAGTGAGCTCGGATTATTAGAGTTGAATGCGGCATTCAGAGAGGTAATGCCCCGAGGAAGACCTCGAGGAGGGTTGGCCGGGAGAACGAGGGCCATCTCGATACACTGTAGATATACTTTGAGGCTTGAATGCGACCTGATAGTAGGAGTTTACTGCAAAACAATCAAGTGCCTCTCTGGTCGTTCTTGGTAGGGATCTAGAATATGGAGAGGCGTGAGAGAGCTCTATACGCGTAACGAATTGGCTTGCAAGCGGAGAATGGTAAAAGAACCTGCAACCAGCAATGTTCCCTTTCTAAGTAAAATACTTGTGGGAGGAAGATGAGTGTCGCTATTGTGTTCTACCAAGCGGCCTGACTCTGTGCAATGGTTCTTAGATATATGACTTGTTCTTTGCTTTTAGTGAGTGAGTGAGTGACGGGATGTGGTAAGGGCTAATCCGTACCTATACTCTGTTGTAGACGAAAGTTTGGAAGCAGTGTAAACCCGTAACGATCGCTTATCATGGTGTGCGAGATTCGTACAATTGACAAATCTCGCCGTTAACTTGAGCGATTGACACTTGTGATGTCGATGACTCAAAGATCGAAGGAACAGCAAAGGCGTGCTGTCCTCAGGTCAAATCAGGGTCTCTGAGATGGACTATTTTACAATGAATCTTCCAATCTTCGATCAGAAGAGACTCTTTCCCTCGGCTCAATGCTGTGTTCAAGAGGTATCGTATATTCAATACCAGCTTCCAACAGACCTCGATGACCGAGGCACCAGGTCCTTAAATCAGACAACTTCAACCCCTACGTTGGGGCTATCCAAGGAATAAGAGACGCTGCAAGGCATCGCTCGTGAGAGTTTTGTGGCCATCATCGTGACGGCGGAGTTTGGATGGATTTCTGCCATGTCGTTGCTTTGTGAAGAGGAAGAGTCAGGCGAAGCGCGTCGCAATAGTAGGTGTACACAAATGCTTATAGTTTTCCTAGGTTGGCACGGGTACCTGATTGCAGGGACGCCGCATTAATTGTTCCACCGTCTACATCCCTGTCCAACTCGCCTTAATTTAAGCAGAGCCTTGCATAAATGAGCCTTGTGCACAGTCCAACCAAAGTTGAACCGGACTCTTTAATATACATGTATCGAGCAAGGTGGGCGATCAATTATAGTGGTACTTTTTGTATTTATTTTGGCACAACTCTACATAGAAGCAAATCCGTTTCATAATCAGGTCTTGATGTCGACTGAACACTAGAATGCGTCAAGGCACTTACTTCACTTCAAGCCTCCCAATTCAGAACCAGATACATGCAAGACCTCAATGGCACCCTCAAATATTTCTATGTAGCCTAACGCCATGAATCACATAAACCATGAACTTTCTGGTCACTCAGGGTATAATTGCCATCTTCAGATACAAAAACCAGGTGAACCCTCAAGCAAAGAGCTTCTTTTTAGCCAGCGCGTCCTCCTCGATCACCCGCCCACCGTTTGTTCGCAAGCCAAGATCTCCTCTCTTTGCCAACCTCTCCACCTGCTGCTCTGCTCTAGCATTATGCCTGGTTGACTTCTGTCTCCGTAGATCGGCTCTGATCTGGTTCGGTGAGACGAATTGCCTGTTTTCATAGATAATCGGTCCACCAAAGGAGCCCTCCTGGATGATGATCGGTGTGAGAACGAATCGAGGTCCGATCTCCACGAGGTTGATGTCTGTCTCCGGCTTGCCCGACTTTGAGTGCTTCCGTCGCTCCTCATCTTCACCCTCTCCCTTGGGCTTCTCCACCTCGTTGATTTGGTAATTCCGAATCCAAATCTTTCCGTCGGCGACTGTAAAACCAAGAACATGGTCTATGAATGGCTTTGACTTCCGCGCGCCTTGAGGCACACCGAAGGTGTGGAGGAAGAGCTCCTTGATCACTCGCAGGTGTGGCTCTTTGTCGAACGCAGAATCGAAGGATAGGATGGGTCGTGATCCCTTTAGGCAATTGCCCGTGAAATGAAGCTCCTCCATTGTGTGTACTGAGATAACATTAGCAGGAGCCCACCAGATCTATGCTCCGAGCTCGAGCTCAACTTACGGTTCTGAAGGTGCATCTTTACAGTAGGGCCGTTAGGGACTTTGCTTAACCAAACATAGAGATCCTTTCCTTTCCGTGCCTCGAAGAAGAGTACATTGTTGCAGTTGTAGAGTTCGGCGAGTTCATTTAGCTGATACAGCTTGGACTTCGAGTCGAACTTCGCATCTTTTCTGCCGTGAGGAAGCATTGACGCTAGATCGTTCAAGAGGTGTCGGTGTCTAGATCGCACTCTGTCAGCTACCATGCATCGAGAAACCTCATCACGGGGTTCGCAAGGAAGGAAGCACTACCTGTAGGTGACACCTCTTGATGAGAGGATGAGAACTCTCTGCTTGTTCTTCTTGGCTCCATTGGCCGATGAATCCGGCTTCGTGGCACTGCCCTTTGACAGCGATTTGAATACGGTAGCCATCGTTGGTTGGCGGGCTTGAGGTCGGGAAGAATTGGCCGTTTCCAAGAGGCTTGGTTCGGAGTGCAAGAGGCTGCAGTTTGCGACGGAGACTCAACTTTTGCAAGGAAATTTTTCTGGAGCACGACCGATAAGACGGTGTGGCGGGGCTTATCTTTAATGTGGGGGCTTGACTTTTAGCTGGTCGTGGCTGATGTCTTACGCAGTAATTATCCCTTACTTTAGGGTGTTCGGCAGTGCAACGGCAAGAAGAAACCCCTAACGAGGGAGTCGTGCAACGCGGATATGTGCTTTGTGACCAGGCGCACACGTCTATGAATCAGATAAATAGCTGTTTTCTGGATTCCTTGTATGCCAAGCACTCTCCAATGTCACAATTCTCGTAGCAGAGGCGGTGAACACGCGCATGTATTGGGAATTACTGTGGTTCATTCAACTAAAGCATACCCTTGCCAGAGTGATCGTTGGACTTTGTACCCCAGACAGCCGTACGAGAGATAGGTAGTGGGAGAACACGAGGAAAAGCAAAATAACCCTAATTAGAAATCGTCAAAACGTCCTGATGATACCAGCAGATCCATGATCCCTCCAATGCATTCTCCTGCTGACATGTTCCGGACAATATGTGACGCCATGTGTGAACCTAGCCGCATGACTATGCATCCGGCCCCCGGACAAGCTTAGCAGCATCCGCTCTTCTTCGCGCCGTCGTCCGCCGGCTTGCTGAGAGAAATGTTGGTGCCCGCACCGATGGTGGCCTGGGCACCATCGCCACTGTCGAGAGCCTTGCTTGAAACGATTCGGTAGATCTCTGAAGGGGGTGTCATCAGTATCGATCGAGCAACGACGGATAGGCGGCATGTCAGACTGACCTGTCAGGATGTTCTGGAACGCGAGCTCAACATTGCTGGCGTCGAGGGCTGATGTCTCGATGAAAGACAGGTGGTTCTCGCCTACGAAGTCTTGTCAATATCATTCGGCCTAGATCATGCGGTGAAGAATGCATACTCGCGAAAGCCTTGGCTTCTTCTGTGGGCACAGCTCGTAGATGCCGCAAATCGCTCTTGTTTCCAACCAGCATAATGACGATGTTGGCGTCGGCGTGATCCCGTAGCTCTTTAAGCCATCGTGTGACGTTCTCGTACGTCTGGTGCTTGCTGATATCGTAAACGAGAAGGGCGCCGACAGCACCTCGGTAGTATGCTGAAGTAATGGCGCGGTATCGTTCCTGACCTGCAGTGTCCCAGATCTGGGCCTTGATCGTCTTCGAGTCGACCTGAATGGACCGGGTAGCGAACTCGACGCCGATGGTGGACTTGGAATCGAGGTTGAACTCGTTACGAGTGAACCGACTGAGCAGGTTGGATTTTCCGACGCCAGAATCTCCAATCAACACCACTAAATCATCCTACAATCAGTATGAGGCCGCAGCGAGAAAGCGGGAGCAAGCCTGAGAGGCGAATGGCATACCCTTGAAGAGGAACTGTTGGCAATCACAGGTTAGCGCAAAGCGGCGGGGAAGGGGGGATAGAGGGGAGAAGGGGGCTCGGAGGGACTAACGTCGTATTCGTCGTTGGCCATGATGCTAATTGAATGCGCGAGGCTTGACGATGGAGGGACAGTGCTGAGGGAATGTCGTGAATCTCGGTTGGCGCAGGACGGACGGAGCAAGGTTTGTTAGATGGTGGTGATGCAGCTCGGTTGTCGACGAGGGCGGCTGCCACGGTAGGGTGATTGAAAGGCAATAAAGGACTTGGTGGCTGCAAGGCAACGACAAATGGGTCTAGACGCCTAGAAGATATGGGCAACTCGGGGCTTGAGCTAGGGGTTGTTGGGTGTGGGTGTGGGTAGAGGTACTTAGGTTTAGTGACTAGAGCGACTGGGTTCAACCAGGGTTAGGGTGGTCGTGAGTTGGAGGCGGTGGAACTTGGGCTTTATGATACTGGGCGGGCACCTCAGCAACAGATATCTATCGACAGACGGACTGACGGACTGACAGATGGGTTGATTCCTTTTCTGTTTCAGTGACAGATTCTACTCACACACTCATAATTAGACTACGTGCCCTACAAGTGATTCGGGAATGCCCACAGCCGGGGGCTTTACACCTCCTGGTGATGTTTCAAGCATCACGTGCACTAAGTACTCCAATGGCAGATACCTAGGTATGTCTACTATGTTACCTAGGTACTGGCTACCCAGGCAAGGTTTAGTACCATCTAAGCCGCCATAGTACGTACTGCATGCCTAGTATGTCGCACTCGAGGACCGGCATCCAATTGTTTGTTAGAGCTACCTACCTAGGTAGGTATGTTCTATGTAGTCCGCTGCCTCAGTTGTCAGGCTAAGGCTTCAATGGGCAATGTCGTTCTTCCAAAGTTATGTATCGACCTTTGTAAACAAGGTTAAACGTAGAATGCCATACAACCTGTTCGATCTTCCTGCTGCCTTTTCTCATGAACGAGAAATATCAATCCACAACATGTACAAGCATCGCCTACCTTATGATGTACGTATGAGAGGTACATGGGTGTTGCCAAAATCAACTCTTTTGAAATGCCAGCAGATTTAATTGAAGAACAATGGAGCAGGCGAGTTCTTTGTGATGCCTGACTTCGTACCCTGGGGCCTTGCTTGCTTTTTTATTTGTTTTTGAGTCGAGTTTCCTAACATGCACCTTCCCCCAAAGTGTGCAGGGGTCCCAGCCAAATGGTGACTACCTTTTCTGTATACCCTAGCGAGCACAGTTACAAACAGCTCAACACCAGCCAACATGCCCGTCTCAATAGGTGTCAGCCACAACTTGGAAAGAGCATCTCCATGAGTTTTCCATCCTCATTTTCATTCATGCTCCCTACCTAGTAGGCATGCCTACCAAGGTATCTAGGTAGCTCCTGATCCCCTTCTGGAGGGAAGTATTCTATCGGCCGAATCTCACGTTACCAAGTGCCGTGTCGATTTATACGCAGACACATCTGCAATAGCGGTCTGCTGGTAAACGTGAAAGACGCCAACCGACCATCCTGTCACAATCATCACCCAAGCAACCTCACTTAGAGGCTTTTCTCTCCAGACAGCGAGAGAAGTCTCACCCTTTCTCTTACATCATCCTATTCTCCAGCGATTGTGCATGCAAGCGTGCAGCGCCTTCTTTTCTCATTTAGTACTACTGGCCTCTATTCGTTTTCTTCAGTCGCGTCAATTGTCAACAAAGAGACAATCTTCGCCTCCCATCTCAATAAACATGTCGTCTTTGTAATTTCACTCTACAAGTTCATTGTCAGACAACCATAATTTCCACTTGCCCATGTCCGCTCAGTTGCATCCTGTGGATCTGAAGCGCAGGATTGGTCGGTCGGTTGGTGGCCAGAAAACCAATCACTATGACTGGGAATACGGACATCGGACAGCAATCTGCTTCATGCCCAGCCAACATGGATGGTTATCAGAGCGACATCAGTCTGACCTCAACTATCGAGGACAATGACTCAAACAAAGAGTGGGATGTAGACGATGTGATAGCTGTGGATGATGAATATCCCGAAGAAAACGGCGGTTTCGAAACCCGATATCTGGTAATGTGGACGGGATACGAACTTGGCGACGCCACGTGGGAGCCTGAAGCTCATCTAGATTCGGAGCTGCTGCAGCAGTGGGAGGAGAGAAGCGCACGACGGGAACGAGGAGAAGAGCCCGAATTCGACGTACAGATATGGCGCGATGCTCGGATAATGCTTGACCAAGCAAAGCAGGAGCGGCATCACAAAAGAAATGCAAAGCGCAAAAGGCTGGGCTTGGTGCTCACAGAGCCGATTAAGGACGAGGAAGAGTTCGACCCAGTTCTAGATCCAGCGCAAGAATCTGAATCGGGTGTTGAAGCGACAGAGGAGGATACAATAGTTGACAAAGTCAACGACATCTTGACCTCATCTACTTCTGCTACAGTTGTGAAGCCGGTTCAGCGGCCAGGTATATTCAAGGGCCTTCCAGCTCAGAACTCCTCCGTGTCCAAAAAGAGAACACCCAGTGAGAAGACGCGACAGTCAAGCCAAGCAGCCCAACCTGCTTCTTCTGTCCACAATGCAGCTGCGCGTCCTTCTCAAACACCGCAACAATTATCTCGCACACGGGATACATTGCCATCGGCAACAGGATACCAGGGCACAGCCAGGAAGTCTTCCTCAACAAACGTCACTAGGCCTCTTATTCCACCAAATCAATTTCGAAGTAGTTTTGCGGCCAAATTCGGCGGTGGCAAGAAGATACTCACTGCCAAGAGGAGTATAAACTCAGCTGCTGTCACAGGGAATGTTTTCATAAGCGGCAAAACTAGAAAGCCAAGGCAGAAGCTCGGTGAGGCTATGGTAGATCCTTGCAAAGAACCGAAGGCTTTTCAGATGCGCCGTATTGCTAGAAAGGCTGAATTACAATCCAGAGGCAAAGCTGACGCGGCAGCGCCCGACATCTCTCGCCTGAAGGAAGCCCTTTTCGATCCTACTCACGGTCCACCGCCAAAGAAAACTTCTCGAGATAGGCAGGTACCTGGCAGTGATTCGGGTAGCAGGACATCATCTCTCACGACAGAAATACCTGCCGTAACCCAAGGCAGTGTAGGGTTGATCATGCAAAGCGATAGCTTAGTGACCGGCCAAGCAGCAGCAACACTGAAGGAGAAAGAACCACCCAAAAAGAAATCACGAAAGACAGTGAGATTTTTCGACGCTGATGATGCTTCTTTTGTGGATGAACCCATGCAGATAGATTCTGTATCACCGTCGACCGTCCAAGACGAGATGTCTCCACGAGAAACAGAAATTCCACAAGGGAGTTGCATACCCAAAACATCACACAACATAATACCTCAGAGCCTTTCTCCATCCAAAGAGGAAAACAACCTTCCAAATCGACTCTCAATAATTATGCCTCAGCCGAACATGACTCAAGCCGTGGGAATGGATCTGGTGCTCTATGCTGCGAAGGCGAAGAAAATCAGAGTTCATTTCAATAGTCTTCCTAGGGACTCAACTATCCCTTGGCTGTCTAGTTTTCAGAGTCAAGAAGAAGTTGTCATTAGTCATGAATGTTTTGCGAGAACCTTCATTGAGCAAATTGACTTCTTGCAGGTGCAGAGTATCTGTAGTGGATTCTTGACTTGCAACGAACCCGTTGTAGAACAAATTGCAGACCATCTGAGAGTCAGCTTGTCAGGACTCTTTTGCTTAGAACAAGACTATAATCTCGTCATCTATCCTACGAAGTGTGAAGATTGGAGGACAGAAATCTTCGATCCAAACCCAACTAGTCCAGAAGGCGTGGCTCTGAAGTACGCTTTCTTCAGCTCGCAGTCAGACTTGCGGCTTTTGCTGAGGCCATGTCTCCAGTCGAGCGCGTGCCACATTCAAGACGAATGGAAGATAGAGCACACTGTGAGAGAAAGGCTGTTTCGAACGCTCTTCGGCCTTGAATATCGAGACTTGGTTCTCCACGGACAAAACTCCGATGAAAATGAGAGCAATGTCATAAAGAGCCAGCACACGTTCTATCTTGCATTTCCTGGAGCCAAACAAGAGCTTTGTCGGTCAATCTATGCATGGGTACGCGAAGTCAATCCTGAGTGTAAAGTGTACACGACATATCAAACTGGTGCTTGGATTCCTTTCCTCAATGTGGCTCGTGGCGGCAAGGGTATAATATTGGTTCATGAGGCTCTTGCATGGACTGTCCGACATTTCCCTGGCCTTCACAACATCCTTCGAGAGTCAGAAATCACTATGTGGTGCCTCTCTGAAGCTCTTCATAGCCAACCCATGTATCCGTCTCAACCTGTTGCGCCAACAATTCCTGGGACCATGTCCCTGACTCATCTGTTCCCCCAAGGTCACGCAATTCTCATCACCCCGAGTTTCATGGTCTCAGAGCCAGAGAACACGAAGAACATCTTCGACTGGTACATCAAATATAAGATTGACCTGCCGGCATACAAGCTTGTGACTGCCTGGAACATTCAACACTATCTTCATGCTCTTGCGTTAGACAAGGCTCAGCAATGCGAGAGGCTCACCGATAACCGAGCAAGGAAAGAAATGAGGCAGGAGTGCAGCGTACTGTTTGAAACAGCAGCTGTAGTTAGCGACAAGTTCTTGATACGCGAGAGCCGGACATGGACATACTCAAATTGGGGTGAAGACGACCCCCTCATTTACGCAGATGAATGCATCGATCCCAATGATGAGCAAAGTCTAGTCAACTGGTTCGGATGGTGGTCAACCCTGAGAGCAGACCAATATCGCCATTTCTATGTAATTGGGTCCATGGCCGATGTCATAGAATCGACATCTACAAAGAGGGTTCGGCACCTTCCTATTCCGCAATATGCATCATCCTGTAACAACAATCCTGATGCTATATATGAAAGATCTGTGTCGAAGCCAATAGTCGTCGGGAGCCACATATATGGCGATATGGATCAATCAACAACAGGATCACTGGTCTGCAGTGTCCTACTAAACGACAATGACCACGCTGCCCTGTTCTCGGAGCAGCTGTACAGAGTCGATGAGACAGGAGGTGCTCGGCTTAGAGTGTACGCGTACCCTGTGAGTTGGGCTGACTTACCAATGGCAGACCACTTCGGTGATCACACAGCAGAATTCGCACGGATTAGTGACTGGTTCAACTGGACTCCTCCATGGAATAAACACAACGATGGCCGTTGGAGTCCTTTCAATACATCCATCGGGTTTTTCTACACCATTGTTGACGATTGGGATTCAAGGTTGTTTCCCCGAGGTCGTAAACCAAGGCGTCACCCGTGGGTTGCCATTTATCGGCCTTTCAACGTTCATCTGACCGGGCGCCCCTATACTAAGAGCGAGGTGATTATATGGGATATGTCGGCTGAGGAGAAATTTGGAAACCAAGACCAAGTACATGAAAGAGACTTGACTTACATGCAACGCCAAGTCATTGAATATATTCGTGAGCATGGACCAGACAAAAATCCGAATACACCTCTTCAGCGTGCCTTTCTCGGCGGCTTTCGACTACCGAATAGTCCGTCACGCTTTCCGATTGATGTTACTTTTGCATACTTGAAAGAAACGATCCCGATAGTTGAACAGAGGCTGCCCGGCTGGGATCTCAAGCTCTTACAGGAGGGCTACAAGAGCATAGTATTGGATGGCGGACAGCCCAGTACAACTGCTAGATACAATCCTCGGGCCTCACCAACGCCGCTTGACGGCATATCACATCAGCCTAAACCTATGGAGGTCGACCAACCAGAAGGTTTTTCTGATGACGAGCAGAGCAATACGGTCATATTCCACCCACCCAGAGGCACACAAAAACCGATCTTAGGGAAGAATGTCGCGTCAAAATGTCACAATGACCTGTATGAAAGTGCGCGACTTGCTCGTTTGCGTAACAAGAAGGCAACGACGATGGAATATGCTTATAAGCCGACATTGGAATGGTACGAGCAGCAGAGATCAGAGGGTCGTGGTCATGAGCATATCCATGTTGGAGACTCGGGCACTATTTTCAAAATCCTTGGAATAAAGAGAATTCCGAAGGCCACGGGAGTTTGATGTTCTAGTCTTGTACCTTTCTTAAGAGAAGCTAGTTCTTTTGCAACACCTCTACTCCGAGGAAGAGGATTGTACGATGACGCAACTAGATGCACATTATCATTCGACGAAGGCTACTGTTATACGCATAATAATATCAGAAAGTCTTGATTGTATTCACGTTTCACTATGTAACACCTTGGCCATTTAAATTGCGATTGGTTTACTACCTAGGTTGGGCATGGCATCCAACTTCTTGCATTATTACTTGCACTAAAAGGTGAACTTGTGCCTTGAATAGATATATTACAATGTGTTCAGAGCAAGAGTCTCATCATAAACGTATGACTATTCAGCCATCTAACTCCATGTACGCCATCCGCCTTGGACCGTCCTTTAACTTGAACGATCTCTTGAGCTAACTTGATGCTCCAATTTAAAAACCTAATCCGGCCCGCCTTGGAAGCTTTTAGAGGATATCTACCCCTAAGACAAACAGTTATGCTGCAGCCGGGGCTCACTTGACCTCACACCTCGATGAAGTGATATGTAATCTGGCAGCATGTTTCATCACGCACGACAGCTGAGATCACTTATCGTGCCGACCCGGGGAAGCTTCTTGCGCTCAGAAACACACCCTTCAGCCTTCGAATATTCTCCTTTGCCTTCTTGATCTCATCATCCGGCTCGTTGCCCCTCGACGCCCCATAATATGAGTAGCTCCCGACGAAATCCGTAGACGGTTGCCATGGATATGTTAGCTTGTCGAGGTCCTCGTTGAATGTGTCTAGAATGGTCTTGATATTTGAGAAATCCTCCGCCTCAGACGTCAGATCCTCATTGATGGACCGGATGGAAGCCGTCAGCTCCGCGATCCGCGAGGCTTGCTTCACCACGGTGGACTGCGCCGCGGGTGTTTGCGGTTCGGTGTCGGTAGGTGTGGGAGGCAGAGATGTCTGAACGCCGATATCGCGGTGGAAGAGCTCCGTCGGATCGTCATAGCTGCTAGAGGTGTCGTCCTCGAAGGCATGGACCTCTGCCTTCTTCGTGACAGGGATCTCTGACACCGTGCTCTCGAGCTTCTCATTAAGCTTCTTTAGATTCTGTAGCGCATTCTCGTGGAAGTCGATGCGCGCTTCTGTCAGAGAGTCGACCATCGGACTGACGACATATTTGGTGGTGCCGTAGACCAGGGTCGACAGGCCTGTCACAGCGTAGAGAACGTTGAAGAGACCATTCGCGGTGATTAGCGGCGGAGGCTTGTTTGGCTTGGTGAGAAACTCGGGGTATGTGACAATCGGCGCATGGTCTGTCTTCTGATCGGAGACTATGGGCGCCGATGGCGAGGGCAGTGAGCTCTCGTCTCTCGCAGGTTCTGCTAACGATTGCGCTTGCGCCGGCGTTGATATGCTCTCTTCCTCTAGGAGCTGTTCGATGACATCGTCGCTGAAGCCCTTGCTCTTCAGGAACTCAACCTTCTTCTCGCGACTGGCTTCTCGGACAGAGTCATCCTCCAGGAATTTCCTTGCATGCTCGATGGTGGGCTTGCCCTCGTCGGCTGGGGGGATTGGCTTCTGCGCAACGTCGGCTTGTTGCCATGCTGGCGGCCCTGGCGCCTTATCATCTGAATCGCCCATTGTTACTGAAGCGTCTCATAGGGAATCGTGCCACGAGAGCATCGTGCAAAGAAGCCGAGTGGAGGGCAGGTGTGGAAAGTAGGTTGGGGTGTGTACCGGCGCAGGTGAGCACTTGTGACGGACCTCGGCAGTGGAAGCGGGAGGTTAGTTTCGGGGTAGCATTGACAGCTGTTGTCGCCTGGCAATCCAGGCAGTGAGATTTGCCGCAGATCGAATTCAGTGACTTTTGTACGGATCACGATTTACATTTGAGGTGCAAATCGGCAGTACGACGAGGCTGTAGCCAAAAAGTCGAGCATTTTATCCATATTATATCTATCTTAGATCCTTACTGTTCTCATTGATATCAGACACAAGCACTGAAAGTGCCGGCTTGGAGCCATTCGGCAAGTAAACTCTGCGGACGGTCTGCGCCTTCGGCACTCCTGCAACGCCAGCCTGAGCGCCAGTCTCTCCAACGATCGACAATTTACAGAGGACGGAACCCGCAAAGGACTGTAAGTTGGACGTTTTGTCCATTAATTTGATAGACCTGAACCCACCAGGCAGGGTTTGCTAACTAAGAAGACGATTAAGCGCGGCCAATAAATCCTGCTCTAGAGACACAGCGTGCTGTGAGACGGGAGGCGGCGTCGGACGCGAGGCCACGGAAGGAAAAGCAGATCCAATCACCAGGGCAGGGTCTCACGTCAAATAGTAGGGCAGTCTTGGGCTTGGCTGACAAGCCACCTCTGATTATAGTAAGTCAACTCTGCCTTTTTGTCTTTGTCCACCTCTTCGTAAAAAACATCGCGGGCCATATTCACCATAGTCGGTGTGGCCTCATTCGGGTTGCGGATTGCCTCATTTACTTAGCATCGCAAAACACCCTCCGCCGATTAAATTCTAGTCATCAAGTGAAGGCATAAGTGGGTTGATTCAGGACGTTATAAGGGCGACTTCTGCGATCGGGACAGACAGCAGCGAAGTGAAGAGAGAGGGCTGAGACTTTGGGGCGCGGAGACATTTCCCACGTGAATAGTCCGCGCCATATCTACATTCTCTCACCCCCCCGACGCGGCGGCGGCGTTAAGAGCTCAAGGGCTGAAGTGCGTGCGTTTGTGTGTGTCGCGGATAACGGCTGCGGATTCGCGCTTGCTCGCCACATTTCCCTTGTTCGCTCGCTCGCTCCGTCCGTTGGTGGCCCAGCACCTCTCAGTCTTACCACGTCAAGCTTATTTGGTCCTGGCCATCATCCCTACCTACGCCTACGCCCAGTCATTCCTTCAAACCCCACCTCTATCAAGCCTCAAAATCAGCAGCTAGCAGCATCTCACAATCACCCTCTGGCATCAATCCCAGGCCGGCTCCCCGTGCCTATTGCACCACATCTCCCGGGCTTCTAGAGCATCAAAGACAACACGATGTCATCAAGACCGCGCCGCTCAGCGGCTCAGAAGGCCTCTGTAGCAATCACTGACATGGCCGACAGAGATAACAACACAGGCACCAGCAACATGTCTTCGCGCTCCCGGCGTTCCGCTGATAGCAAGGGCTTGGCCTCCGTATCTCGGGGCCCGCCCTCCTCGTCCCCACAAAGAGGGGAAGATAAGGACCACACCTACCTGACCGTCAAGTTGCCGTCGAGCAAGTTGCGACAGGCAACGGCCAGCCGGACGGGTAACCAGATCTCCGTCGGCGGCGGCCGGGACAGCTACGGTAGCACCAGGCGGAGCGCGCGGGGCGGCAAGAAGAGCTACGTTGTTGAGTCCAGTGAGGACGAGGAGGAAGAGGAAGAGGAAGAAGAGGAGGAGCAGGACGAGATCGAAGTCGGCGGCGAAAGGCTCGACGATGATGAGGATGAGGAGGAGGACGAGGAGATGGAGGATTTGGGCGACGAGGACGCCGACGGTGAGGTCGTTGAGGATGACGACATGGATGTCGATGCTGAGGGAGAGGACGACGACCTGGGAGAGGAAGATGCCGAGGGCGATATTGATATGGACGTCGCCCCGCCTCCCCCGACTATCAAGATCTCCAAGCCCGCGAAAGGAGCTGCTTCAAGCAAGGCCAAGAATGCACCTCCTCCGAAGCGGACCGGCAAGGCTGCTCCTGTAGCCCAGCAGACTCCTGATGATGATGATGACGACGACGATGAGGAGTTGAGCGATCTGGAAAGTGACGAGGATGACGAGGAGATTAACGCCACGATGGACATTGGCGGCGACGAGGATGCTGAGGGCGAGGAAGAAGAGGAGGACGTTGATGCCGAGGGAGAGGAGATTGAGGTCGCAGAGGAGGATGAAGAGGACGATCTGGACAGCGACAATGAGACGCCTGGCGGTGGCAGTCGAGGCGAGACTCCGGACCTGGCCAAGATGACAGTGCGCCAGCGAGCGCGTTTCGAAGAGCCTAACCCAGCCCAGTATCAGGCTCTATCAAACGGTACGTAGGCTACTTTTTCGCCAAGGGATTTTGTTGCTAACATAAGATGTTAGAAATCCAAGCTAAGAAGGTCTTCACTGCTGAGGAGATCAGCATGAGACGAGCGGAGATGGCTCGCCGCAGACGCAACCTGAGCGAGAAGCGAAATGAGGAGGTCAAGGTATGAGAAATACCTTAGCATTGCTTCCTGCACGGCACTCGAGACTAACATACGACACCAGATGGAAACTATCAACAAGCTACTAAAGAAACAGGCGCCCAAGACCAACCGCAAGGCTCAGGCCGCTGGAGATGAGACGCCCGATGTCGATGCCAATAGGCCTAACCCTATCTTCATCCGCTGGATCAGCAGCAAGGAGGGCAGCCGCGTAGCAGTCACCGAGGAAATCATGGACGGTCCTGTTGGTAACGTATTCAAGGCCCATACTGGCAGCAAGATGGTCCAGGAAGTTTCCTAGATCCAAAACATCGAGAGACACTTCACCAACATCGAGGTAGCGCAATGCTGCATGTATCATAGAATCATTCACTGGGATGGCACGCGGGTTTACAAGGCAGCTAAAACAGGTTTTCGCGGTTTGCTTCGGGGTAGAAAAGCTCATAACTCCTGAGACTCGAGAGAGTTACTTCACGTCAGTGAACACAACGAGCTGGCGATCATCAGATTCATTAACAATAATGCATTGTTGAGCACATGTCAGTATGAAATTACTTATAACCTAGAGGTCTTAGAATAAACCGATTGGTTTGACTCTGGCCATCATTTGAAAGCCGTTGTCGAGACGGGCGAGACGGGTTGGACAGCTCTTTACAAATCGAGTGCAAGACACTGGCTTGATCCAGATCGGTTACACTGCATCAAATAATCAAGCTGCGAGCCAATCGCACCTGCAGCTTCGTTTCTTAGCACACGCCTTCCCCCAGGGCGTACTCGCCGCCCCGGACACCGCCATCTGACTCGGACTTGCCCTGAACACGGGGATGGCAAGTTTGCTATTCGATTTGCCTCTTCTGGAGCTTCGCATCTAGTCTGATGATCAAGCAGGTGCGATGGGTGGAATTGAAGCTTACGGGACTACTGAGAAAGCTGGTCGAGGGTGATTTTCTGGCATGTGGTCTATTATTCATCACCTGGAAGTTGCCTCGTGCTTTCCACGCCCAGACACATTGACGAGTCAGGAGCAGCTCCTACCTTGGTAGGCCCGTAGGCCCCGACAGACAGGCGAGGCAGGGCAAGCAAGCACCTCTATTACCTGCGTTATGAGCACTAAGGTGCCTACGGGAAGGAGCCGCCGAACTCCACGTGCAGGCAGGTGCAAATGTACAGTACAGTACAGTACAGTACAGTACAGTCAGTAACTGCAGGATAGGAGTGTCGTGCCTTCCTTCTCAAAAGTCCTGCTCAACTCTCAAGCCCAGAAAGTATAAATATGAGAGAAATCCCCCCGAGTTTTTTGAGAAGACTAATCTAATCGAATGCTTGGGCCAAGGAAGCAATCCCAACAAACACAAACTGCTCAGACGATGAATTCACCTGCTGGCCGGAGGTAGGAAGCTGCAAACACGCATATCCGGCAATCGACGCCTGGATCAGGGTGCAGGGTGCAGGGTGCATGAGGGACGAGGGGGGATGGATGGCTGGCGGGATGCAGGGTGTGTGTAGGTGTGACATGGGGCAGGGCCAATAATTGCATTGTCTACTGTCACACGACTCGCCAGAAGGCGACCAAAATCACAGAAAAAGCCTCCTACAAACTCTCCTCGAAATACCCGCCATTGCCCCTCTGCCCCTCTACTACTCACGCAGTGGCTCTCCGCCCAGGTCCAGCCAAGCCTGGCCCATCCTGTTGCGGGGCACAAAGGCATGCATGCAGACTCAATCTACGGGGCATTCGAGACCTGTGCCTAGGCAAGCGTGGTACAGATAGAAGAACGAAATTTCTTGTCAAAGTGGACATCAGGCATTTTTTGCGGTAAGAAGAGGAATCGGTTGATATGTACATGGGATGTTAGCATGATCAGGCGAACAAACATCCATCCACATCCACAAACCGACCCGGTCACCGAATTGACACGATTCCTCCCTGCTGGTGCTGCCGGATGCCGCCGCCCGCCTGCTCGTCGTCCACATGCGTATCGGTACTGGGCCGGTTAACTCTTGATCTTGGACTAGGGGCAATTGACTGATTGATTGATTGATTGATGCGCGGTGCCAATCCATGCCACCACCATTCGGTACCCCGGTGCCCACTGTGACCTCAAAGTCGATGAGCTACCGCTACCGCTACCACAACGCTCCCAGCCAAGCGAACACTCCGTCGATCTCTGGCTGGTTGGGCTGGGGCAAGCTGGCGGCCACGCCTAGAGTAGGGTAGCATCATTATCATCATCATCACCACCACCACCTGGGCACCCGCCGTGGACGACAAGCTCCCCGCGGCCGATGGACCCAAGACAGCACAAGTGACACCAGTCTCGCTCTCAGTCTCACTTCTAGTCCCAGTCCCAGTCAGTGCCAACTCCAGCCGCTAGTGGCACAAGCGGCGGCAACGAGCAAGAAGCGAAAGTCAAGTACAGCAGCAGAGCAGTAGCCAGAGCAATAGCCAGAGCAGTAGCAGTAGCAGTAACAGTAGCGAATGCCCCAGCAGTCCCAGACGCCATCGTCATGCACGAGAGGCGGTCCGTGAATCAAGGTTCGCTACAAGGCGCTGCCGGTGGCCCTGAGCATGAACCCGATCCTCGTCCTGGTAAGTCTTTTCTTCGCTTCGATTTTAGCTTCACAGCTCCGTGTCTTAAAATACTCTACCCGTCCGTCTTTTTTGGCGTTTTCTCCCCCCTCGAAACCCCTCTGCTACTCTGGCTGCTCCCTTTTCTAGTCTCTCTCCTCTTCCCTACCCTACAGCGATAGACGTGTACTATACGTGCAGTCCCAGTGCAGACGTACAGTACAGGTACCGTCTTGCCCAGATCAGCGTGTTGCAAGCGCAGCTTCGACCAGGGTGCAAGCAGACCGCCTGCTGGGCACCCGAAGGAGAGCTGGATTGAGCTCGACTGGTAACAGGAGAGGAAAGGACGAGAGAGGCAATCTTGAGCAGGCGAGGAGACGTCCAAAGGGAATGCCACCAAGCCGCCTCTTGATGCGTCGTCACCTTGACCCCTTCCATCTTCTCTCAGTCTCTTCATATTATCCATCCTTGCCATGCCAATGTGCCAATGCCTCTAGACTATTCTGTGGTCTGTTCTAACCGTATCCTCCCGTTCAAGCTATCATACCACCGCCTCCCGCGCCTTCAGCTGCTCCTATAGCCCAGGCCCTGGCCGTGTTAGAGAACCCCTTGCTCCCCACCTCCTGCTCCCCGCACCCCGCGCCGCTCCAGTACATAAATTCACCTCGGCCGCCGCTGTCACGCGAGGGTCGTGATCCCAGGAGCAACACAGACTGCGGCATAGCTCCGTCTCCCACTCCCACCGAACCCCATCACTCGAAGATGATCTTCTCCGACTTGTACAAGTCGCCCAGATCACCCCTCTCGAAGCTACGCCACCCTCACCTTCAACACCACCAGACTCCCACGGAACAAGACCCTGACTTTGATGCCGATCTGCTCAGCAAGGACAAGACCAAGCAAAAGGAAGCTGTGAAGCGCTTCCTGGCGCAAAAGGTCCGCAATGACTGGGACTTCAAGTGGCCCGCCCACAACAATGCGCCAGAGCTCCCGGCTGCTGAAGAGCCCATCATCACAGAAACGGCATCTTTAGCAGCGGACAAAGACATTGAAGGCTTTCTCGAAGTGGCGATAGAGAACGAAGACGACGATATCACGCCCGTTGCCGACGAGGATGCAGTTGTGGACTCTGGCGAGGAAGCGGACTCTGAGACAGACTCGGTGTATAGCTCCGTGTCCGAGGACCCTGACCATTTTCGACCTCGAGCAGAATGGACCTCGGATCTCTCTGATGATGATGCCATCATATCGACCTCATCTCCCTTTCGATTTGACAACCCAGATTCAATTGGCGCAGCTGTCAGAGCTTCATCAATAGCACGCAAGGCGAAGCGAAGGAGAGAGGTGCGCAGTGAGACCAAGTGGAATCAGGGACTTGCATGCTTCGAGGCAAGGAGAGATGCATGGACCGGTGCCAAGACCGTACATGTGCGGCCGAAACCTCCCTCCCCCGAGTCCCCGTCCTCTCCACGCCGGGGATTGTTCTGGCGGACGCATTCGAACACCAATCGCAGCATTATGTCCTCCGGCTCGCAAGCCGTGGCATCGCCATTGTCTCCCGTGACCACGGCCCACTCGCATCACTCACATCACTCTGCACATTCAGCACAGGCGGACCTCTCATCCATACCTACCACAAGCATGGAAGACTCGTCGTCACAGGCACACGACCTCTCTCCAAAAACCTCACATTCTGGCTCAGGATCTCAGCCATATCCCGTGGAGACTCTGCTTCCCATTGCACCTCCTCTCCTCCCACCAGCCAACCCGATGCGTGCTTCCATTACACCAGCACTATACATATCCATCTACGACAAGGTTGTCGTGCACTCGCTGCAGCCCTCCTGCCCCATCAACCTAGGGGACATGATCCGCGCGTGCGTCACAGGGTGGAAGCGCGACGGCGAGTGGCCGCCGCGGCCGTCCGAGCTGCCGGCCGTCATCGCCGTGCGCAAGAAGCGGGAGAAGCGCGACAGCGTCACGTCCCCCAGCTCGGCGAGGCGGATGAGCTTTGGGTTTCTGAACCGCGGCGACAAGGACGAGAAGGACAAGGACAAGGACAAGGAGAAGCCGAGCGAGGCGCGCCGGGAGAGCAGCGTCGCGGAGGACGCGAGCTCGGGCAAGGCGTTCCGGCGGAGCATCCAGAAGGTGCTGGGGATCGGGCATACGCATAGCAATTCGAACGCGAGCGCGAACGCTGGTGCGGTTGCGGTTGCGAACGGTATTGGGCATGGGAAAGAAGGCGGCGCAGGAGCTTAATCAGGGGAAAGAGAGCAGACGACATATTTTGAATGGGGTTGTTATCCGAGGATGAGGATACCATCATATTTTATCGAGAGCGAAAAGAGAGCCAAGCCAAGCACGGGCGGGTCGGTAGGTTGTTACGAGGGCATTGTTGCATCTACTCGACGTTGGGCATTCAATTTTTTTTCTTTCATCGACAGGTCATATATACCCCCCCCGCCCAACAACTGAGGCTTGTCAGAAGCTTCAGTTACATACACTCTTAATAAACATGCCGCGATGGACGGCTTTGTCAGATGCTTGTTTTTGCTGGTGTTATGTGATAGGCTGACCTGGCTTACTTGATCTGTTCCAACGTGCCGTGCGTTCAGTTGTGCAGTGGAGCTTGATATTCGATGGAAATTGGTCCGAGCAGCTAGTTGCGGAGGGTGAGGGTGAGTCAAGTCAAGGAGAGTAAATAGTTGGATTTTTCTAGCTAGGAGGGAGTGACTACGGTCAGGGGGTAATTGAGAATAACGCCCAACAATTCCACACGCAAGGAAAACTATCATAATATCAGATTCACAAACCAGCGTTGTTATCCCTGTCTTTCACATCAGGAGTAGCAGTGCATTTAGAAAAGTGAATAAAAAAGAAAAAGGTAAAATGAAGAGGCAGATGGAGAAAAGGAGGAGAAAGGAAAGGTAAACTGAAGAGGCAGACAGAGAAAAGGAGGAGAAAGGAAAGGCGTTTGAAATGAGGCATCGACAGCGAAAAGAACAAGCTTGAAACGACGAAGAACACAGCTTCCATCAGCTACCATCATCTTTGACATGAAGCGATTATTGAGACGATATTAGACTGAGACGAGGAGTAACTCAATCATAGGTCGGCTTCTGTTGTAAGCAATCTCGGCATGCGTCTCTCGAGACAGTCTCGTCATTGCCTTTCAACATCGGAAGCACGACTGTATCCAATAGGGCAAAGGTTCAATACCTCGAGCGCTGCAAACGTGTATGCAAAACGAGCCTTTCGCCGTAGCAAGGGAGAACAATCTTCTCCCAGCCGTGTCGAATATAGTTTTTGATGAACAGATCCCAAGTCATCCATCCCTCCGAACAGGAGAAGCCAGCCAAATTAATATGACATGAAGCCAGCATCTCAATTTGGTCTATGATTAATGCGATGTATTCCGTCACAACATGATATTGTCTTCAACAAGGGGTGACAGGCCACAAGTCCAGGTGTTATCGTTGATATATCCCAGCTCTTGTAAGCGTATGGATAGCTCTTGCAATTTTATCACCACGGGAAGCAAAGATGCCCTCGAGCACGAAGCTTATTTATGGTAGTATTCTAAGTGTCCTTCAAGACCATAAGGCAGCACGAGCTCTCCACAGCCCCGAGGACAGAGTCTCTTTAATGTTGTGCAGGTCCCCTTGACATGCCAGTCAAAAGCGAAACGATTAAACATCTCGCCACAGCCATTGAGGCATGCTTGCTTTGTGTTATCGCAAGAATCGTGGAGGTGCGTAGGTATCTAGTCTATTGTGTTAGAAGTTCGAAACTAGCGACTCCATCGTGCCAAGCTACGCTGGCTACATCACTTCAACGAGTAACATGAACTTACATGGTTTGGACTGAAGAATTTTCCACAACCAGCAGGACATTTCCTGCGAGTCTGCCGTGGTTTTGGGAGATATCGTTCCAAGCCAGAGTGCGTCTTGACTCGGTGATTGATGAGGTCTTTTTCCCTGGAATAGCCTTTCGAGCCTACTCTCTCACAACCTGGGACATTGCATGGGAAAGCCGTCTCGCCGTGTACATCCTTTAGATGCTTTGTGTGCTCCGACTTGTTGCGGAAGGGTCGATTTTCTAGCTGTGAATGCCAAGGAAGTTTCCTGAATGTATCATCACGATGATACTCACAGCTTGGATGGCGACAAAAGATGACTTCGTGCTGCTTTGTCTGGCGCGGGTTCAAATCAAGAAGAAAGTTGTCAGAGTCGAGCTTGTGGTAGCCCCGTATATGCTGTAGTAGGTGATCTCGACGGCGAAACCCGTTTTTACCCCGGTGGAGTTTGCAATGAGTGCAAGGATATCTAGGGAGGGCAGAACCTTGTGACACGATATGACGCTGCAGAACATCACGCCTTGCGAACTTTTGACCACATTTACATGCAAATGGGCTGTGCTGAGCCTCGTTTGCATGCAAGCGTAGACGATACTGACTCGGGAATAGATCGCCGCACTCAATGCATGCTCGGGACTGGTGGTTTCCAACTGCTTCATGAACGAGATCATTGCCATCAACTACATCTGTTGCATTGGCCTGTATCTGGCTCTGAGTACCAATGGTCGTCCTTCCGTCTGTAGTGAATGAGACATCTCCAAATGCAGTTTCTCGGGACACTTCCGTATTTATAGCCACTGGACGATTGGTTGGCCTTTTGAGAGTCAGATCTGATTCCAACTGTCACCGAAGCTAAACTTACATCAATGAATAGCTAGTTTGAGAGATAGACTCGGAGTGTGGAAGGGGGTGATCGACCTGGTACCCTTCCGACCAATGACTGAGCGGGTCTAAATTTATATTGGGCTGTATGATACTTGACACCCTATTTATTAGCAGGCGGTAAAAAAAAAAGCCTCACTCTCCAGGCGAATCTACGAAGGGCCGAGGATCCGCGAGATGGTCGCTGAAAAGTTCTCCAATGGGAAAGGAGGCCAGGAAATGGTCGAAGTTCCACTGGTCATCCTGAGCGTCGAAGTCGACGAAGGAGAGGGCGTCAGGTACATAGTCCGACATGGTGCCAGGGATGTGTCAGAAAGATTATCCTGGAGGTACCGTGAATCTGTTAAGGACTTCAAAGATGGGACGAGTCGGAAGGTGCAGGTTCTGGGGTTTGCTTGCGATATGTGTATGACAACCGAGGCTTCGTTACGACTTGGGGTTGCCTAAGTCTTATCCTCACGATTTGCAACGGATTTGCTTCGGACTGGGTTCTAAACAGTCAGAAGTACCTCAGTAGGGTGGAAAGCCTGCAGCAACCAAAATGTCGGTGAGACGTGGCTTTTCAATGGAAGGCTACGATAGGCCGAATCTGACGCCCTGTTTGTGTGCATCTCGCAGAAGGCTGCAGGTGTTGATGCTCCTACCAATATCAGAAACCAGGCAATGCCTGATAGCACAAGACACAATCTACTCCACCACGACTTTTGCATAGACAACGATAATTTTGGTGAGAAGAATTACCGAAACTCCGGAGAATCCATACGTGAAGAACCTTCTGATTTGCCCGATATGAGTTTTACATAGGGTGACTTCCAGAAAGAGAAAGAGAATGTAGGCTTCATTCCGAGCTTCTACTCCTCTGCAAGGCTAATAAACGTTAATTCTTAAAGGGTGAAGATACTCAATATCGACAGCCGTAATACTCATCGAGCTTTCGAATATTCGTCTATTCTTATTGTCTATTAAATTCTACGAAGGTAGTAACCTCTTTTGAGGAGGTACTGCTACCCTTGCTGAACTATCCTGATAGGGGAGTATGAGAATAGAGGTAAGGGGGTTAAAGTAAATGCTTTGACGTCTTGGTGTGGCGGCTATTAGTATTAAGTAACTACTAAAGTAGATCTCGAGGCACTCACTGCACACACTTGGTGGTATGTTATGTAGGTTAAGAGATGAATAAATCATGTAATGACTTTATCTGAGTTAAGTTATCTTAATGTCCTACGACATAGAAGTGATTAATGATTAAGACTCGGTAATCGTCGGACCTTGAGCTATTTGCCTAAGGCACAACATCAGAGTTTCAAGTTGTTGCAAACTATGAGAGAAAATCTAGTGACTATGGGAATAAAACTTTGCAAAGGAAGAGAGTGTTGTTAGCAAAGCCGATTGCAGCTTGAGGCCAAGACATTGGTAAAACAAGCCGTGAACTCCGTCGTCAACGTGAAATGTCTCCGGAAAGCCATGTTAGAGGAGTGTACGGTGCGGGGTGTGAGCCTAGCCAACGTGCTCCAAGCTCCTCTCCCCTATGGCGTGCCCACTGTAGTAGCTCTCAAACGTCACCCTAGTGTGCCGCTAATTTGCATTTGGCAGGTTGGCCATCGAACTCTCGAGTCACGATGAAAGCGACTATCTCTGGCTCCAGACTAGTCCTCCTGATGAGAACTTTGGCATTCCGCCTCTGAGGCTTTCACAATTCACCATACCGCCCTCAATCCCAGCGCATAATCCCTCCTCTGTCCGCAGCATCGGGTCTGAGCTCGCTGCGCTTCCGACTAGTCAGCCCACATTCACAGGCCTCTCGGGAAGAGGAGGGAGTGCAGCGTCCGGAGAAAGCACAGCACATAGCTCCGCTGAACAGTACGAGCTCGCCGACCTTGGACAGCTCCAGCGCCGAGAGCGTGGGCGAGAGGAGGGAACAAGAAAACTATCCAAGAGAGAGGAGAAGCGTCGCTGGCTTGACGAACAAGACGAGATGAAATTCTCACACAGTATCCAATTCAATGCTGTTCCGGACTGGAGCAGCCACTACATCGCATACAGCAATCTCAAGAAGCTGTAAGTAAATTCAAACATGTTGCTGGAGAGCTTCTGAATTTGTACTAACCGCTGGCTTAGGATTTACCAACTCGAGAAATCAGTTCATCAAACCGTCGGTACCGACGCCGAGTCACGACCTCTTATCCAGAACGAAGAACCCGAGGCCGTCTTCAAACGAGCGCTAGATGTCGAGTTGGAAAAGATAGACTCGTTCTACCATGTCAAAGAGAAGGAACTCACTGAGGAGATCGATAATCTGCTGAGGGACGTTGGCGCATTCGAGAATGGTGAGGAGGATGGCTCTAGCGACCTTCGGCCTACTACAGGAGCTAGTGATGGTCCTCGTCAGTCAAGACTGCGCCGAGGAAGCGTACAGAGCCATCACTCAACGGAGGATGGCGTGGAAGACAGCGACGACGACGATGGAGATGAGACAGCTGCATTGACCAGGAAAAGGCGGCTTAGCTTGCCTGGGCGCAGGAGAACTGCGGCAAACCCTATGATGGCATCGACAGAGATGACAGCGTCTACAGAACTCACACGATCTCTGCGTCGCTTCAGCACGGGGTATGACGACTATGCCGAGCAGGCTGTGCTGTTCTCATCCGGAATAATGCTGAAGAAGAGGATCATAAGCCTCTATGTTCAGCTGTGCGAACTGAAGTCTTACGTTCAGTTGAACAGGACAGGCTTTAGAAAGGTCTTGAAGAAGTTCGACAAGATTGTTGATCGGAAATACCGACAGGTCTACATGGAGAAGTATGTTGATACGGCATACCCTTTCCAAAAAGACACTATCCGCAACGTCGAAGAGTACATCGAGAAGGTGGAGAAGGCATATACAGAAATCGTCACCGACGGTGATGAAGTTGCTGCTAAGAAGGACCTGCGTTCACATTTACGAGAGCATGTTGTATGGGAACGCAATACGGTCTGGAGAGATCTCATCGGCATTGAGCGTCGGGCAGAAGCAGCAAGTCTCGGCCGTGTCCTAATGGGACGGGACGGCGACCCGACGAAAACTCGACTTCAGGGTGATGACGAGCAGTTTCCTTCAACTAAGGAAATTACGACACCGATTGGCCGCTTTACGTGTCCAACATGGCTGTTCAGCTCGGGTATGTTCAACCTCATCATTATCATTGCCGTTTTCCTCGTTTTACTGTTGGTGCCAATCATGGAGAAGCCCGAGCAACAAAACTGTCTGGCTATGCTGGTGTTCGTCAGTTTGCTGTGGGCTACCGAGGTATGTGGTCACATTACTTAGATATATTCGCGTCTAACATTTACCAGGCCATTCCACTCTTCGTGACCTCGCTCATGATACCCTTCCTTTGTGTGGTACTCAATGTAGTGCTCTCAGAGAACCCGCCATATGCTCGGCTAAATTCGAAGGCAGCGACGACCTACATCTTTGCTGCCATGTGGACGCCAGTCATCATGCTTCTTCTAGGTGGCTTCACCCTGGCTGCCGCCCTGTCTAAATGTATGATCGATAAGCGGATCGCGACTTTTGTGCTTAGCAAGGCTGGCACGAAGCCGAGAACAGTGCTTATCGCAAACATGCTGGTAGCGGCGTTCGCCAGCATGCTTATAAGCAATGTGGCAGCTCCTGTGCTGTGCTTTTCCATCATTGAGGTATGTTTCAATGTCACCCGTTGTAGGTCTTTACTAACATTGACTAGCCGATGTTGAGGAACCTACCGGCAGGTTCAAACATGTCCAAGGCCGTAATAATGGGCATCGCCCTAGCATCGAACGTTGGAGGCATGCTTTCGCCTATCGCCTCACCTCAGAACGTGGTCGCCATGGGAATCATGACACCCGAGCCCACATGGGGCCAGTGGTTTTTCATCGCCATTCCCGTTGGCCTCGTCTCGATTGTTCTGATTTGGCTATTGCTCCTCGCAACCTTCCATCCAGGAAAAGGCACAACCATTGTCCCAATCCGTCCAGTCAAGGATAGATTTACTGGAATTCAATGGTTTGTATCTATTATTACGATTGCAACTATTGGATTGTGGTGCGCCAGCCACCAACTTGAGAGTGTCTTTGGCGACATGGGCGTTATTGCAATCATACCGATTGTCTTGTTCTTTGGAGTTGGCATTTTGACCAAAGAAGACTTCAATAACTTTCCTTGGACAATCATCATTCTTGCAGCAGGAGGTTTGTCACTTGGAAAAGCTGTCAAGTCCTCTGGTCTGCTCGATACCGTTGCTGTTGCCATCACACATCGTGTTGAGGGCATGAGCCTGTACGGTGTACTGGTTGTTTTCTCCTGCCTGATCCTTGTCATCGCAACCTTCATTAGCCACACCGTGGCCGCTCTTATTATCCTACCTCTCGTCTTCAATGTCGGTAAGGCGATGGATCAACCGCACCCGAATCTCCTGGTTATGGCTGGTGTTCTGATGTGCAGCGCTGCTATGGCCCTGCCTACTAGCGGTTTCCCCAATATGAGTAAGTTTCCTACCCTTATAACTCTGAGCTATCTGCTGACGAGATACTAGCCGCTATCATGAAAGAAGACCCTGCTGGACAGAGATATCTGCAAGTTAAGCACTTCATCAGCAGAGGCGTGCCGAGTAGTCTCATGACCCTACTCGTGGTGGTCAGTATAGGCTACGGTGCGATGAGAGTTACCGGAATGTAGAGAACTTCAGATGTGGTACACAGAATAACAGCTAGAAGATTTTGAGGGGGGTGGCGTTCTGATTACTTTTTCGGACTTTCGATAGCCAATATTTGGACTGAAGGTCATGGAGCAGGCTTGTTGATATACGATGGCATAGGTGCGCACGTGAGCAAGATAGACAACAAATGCTCGTAGTATAAGATAGAATATAGAACCGTGGGGTGTATACATGGATATAATTTTACCTGACCAATTTGATTGAGCTGTTGCAACATCATGACCTACAGGCCACGAGGTTGGTGTTGAGGGGTGTATGCTGTTAGGCGTGGGCTTATCGACCAATGCGGTCATGGGCCGAGGCCGCTTAACTTACACGGGAGCTCCCACCCGACATCATCGAGCTCCCTCATGCATCGCAAGGACCGGTCCGCCCACCTCGGCCACCATAGAATTCTCGACTATTCAAGACTGTGCCAAAGCTGAGCACAATACGGCGATCCTTGCGGGAGCTACAAGCGATTTGCTTAACAACGAATAGCCCTGATGGTCATCAGCAACCGATAAACCCGCTCCTGGTTGTGAGCTGGCAGCCGCCATGCTCTCCGCATTCACAGCTCGACCTATCATCGAGCTCAAACAACGGGACAAGTCTAAGATAGAGACTATTCTGGCATATGGTGCGCACGGCAGTTGAATGATGTATGGCTTGGCTATATATACTAACCGAGAATCGTAGGCGACCGGGTCTTTGTCGGTCTCAACACTGGTGTCCTACGCGTCTATCGCCTCAACGAACTCCCTCCTCCCCCAGCCCCTTCTAAGCCGACAAATGGCACGTCAACCGATGACTCTGCCGCAGCTGGTAGTCCTCCCAAAGATGTTGCGCCGGCTTCGACAGATGCCCGATCGCCATCCTCTTCCCAGCCCGCCGTCAAGCCAACCGACCTCCTCCGCGAGGTGGAGAAGTTCTCGACACGCGCCATCGAGCAGCTCGCGATAATCAAGGAAGCCAACGCGCTGATCAGCCTCTCCAACTACGCCGTCTCGCTGCATGACTGGCAGACCTTTGAGCCGATCGAGGCGCCACTGGCGCGCACCAAGAACGCGTCGTGCTTTGCGGTGACTAGCAACATCGTACGCGACCCCGCTACGGGCATACCCGAGATAATCAGCCGGCTGGCGGTCGCTGTCAAGAGGCGGCTGTTGCTGTGGAGCTGGCATGAGAGCGAGCTGAGTCCAGATGTTGGCGAGATCGTGCTGGCCGAGAGCATTCGGAGTGTGACGTGGGCAAGCGCGTCGAAGGTCGTGTGCGGCATGAATGGAGGCTATATCGTTGTCGATGTCACCACGAGTGAGGTCGAAGATGTCGTTGCTCCGGGAGCCATCGGCGGTGCAGCTGGTGGACAGGGCAGGTTCGGCGCCGTGAGTAGCGCGGGTATGGGATACATGGGACTGGGCGGCTACATCCCAAAACCGCTGGCCGCGAAGCTGGCTGATGGGCAGATGCTTCTCGCCAAAGATATCAACACATTATTCATTACAGACGAAGGTAAACCGATAGAAAAGAAGCAGGTACCCTGGGGGTCTGCCCCTGAGTCTATCGGCTACTCCTATCCTTACATATTGGCCCTACAACCTCCAGCCAAGGGCTCGCTTGAGGTGCGGAACCCAGATACGCTTTCTTTGTTGCAGACTATATCTCTTCCGGGAGCAGCGCAACTACATTTCTCACCACCGACATATAGCTTGGCGCATGCCGGAAAAGGCTTTCACACCTCTAGCGATCGGGTAGTCTGGAAGATGGATGCCACAGACTACGACTCGCAGGTTGAAGAGCTGGTATCAAGTGGCAAATACGACGAGGCGATCAGCATCCTGAACATGCTGGAGGATGCTCTCTTGAAGAATAAAACGGAAACGCTGAGGGAGACCAAGATGCAGAAGGCTGAAGTCCTCTTCAAGCAGCGCAAGTATCGCGAGTCGATGGATCTCTTCAACGAGGACGAGGTTCATGCTCCTCCGGAGAGAGTACTGAAACTTTTCCCGAGGCTCATTGCCGGTGATTTGTCAGGTTATACTGAAGAGAAGGACGCTGACTCCGACCACGAGCAAGCTAACGGCAACACGAACGGAGAGAGGACAACAAAGTCAGCAGCCGAGGCCATAATAGAAGCTGCCTCACCATCAAAAGCTGGTGGATTTACGAGAATGTTTCTGGGTCACCGCAAGGTTGATTCTGACACTGCCTCAGTCACCTCGTCTCGGAAAGAGGCTGATACAGATGATGCCGCCAGTATTGTAGGGAAGACGCCCGAGGAAGGAAATGTTCTAGAGGGTAAGGACCTCATGTCGGCCGTCCTCGAGCTTAGAGGCTTCCTCGCCGGTACAAGGGCCAGGCTGCAACGTGTCATCGACCCCGTAACTGGCCGGCTGAAGCCAAGAAAGACGGAAAGTGGTTCCACAGAGGAGGCGTTCAAGAGCATCTTGACGACATCAAGAGATGAATCAGAGGAACAGCTTGAGAAGGAGTTGCAGGATGAATTCAAGTTGGTGGATACATGCCTCTTCCGAGCATATATGTTCTCTGCGCCCACATTGGCCAGCTCCCTATTCCGAATACCTAACTTCTGCGACCCCGACGTTGTCAACGAGAAGTTGCTCGAACACAATCGGTACAATGAGCTGGTAGATTTCTTCTACGGCAAGAAGCTTCACCGACAAGCATTGGAGTTGCTCAGGAAGTTCGGATCAGGCGATAAGCCTGATGAAACAGCGCCCTCTTTGTATGGGCCAGAAAGGACAATCGGGTATCTGCAAAACCTGCCTCCCGAGATGGTCGACCTCATTCTGGAGTTCTCAGAGTGGACACTCAGAAGTAAACCGGAAATGGCCATGGAGATATTCCTTGGTGATACCGAAAATGCTGAGACACTCCCCAGAGACAGAGTGTTAAAGTTTCTGGCCGGGATCGATACGGCCCTTGAGGTTCAATACCTAGATCATATCATTACGGAGTTGAATGAGACGGACCCAGATTTCCATAACAGACTCGTTGAGCTATTGATTAAGCAGCTCAAAGATGGCTCTAAGAAGGAGTCCTGGGAGGATCAAATGGAGCGACTCGTCAAGTTCTTGAAGGAGAGTAGACAATATAGTCTTAGTAGGGCTTTTGGCCTTATACCTAAAGATGGTAAGCACTCGCAACCACCTTTGACAACCATGGCTAATGTTTTGGACAGACCCCAAATTCTACGAAGCTCAGGCAGTTGTCCTCAGCAACATGGGGTCAGATAAACAGGCTTTGGAGATATATGTCTTCAAAATGAAAGATTACGCAAAAGCAGAAGAGTGAGTTGACCTCTATTGGTTTCAATACCTCAGCTAATTCAGTAGATACTGCAACCGAATACATAAAGCTCAAGAGGCGGCTGCGCCCACGCCTTCGCGACCAGACGCGGATCATGAGGACGCTGCAGAGCCGTCACCCTCGATATATCATACGCTGCTCTCTTTATATCTAACACCACAACCGCCACACGCGCCGAACTGGCCTCCTGCGTTGGACCTTTTATCCAAGCATGGATCTCGACTTCCTGCTGCGTCTACGCTTTCACTGATTCCAGATAGCCTCCCTGTGGAGGAGCTGGAGTCATACTTCCGGGGAAGAATCCGGGCTGCCAATAGTCTTGTGAACGAGACGCGCATCGTTGCTGGTCTTAGAAAGACCGAACTCGTGACAAGCCAGGCACTCCTCCTGTTAGGAGACGGCATGCCTGGCGGCCAGGGAGGTCGGAATAGACGGGTGGTCATTAGTGACGAGCGCATGTGCGGCGTGTGCCACAAGAGGCTGGGAGGTAGCGTGGTTGCTGTGATGCCTGATAATACCGTGGTGCATTACGGTTGTTTGAACAGAGCAACAGGGCCAAGGCCGAATAGGGCGCCAAGTTGGGGCCGGACCGGAGTGTGATGTCGAGAAGTGCCGTGTAGATTTTGCATTGGAGCCGGTGCGATTCTGCATCATAACAATACCCCCGTATAAATAAACGTTGGCGTCTTCGTTGATCGACTCTTGATTCGGATAGTTCACTCCTCCTCTTCGATTACCTCTTCGCCGTAGTTTTCTTCCTCCTTGTCTTCGTCAACTTCCTTCTGGGTCGCTTTCCCTGCCTCCTTGACTTTGTCTTCTTCCATGCGTTGGGTCAGCTCCTTGTTGACTTGCTCATGGATCGCAAGGGTTGCTTTGCGTAGATCCCTTAGGTATTTGGTCTTGTCCTCGACAGCATCAGTAGCAGGGGCTTGTAGTTCTTGGGCGGCGACAAAGGATCCGTTGTTGGGAGAGCTATAAGTCGCAGTGAACTTCAGCACTTGACTGCCGTCGCTGTTGGTCGGAGCTGGAGCGGTCATGACGTTTTCGAAGTCAGAGGAGAAACAGTTCAGATCCCAAAATTAAGTGCCCAGTCTCGACTGTAGTTGAATCTGAAGGGTTGCTGTTGGAGAACGGCTTGGGCTTGCGAGGTAGGTGACTTCAATGAAGATCGGCCTCGAAAATTGTAGTTTTGGGCGGCCCAGGTACGTAGAGAGCACCAAGGCGGGGTACGGGCAATTGATCAGTGCAAATCCCCACTGTTTCTGGGTAAGACAAGGCACCCCTCAGTGACATCCTTAGCTGGCCCGCCAACATCACACAGCGCCCCCGTCTGCAGCTAAGGGCCCAGAGGAGCCGGGGGCTTCAGATCGGCCGTTACAGGACATATTAGCTGCGGTACCCTGAGATCAACACCACACACACTCAGCGAGGCATCTACCGGTATCTCCCTTCAGATATCCATATCACAACTCAGCCGGCTATTCCGCCCGTCTACAACAAACCTTGGAATAACAGCAAACAACCCTCTGTCAAGACAAACAAGTTTCTTGATCTGTGCCCGCCGATCGTCAAGGCGAAATACCCCGACACCAGCGCTGATCTTAACTGTCTGGCCAAGATGTAACAGACCCCTAACACATCTACAACAATGCAACCAGCGAGACCCCAGCCAAGGGCTCCGGGGAGCTTCTCTCCCCTGCCCCAGAGCAATGCCTCCTCCACAGACCTGTCACGACCTCGAGTAAGAAGAGTCGAGTCCTCTTCCAGCGACGACTCTGCTCCATTGACCGTCGCAAAGGCCAGAGTCCAGAATCCCTCGGCCTCGGGCACGCCCATCTTCGCCAGCTTCACCTCCCACACCAACTCGAGCACCAACAGCCTCCACAACTTCTCCCGTCCGACGCCCGTCATCTCCGTCAACACCGCAGCCGCTCTCGCTGCCCGCTCCGTCGCCGCGAGCCATGACCTGCCCCGAAACACCTCGCCCCTGACCCTCCCGCCCTCGAGCGCCACCGGCAACGGCAACGGCAGAGGTCACTCTCGCAAACACTCGCAGACGGCCGGCCTGTTCGACTCGACCCTGCCGTCTACATCCACGTCAAACCTCTCGCAGATCGGCATGGCCCAGCCATCTCCGGTCCACCAGCAGCCCCGCGAGCTGTCCGCCAGTCAGATTGCCGCCCAGGCAGCGGTCATGCACCACCAGACCCAGCAACAGCAGCAACAGCAACAACTACATCAGCAACAGTACCAGCAACATCTTAGGCAGAGGTCGCAGACTGTTCCGGGACCGGGAGAGTCTTATGAGCCGTCCCCGGCGCAACACAAGCGAGGCAGTGGTGGGCCTCTCAGTCCCCCTCTTTTGAGCCTCACAGAGGCCAGCGCACCCAGAGAGACCGGGTTTGGGGTTCAGGGATATCACAATGGCCTACTTGGGAGCCATACCGCTGCGGCAGCAGCAGCAGCCAACGTCGTCTATGCTCGCTCCGGGCAGACATCGCCGGCTCTCCCAGCACAGCAAGCGCCTCCTCCACCACCACCTCCGCCTCCGATGCCCGAGAAGAAGGCGGAAAAATCATCCAAGGTCAAGCTGTTCTCTAGACCTGGCAAAATCAGTGTCAAGGGGGAAGCCAAGGACAAGCCTTTACCAAGCCCAAGCAAGATTGGAACGGCGCTTTCTGCATTACAGAGGGCCAATTTCAGTACTACCAGCTTAGACTCTTCGTCTCAGTCATTCTATAGTCTGGCGAACTCGTCATCTGCTACAATAAGGCCGATTGATACGCCTACCGAGAAGGAAGGTAAAGAGAAGAAACATCATTTCCTATCGAGGCAAAAACACAAGCTCAAAGATAAGGATGACTACCATCTCCCGTTGTCATCGGCCTCCAGCAATTCTCGGCCCACGGACCCCAATGCGCCCAGCAGCCTATATAACTTTAACCTGCCTCCCAGTCCAGGGCCCAATACGACTACCTTCAAGAGTATGAGCGGTCTAGATCTGCGTCATGGAGGTCGGGCTTTGCGTGAGAAGAAGAAGGAAGACAAGGGAGATATCAACGAATCCTCCCTAACTCTACAATCTGAGTGGCCAGGACCTAGCAGTGTGGGATCCTTACCCAACCAGTCGACTGTGCACCTTGAGCCCGTGGACTCGACCAAGTATGGTCTCAATAGCCTGAGTTTGGACGATGCTTGGCCATATTTGAGGGCGAAGCTTCTTGTCATTTTCGAGGGCGAAGACCTGAGACTTCCGGTGGAAGATTTCAACCGCGTGGTGACGATGCATATACAATACTGTATTCAACGGAGATCACCCAACATCATCGTTGAGGACGTGCGAGATCTCCTTAATACAGGCTTCGCCAGCTTGGACCATACCCTGCGCAAGACTCCGGAAGACCGCATGATCCCTGCTCTGGTTGAGCTGTGGCTGTTCATGTTTACATCTATCCTGCCGTACATGCAGGCTGTCTTCCTTCCACTCGATCTCGAATTTGCGGGAACAGGCACACTTCTGACGCCTGACCAAGCAAAAGACTTCTGGGGTGGAGTGGTTGCCACCAGTGCACCAACAGAAACAGTTGCGTCGGCAGGGTCAGCAGGCGGCATCAGCGTCAGTCCTGCTGCTGCCGTGCTTGATGTACGGAGGCTTGTGTTGACGGCCTACCGAGACACTGTCGTCCTCCCGCGATATGACACCTTGAAAGTCATCTTCTCTCGCCTTTCACTGGAGTTCCTCCCTCAGTCTTTTGCCAGCATGGCCCTGGCCAGTCCCCTTCCAGAAAACCAGCTGTCCACCTCACCATCGGCCGAGTCTACCTTTTCCCTTCAGCAACGCCCAGGCACAGCCATGTCTCTCGACCCGTCTGTCGCAAGCTACAACTCCAGCAGCACGACTCTGTTTGGCGACGGCTCAGGGGGTAGCCGCAGCCGCGCCATCAGCAACGTGTCGTTTGCTAGCAGCAGCGACCACACGAACGGCGGCTCGCTGCGCCCATTCACGCCGTCCAGCCTGCAGGCGCTCGGCGCCGGCATCCCGGCCCTGGCCCTGGCAACCGGCACCGGCTCCAGCGGGCTGAGCGCCGCCGCGGGCAGCCTTCGGGAGCAGAACGTCGAGGACTCGAAGCAGGTCACGGAGATGGTCGGCCGCATGCTGCAGTGCATGAGCGTGCTGGCGAGCGTGGGGGTCACGGGCGACAAGACGGACGAGGGCAACAAGAAGATCGAGGAGCTGAGCCGGCTGCTGAAGCTGAACTGGCTGGGCCGTGGGCGGACGGGGAGGAACAGACGGGGGATCGTGGGCGGGCGGGTCAGGAGGGGAGACCAGCAGCCGGTGAGGGAGGAGGTGAGCGTGGTCTAGGGGGCGGATGTATGATTATAAGCGTTTCTTTGCTACAATTGGGCAGGGTTCTGGCTGGTATGGCAAAAAGCCGTCGGGCGTTCTGGGTTGGTCTGTCGTCGACGGTCGCGCGTCGAGGAGGAAACGGCAGCATGGAGTTTTGCTGGTGATATCAAATTTAGATGTCACAGTTGTACATACGAGACATGGCAAACACTTGAATGAAAACATATGATTATATTTATATCTAGAGTAAGAGATACTGCTGATGAAGCCCTCTGTGTATGACAAGGTGACCCTAGTGATAAGCACGTTCGCATTTCCCCCCCTATATGACCAAGAAAACGTCCTGGTCTTGAAAAATGGGAAATGTGCTTTTCTTTAATGATGATTCGACATCCAAGGAAGATACTGCCCTCATCTGTCCCCAGTAAAGGCTCTAGGCGGGGACTCGAGTGGAAACTGCGAATGTAGGTGGGAATTTCATCATGGTATCGTCGAGAAGGAAAAGCACATTAAAAGAGGTTATGAAACTGACCTTGAATATTAATACAAGAGCCATGCTCTAAAGGTTAGTTGCTGGTGGCAAGCACCGGTTACGAGTATAGCACTATTGACGAACACCTGATTAGCTTCGCCGTTCCTGTATTGCGTGTGTGCAATGCATATCCCACTCCACATGAGCATTTGAGTAGATTGATGTGTGTCAGACAAAGTATACTGGCAAGTAACAGGTACGCCCCCGTGGGAGCGATAACCCGAACAGTCGAGACTTCTTCATGGTCGATTCAGTTGGGAAAAGAAGACATTTGTTATAGTTGTCATCATTCGGAGGGAAAGAAAAAAATAAAAATGTTTGCACGTGTGGAGGCCGTGAGATATGCGGGAGGTGTAGGGGAAGGGTGTGTTTTGAGAGGCTTACCTTTGGGATTCGCGGATCTGCTCCCCTGCTCGTCGCAGACTTGAGGCGCTGCGTTTGCTGGGCGTAATGCTGCATTTTGCATTGGAGAGACGCTCGCCTCAAGACTGGACGGCTGGAGGTACAGATCCGACGGTGGAGAGTTGGGAAGAAAGAAAAGATAAGTTTGAGATGTTGAACGAGGGTGGAAGGGAAAGGAAAATTTGCTGGGAGCTTGAGCTTCGCCAAAATTTTGAGGATGCAAAGGATTGGACCCCGGCGTCACGGCGTAACGTAATACCGAACCAGAGAGGTTGTGGTGGTGGCCAGGTGGGGGGCAGCTGGCGGATCTGTCAAGACAAGGAAGGGGGGCTGTGGACTGGGACTTGAGTTTCAAACCTTCCAAAAATAGGCGTTGACGACTGCTGTGTGTGTTTGAGAAAGCCAGCAGCTTATTCAAGACCGTCTGTCAGCGTGGAGAGAGCCTGTCTTCTTTTTTTCGCATTCTGCATTCTGGCGGAACACATTTGACGAGGGAGCGAGAGCAGAGTTGCGTTTCCGTAGCTGGGTGGTAATGCGGCCGTCGGTCAACGCTAAAAGGGACTTGCCGTAGTGCATCACTGCTCTCGGGGAAGTCTGGGCCTGGTGGAAAGGTCTCGAACAACGTTATACCAGTAGCCCTACGCAAGGAATGTGGATGATGATGATTTTGTCTACCGTGCTTCGATACTCTTATCCCGTAACAGGTGTGAGATTGTACCGAGTAGGGTAGGTAAAGTAAGGTAATAAGTGGTAGTAGTGCTTATCGATCTAGTCAATCCTTTCGATATCGAGTCTCCTGGGAGGCGTCTTCCACATCCTGCAACCGGAGGAGCCGTCGTCGCTTTCGAGGAGGCAGTCTGGTAAGGTAAGCTAGCGACAGGCAAAATAGCGTAGCCGAAGCGAAGGGTACCAATTCCGATCAGACAGATTAGGACTTATGTAATCTCCAAGTGAGTCCATCGAGGTGCCATCGCAAAGCTGGTCTTCTCCTACTGGGATACCTCACTTTATACTTCTTGTAGGGTTATATCTATATCTAGCCACCTTAGCTGAGGACTTACAGTCAATACGCAGGTAGTGTCAAGAAAATGATCGGTGGCAGGGTTCATTTTATTACCCCGTAGGGCAGGCAGGTGTGGTGGTGGTGGTGGTAGGGAGGTGAGAAGCCTCGACGCACGCCGCATCCGCAACTCAGTCGCTCACTTCAGTGTGTTATTGCCCACCACCACCACCACCACCACCGCTCTTCACCTTTCTCTCCCTCCTTCTTTGGGCTGTTCCGGGATTTCCTTCGCACAACTCGACTCGTGTGCGAAACACACATACACACACACTCTCTCTCTTTCTCAATTCCTCTGTCTCGCCACACACACTCTTGCCTGAGCTTGCCGAAAATCCTTTCCTTCTTCCCCTCCCATTGCTTTTCTCACGCTACGCTTACACAGTAAATAAGCCCTGGAGATACTGGTGCTGTATACATAGTATATCCAAGACCCACGGCATCGGGACAGCACCGAAACTCCCCTATCAAAAGCGCAAGCGGAGCTCCTGGTGCGCAGAGTTGATTCGCTGCGACGGCGGAAAGATTTGACGGGGTTCCGACACCAGCACCACCAGTACCCAAGAAGGCGCAAGCGCAAAAATCAATCGGGCGGGATTTGGGTCGCCTGCCGCCGCCGCCCATCCCCCCCAACCCCCAACCCCCGTTTCTTTGCTCTGTGCTGTGTGTGTGTGTGTGTCAGTCTCTTTTCGCTGGTCTGGCAAAGTCCTACCCAGGGTGCCAGGTAGTCCCCCATCCCAATTCCAGCATTGCGCTGCACCAGCATCAGCACCAGCACCAGCACCAGCACCAGCACCTGGATCGCCCTAGTCGAGCCTCTCCCGTCCACCCCGACCGACGACACGTCGCCGACGTCGACTCTATTGCTACGAACCCCCCAAAGAGCCCAAGCCCGGTCCTGTGTCAAACGATTTCAGATTGTTTGTTTGTCCCTCGCCTGCGACTTGTCCCAGTCCGTTTGCTCTCGCCCGCCGTTGGACCCTGGAAACAGCGTATTTATCATCTGTCGCGCGTCGGCTGGCTCATTGCTCCTCGTCTCCCGCCATCCGTGTCTCTCACCTCTTGTCGATCGTTTCGAATTGCCTCCCGGACTCCTCCAACGCTACAAACACCACAATCGCTTTCGCTATCACTTCCGACGGCAATCTTCGAGGAGGCTCCCGCCCGCGACATCGTTCCGCGAAAGGCGAAGCGCAGACGCGAGGAGTAGCCCGTCTTTCCTCAGCGACCAGGTGCCTGTGACTTGTCGCCCGACAATCCTCAATCTGTCTCTACCACCCGCCCCCGTAGACCAGCGCATGCGATAGTACAGGAAGAGCAGAGTCGATATCCACGCCGTGGAATATCGACAGTAAACAGAAATGATGGCAAGCATGGGTCCCTCCTTTTCGCCGCATCCTGGCGGCATGCAACAACACCCAGGCGTACCACCAGGCCACCCCATGGCCCCAGGCATGGCACATAACCCAAGTCAACCCGGACAGCAGCCTGGTGGCATGCCGCACCAGATTCATATGGGGGTATCGGCGGCAGGCGGTCAGGTAAATCCAGCGGCTCTGATGGGAGGAATGCCGCCTGGCGCTGGTCCGAATGCTCACGCAATGCAGCACCTGAACCCCCAGCAAGCGCATCTCTTCCAGCAACAGCAGATGAATCCTATGGCTTGTGAGTCTTCCTTTGCCCAGGGCCGAGGCTCAGGGCTTCCCTATCTTGCCTTCTCGGTGCTAACCTGGGGCGCCCAGTCCAAAATAATCCGGCTCTGCAGCAACAGTACCATAATCAGAGGCTTCAGGCGCTTCAGCAACAGCAGCAGCAGGCCAGACAGGTTCTGCTGGCACAGCAATCGGGGATGTATGGGGGCATGCCCATGGGCATGCCTGGTATGCAGATGACTCCGGCTCAAGCAGCCCAGTTGGCAGCGATGAGGAACATGCGACCGGTACAGAAACCCCCCACGTCCCCAGCTCTAATACGTGCGATATGCTAAACAAGAACAGCAGCAACCGCACAACCCAGTAAGACGACATCGAATCCGACACCTCTATCTTCCAGCAATTGGCGTGAGGTTCTGACGAGGTACATGGCTGACAAGTTTCTATTTTTAGGCTCTACTTGCACAACAGATGGCCCTCCAGCAGCAGCAACAGCAGATGGCTCAACAACAGGGACAAAACCCGAACCAGCAGGGCCATATCAACCCCCAGATGAACCTTCAACAAGCTCAGTTACAAGCAGCTATGCAGGCCCAGCAGCAAGCTCAAGCACAAGCCCAGCAACAGCAACAGCAGCAGGCTCAAGCCCAGGCTCAGGCTCAACAGCAGCAAGCTCAGCCGCAACCGCAACCTCAACAGCAACAGCAGCCCCAGCCGCCTCAGCAAGCCGGTCAACCACAGCAACAGCCTGGCCAGCAACCTGGTCCCCAGCCGGGACAAGGTGGTCCCCAGCCGAACCCTGCGCAACAAAACCCAGGACAGCCTCAAGGTCCGATACCTGCCCAGCAAAACCCACAGCAGCAACCCCAGGCACAACCACAAAACGTGCAACAGGCCCAACCGCAGCCGATGATAACAGCCCAGCAGCAGGTCGCAAACAGTATTATGCAGGCGCAGAAACGGGAAGGCATGAAGGGACATTGCCTTCTGCGCTTGATGCAATTTAGTGAACACTTGAGTGGCTTTCCTGTGAGACTACACTGGCTGCCATCATATGAGAGTTGAAGCGCTGACTACTATCTCCCAGGGTTCCAAAGGTAAGGACGACCTGTCGTACTGGAACGACTTCGTCCACAGGTTCTTCTCCCCGCGAGGCATGTTTCGATACTCCATTCATGTGGTGGATGGAGAAGAGCAAAATGACAAGCAATATGAGATAACCTTCCCGGCCCTCGCACGATACTTCCACACGCACTTCGATAGCGGGGTGAAGTATATGCAGTTGATCCTAGACAAAGGCACCACAGACAGGCCTCTGCCAGGAGACTGTCACTTTATTGAGAATACCAAGTCCAGCCTTGTGTATTGGTTCGAAGGCGGTTCACACGTAAGTGTAGACCTCAGATGGAATATAGTAGTGATACTGACCTATATTTGTAGCTGATAGCAAATGGTACCCTTCGGGCACAATTCGATGCTGAGCAGAAGATTGAGCTTTTCGAGTTCCTCACGACTGGCCATGAGGAGTACATCTCGAGAAAGCTCGTCATACAAGCCGCAAAGCCGGCGCATAACTGGGTCAAGGACTGGCACAAGGTCAACTCTCAGGACACCAAGCAGTCGCCTGAAATGAGCAAGAAGGGCAAAGCACGGCAGATGAAGTCGCCACAGAACCCTCCGCCAGACCTAGATCTGCCCCAGTCCATGGTCAAGCAGAGTGTCGGTATCACCGAAGCGGTTCATCAGTTCCTCGAGGTTTGTCTCCCCTTCTAGTCTTGGTGACTTGTACACGTATTGATGTATTACAGATCGTAGAAATCATGGGTCAGATGAACCCCCTATTTGGCTTCTATCACAGCCACCCTGGCATGGCTCCATATCAAGCTCTTGATCAATATGTCGCCCAGATCAACAACATTCAACAAATGAACGGACAAATGATGCAACAGGGAGGACCGCGCACACCTGGGTACGGCCAGTTCCCCATGGTGGGTGCCAGCCCCAACGTTGCCAATCTCCAACTACCAGGATCTCCTCATGTCGGTAGCCCGGCACCTGGAGCCATGCAAGCACCCCAGATGCAGCTCCAGCAGAGCCAGCAAGGAACAAGCTCCAGTGGCCCCAGCGCCAACACCTCACCTGCTGGGACGAAGAGGAGGCGACCTTCAGCCGTTAAGAACGAGGACGAAAACGCAGGCAATGCCCCGACGCCGTCTGGAGCCGGCGGTGGTGGACAGGCCAACGGTATCCAAACCAAGACAAAGCCCCCAACGCCCAGAATGCAGAAGAGAGTCAAGGGCAATCCAGCATAGAACATGGTGTGTGCCACCTTTCTGTGCTAGGTCGTCGTGGCTTTGTCTTGTCATTACTGGCGTTGAGCGGCGTCTCGTCTTGCAGCATTTCCTGTGTTTTCCGGCCTTTTCTTCGGTGTAGCACTGGTTCATTGGGCGTCAAAATGATTATTTTTCTGGACACATCATGCATAAAGTTCGGCTGGGTCTTGCAAATTGGTCGCATTTGGCACGAGGTACATCCATATACCAATTTCTTATACCCATCCACCATCACCACCAGCGGGGAGAGAGGCAGAGCTCAAACGGATGCAATTTCGATCCAGTTCAGGTCAAGCATCTGGCACTTTCTCCTGGAAACAGGTACGAGAGTCAAGGGCACGTCACGCTGCCGCCGTCAACTGAAGACCAGCGCTGCAAGATGCTCTTTCCCCCCCTGATGTATACGAGACGACGCCGTACCGCTGCCATGTCTTTCTTGAGTAGAGCGTCACCAAAATCAACATCCGGGTATCACGACTGCTTTGCCATTATCACCGACTATGCATCCGGCGACGAGAAGAAGAAGAGAAAGGAGGAATGAGAAAGAAGATGAAGCAGGAGGAGTATCGACCTTGGAATTTAATACGGTAACGGGGAGAGTTCTGCGTACTAGTTACCGCAGTGTAAGATTACTGCCATATTTTTTTGTCGTTTGCTTTTCCACCACCTTGACCGACCGCGTCGGCTCCATCTCAGCAGACAGGCGGACAGACACACACACACACACACACATGCTTTTGAGCGTATCCTAGTGCGACTTGAAAGGAAGCAGCAAGTAGCGAGCAGTAGTATGTCGGGGGCAAAGAAAGAGAGAAAGCAGAGAGAGAAAACGCGGCTACTACTACTGCTGTTTATTACCACTTGTGTTTTTTCATTGGCCTCGGCGTGAGACAAGGCGAAAAAAGTTGTTCTTTGGTTCTTCATACTTTTTTATTTTTCCAGGCTCGTTCGGTTGGGACGCCGCTTTTGGTTGTTCTAGTCTAGATGCTGCGTCGTCGTGGTCGTGGTCGCGGTCGCGGTCGTGGTCGTCAAGGTTGCTCTTTCGTAGTTGTTCGGCGCGGGAATTGCAATACCCCCTTTAAATTCCCCCATTCATCGGGGCCTCAGCTGAGGACTTGTGAGGTTGTGACATGTGGTGTCTCTTCACGCTCTTTTGCATTCCGATATGGCTAGAGTGTCCAAGCCATGGATCAGGTCCGGAGGAGGCGGCCACTATCATAGTATATTCACCTAAACAACACACGATGTACACACGCAGGAGACGACATATTTCACTCGCAATAGACAGGCAGGTAATGTCAGAAAGAGCTCGTGATTTCAAATCTAGGTAGTCCCAGGGCAATGGAAAGGGAACGTCGAGATGACACAACCAGCCGCGCGCATTCTCCTCCTCTCCCTGAACCACAGACACCAGCTTGCCCGCCGCCGCCTCCTCCTCACATCCCTAATCAGCTTGGAGGAAGGAGAAAACAGGGTCTGATTTGTTGTTTGTCCGAGTGATAATTCCAGACTGAAGCCAAAAAAGAGTTCCGTTACAAGTGCCATCAACTAGTTGATTCCCAAACCACGAAATACCAAACGCCGGGTCATTTGCCTTCAAGGAGAGGGTACCAAGGAAGCGGAATTCCAAGTGCTCGACGAATCACAGAACTTAGGCGGACTCCTCAAAGTCGCCAAAGGTGTTCTCGCCGGAGTAGGTGATGTATAGGAATCTGGAGTAGAAGACATTTGTCAGCGTTCGGTTCGGGTGCTCATCGTGCTAGGCAGAGAGGGAAATGACGTGTTGTGAGTCAGAAAACAAGTGAACATACCCGTCCTCGTCCTTGTGCTCCTCGTAGATGCTGCTCATGAGCGCAGCAGTGGGCGGCAGGACCTCGTCGACGAAGATGAAGATGGCCTTCTCGGGGGACAGCTTGATCCGCTTGCGGATCACGTAGACGAACTGGCCTACGGTGAGATCTGCGGGAACGAGGTACTTCTTCTTATCGATGGTAGCGATGTCGCTCTTTTCCACCTTCTCGCAGATGACCTGTGGAGTGAAGGCTCGTCAGTAACCGTGTTACGCGCTTTTGCAATGACGGAGCGCGGTGGTTCATGGATGGATGAGGCGGATGGCGCAAGGCTCCAGCGGTTGAGGTGGGGTAGAGAGGGCAGCTTCCAACGAGGTGGCGGCCGAGCTTGAAGGATAGAGGAAGAGCATCGAGATAAATGGGAATACATACCGGAATACGGTCAGCGTACTTCTGGCGGATGCGTTCGGCCTCGGCCTTGCGCTTCTCGAAGGGGTGCTCGTCCTTAAACTTGGATCGCATTTTGGCGGGTAGTCGGCGATATGCGGTGTGGTGGTGACGACTGAAGGTGGGAAGTCGCGGTGAGCTGCGGGAAAGAGGGCTGCGTGAGTGGAGAGGTTCTATTTAAATGGATTTTGATGGATGGAAGATTAGAAATACCTTGATAGACGGAGCTGACGCAACAGGCACAGAGACGGGGAGTTGACGGAGGATGATGAAAGGAAGAAAGAGAAGATGAGATGCGTGGATGACCTGCCGCCTTGGTGGAGGAGGGACGACAATTGGGGGGGGGGCTCTGGGTGAGGGAGGGAGGCGGGAGGCAGGTGGGCCTAAGGCAGTGAGCAGTCAGCGGGCTACCTACTACCTAGGTATGTAGGCATGTAGGTAGGTACCTAGAGCTGCTGGAGATAGCTAATGGTTTACTGCATAGTACGAGGGAGGCGGGGCTCCTATCCTAAGGGATAAGGATGATGACTAAACAAATGACAGTCTCTGATTGGTGTGTGTCTCCTCGCTCTGCGGTACAGGTGGTGCCTTCCAAAGACGGCAGCCGGAGTCAGTCACTCAGTTGTTAGTGTTAGTGTTAGTGGGTGTCGGTCAGTGAATCACTCACCTGCTCGCACGCAATGGCGACCCCCAGGCCCCCCCAGGCACGTGGCGCAGTCAAGTGAGGATCTAAGCCCAGCCTACAAGGACCCCCCATTCATCATCATCCTCCTCATGGTCATTTCTTATTAAAGGACCTCAAAGGCCTCAAGTGTTACCTGGCTTTAGGCTAGGTGTATTCGATGTCAATACAGGAACAGCTGACCACAGCTGAACATCGACATCCTCTTGCCCCTGGATTACTCAAAACGTCATCCAGACCAAACAACTGTCGGGGTTCTATCTTGATTACATGCTCAATCAGGAGAACTGATTCCCAGCAAGTCTAGGTAGCCATATCTATTGTAGAAAGCGTGTTCAATGCCGGTCTTGCTCTCTTTGAACACGGGGGGCATGCCTTTAATAAAGTAGGTGGGATATAAGCTTTGATCTCGAGCCTCATTTCATAGGCATATATATAGTAGAGCCTTTTCCTGGCTTGCTCACTCCACACACAAAGAATGTATCTGGCGTACACCAGCATCTTTCATCAATGAATGTTCGTTGTTTTATGCCTCGATTTCTCTCGGAGCGTGGCCTTTCCCATGCCAGACAAAAGCAGCTGTGATGGCTCATCCGCCTCTATACCGGCCAACCTTACATCTAGCCGCCCTCGACCTGGAATGCGCTTGAGTACCTTCGATCATGCTGCCCCGCTGGACGGACCTACTACTAGATGCGTGTGGAAGGCCTGCAAGGCACCCGATTGATAGCAGCTGCCCAGATACCCCACCATTACGCTTTCCAGGGTCAAAGCTTGGTATGAATGGACTGCATTGTAAGGCAAAGGTCGCCCATCCATTATGTAAGAGCCCATTGAGCCTCCTGTGCCGCACGCCAATCCCAGCAAGCATTCAGTGCTGACGCCGGAGCCAGCATAGCAAGTCGGCGAGACTAGGGCACCCACTGAGACCACTTAGTCGGTCGACTCCAAATGGCCGGCAGAAGAAGCAGAAGCTCGGGTTTTCCTATGATGTTGAACATCCGATTGTGACAAAAGAACGGTGTAGCTGCCGCCCAGTAGATTCGCAGTACATTCTCGACCTGCTGGATCGTCGCAGTTGTGAGGTGGAATCAGGCTATCCAGGGCCCGCTTCTTCCCGACTGGTGGTCTCATACGCCAGCTCCCCAGCTGTAGAATCATTCGATCCAAACATCTGAGAAGAGCAAAACCAGAAGGCCAATTGCCGTCAACGCATAACTCAGCTCCGCCAGTTGCTCGAGGGGCCCCCTATATAACCACCGTCCGCAACCATGGCTGCTCGAGGTCCCGCTCTGCGCTTTCTTGCGCAGGGCAGGTTGACATCGCGGGCGAGCTACTCCAGAGCTGCACAGTTTTGTCGGCCCTCTAGACGAACTTTCACGAGCCAATCGACAGCTCAATTGAGGAGCTCTCCCTCTTCCAAGCTTCTCTACTGGGGAACCGCCGCTTTGGCTTTGGCCTCTCCCCTGATTTACACAATGGTATGTCTGCAAGAAGCTCCAATGGCTGTGCCAAGTAGTCGTATACTAACAAATCTTCCCCGATAGGCCATCGAGGACCCCCTTCTATGCGACCTCACATCGCTCGCCGAGAAGGATGAGCAGACACGCCGCGAGTCGAAAGTGTCGGAGAACTCGCCGATGCGGCTCCGCATGGAGAAGTTCATCAAGGAGCAGCAGCAGGAGATTGTGCGGGCGCTCGAGGAGATAGACGGCAAGAAGTTCCGCCAGGACGTCTGGCAGCGCAGCGAGGGCGGCGGCGGCATCACCTGCGTGCTGCAGGAGGGCAACGTCTTTGAGAAGGCCGGCGTCGGCGTATCCGTCGTCTACGGCAACCTGCCCAAGGGCGCCATCGCCAAGATGCGCGCCAACCACAAGAACCTGGCCCCCGGCGAGGAGCTGCCCCAGAGCCTCGAGTTCTTCGCCGCCGGCCTGAGCATGGTCATCCACCCAAATAACCCCATGGCGCCCACAGTGCACCTCAACTACCGCTACTTCGAGACTGCCAACCCTGACGGCACTTCGGGGGCGTGGTGGTTCGGTGGCGGCGCGGACTTGACGCCCAACTATTTGTTTGATGAGGATGCCATCCACTTCCACAAGACGCTGAAGGACGTCTGCGACAAGCACAACAAGGACTACTGGCCGCAGTTCAAGAAATGGTGCGATCAGTACTTCTACAACAAGCACCGCAACGAGAGCCGGGGTGTGGGCGGTATCTTCTTCGATGACCTGGATGAGACCGTTGCCGACAAAGAAAACACCTTTGCCTTCATCTCCGACGCCCTGCGCGCATTCCTGCCCTCGTACGTGCCCATCATCAACAGGCGCAAGGACATGCCCTTCAATGAGAAGGAGCGCGAGTGGCAGCAGATCCGCCGGGGCAAGTACGTCGAGTTCAACCTCGTCCATGATCGAGGAACGGCCTTCGGCCTGCAGACGCCCGGCGCGAGAGTCGAGAGTATCCTCATGAGCTTGCCCGTGACGGCGAGCTGGAAGTACATGTATGAGCCTGAGCCCAAGAGCCGGGAGCAGCGTCTTGTAGATGTGCTGAGAAACCCCAAGGAGTGGGTATGAGGCTGTGAATATGTAAAATTACTGTATATATGAATCTATAAAATAATAGAAGCAAGAATTCCAAAACAGATCAAGTATTCCGGTTTACAAACTACTGGATATTTCTCATCATGTTTTGATAGAGAGTCAATGTGATGCTATGATTCTGTCTTGCACGTTAAGAGTTCCACCCTCCTTCCAATTCTGACATGCAACCAAGTTCAACATCTTGAGTCAAGTTCAGCCTTAAGACACATAATGACATCTTGCACACTCAACTTGAATCCCACTGCTGTCCAATTACATGCAATAACCTCTACACAGCACGGGAGACGAGCCTCAGATGGCCAGATATGAAGGACATGTCGGACTCGTGAGAAGATGTCCTCGTCAGCACCCCTCCCCACGCCCCGCCAGCTGCTCACATCCCTCCTGAACGCCATCGGCGACGTCCCCGTCCCGCCACACGATGCGGAAGGGACAAGGCCTCCAGCGCAGGGACACACCAGCCTGGACAAGCCCGCGTCCGCGTCCGCCCACCCGCTGCGGCTCATACACCCCTCCCGCCGGCCGCTGTTCGCCACGCTGCACGTCCTCTTCCCCGCGCTGCTCCTGCCCGCCCTGGACCTCTTCGATCGCCGCCTCGTCACGCGGCTCGTGCTGCCGCCGCGCAAGGGGGAGGACGCCGGCGCGGGGAAGCCGCCGGCGGGAGACGAGGGCGTCGGTCAAGAGCAGCAGGCACAGCGCCAGGCACAGCGCGAGAGCCTGCCGCGGTCCGTGTATCTCGTGCGCTCCGCCCAGACGACCACCACCGCGCGCAGACCGTACGGCGGCGGCGGCGGCTTCGCCACCACGACGGAGACGCCCACAGGCCAGGCGTACATTGTGCACGCCGAGGCGTGGAACTGCACGTGTGCTGCGTTTGCGTTTGCGGCGTTCCCTGCTGGAACGACGGCTCCGGCTGCTGCCGCTGTGCGCGAGACCGGGAGCAGTAAGGGGGCAGATGGTGGCCGTGCCCGAGAGGACGCCGAAGGGGAGCCGAGGCCAGAGGATCCAGATGGAGAGGCAGGCTGGGAGTTTGGCGGCCTGAGCTCTGACGGCTTGGGCGGAGATGGGAGCGATGGCGTGCCCTGCTGTAAGCATTTGCTCGCCTGTGTGCTTGCGGAACGCTGGGCGGGCGGCTTGGGGACGTATGTGGTCGAGAGAGTGGTCACAAAGGAAGAAATGGCGGGTATCGTGGCAGATATATGATCCAGGAGGATATCGAAGCATTTCCTAAGGAGTCTTACGACATCACATGGAGCATGAGCAGCTGGCATCTGGCATCTGGCATGGAAGCTATGGGATATAGGTATATGGGAACGGCAGGCACATTCAGGCGTTTTGGGACTCATGTCACTCTAGAGCTTTGCATACCATTGTCCCTTTCTGTGGTCTCTCGAATGCAAATAATACCGGCTGCCCCGAGCTTTGCAGATATACCCAGGGAAACGCCTAGTGCTATTAACACACTCGCGCGCTTCATGCCTCGAGTAGTCTATCGTGTCTTTAACTCGTACAAGTCTCTCTCCCCTCTCTCCACACCCGCCCCTTACTCATCAACCGTGCCTTATTTCTTCTTCTCCTTGGACGCGGCGTCCTTATCACCGCTGTCCTTGGCCTCTCCGTTCACGCCGTTGACCGCCTTGTCCCCGTTCTCCTTCTTCTCCCCGTCCTTGGTGGTGGTCTCCTCCTTCTTGGCGGCGTCCTTCTCCTCCTGCTGCTGCCGGTTCTGGATCTTGTTCTCGATGAGGTCGTGGAAGGCGGTGATGGCGCGGATCAGGCTGCTGAGGTAGATAGCCATCAGCTGGTCGTTGGTCTTGACGCTCATCGCGTACGACAGGCCGCCGTCGGCCTTGTCCGCGGCGCTGGCGGCGGCGCTGGCGGACTTTGGCGTGGAGAGGTTGGGGAGGAGGTTGAAGACGTCTTGGAGGTTGCCGAGGATGGCGTGGTTGACAGGCAGCTGGCCGTCGAGGACCTTCTGCAGGTAGGCCTGGATGTCGCGCAGGCGCAGGTGCAGGCCCTGCAGCGACTGCAGCTGGTTGGTCACGCGGGTGGAGAGGGTGCCGACGGCGACGTCGCGGATGTCTCGTAGGAGATGCTCGACGCCAATCTCCTCTGCCTCTTCGGCCTCGATTATTGAGGGTGTGTGCACGAAGGTCTTGGATGTGGTGGTGCCGTCCTGGAGACGAGGTTAGCAGAGCTCTGAGGCATGGACGGTCAGACGGTAATCAGCATACATCTTTGATCTCGTCAACGGCAAAGTAGGCATCAGTGGGCACGCCGGCCTCCTTTGGTTGTACGTCGATGATGACGAGAAGCGGGTTGGGTGTGTAGCGCTTGAACAGCTCGTTGATCTCGAGATCTGAGGCCCGCAGCTTGGGGCCGGAGTGGTACCATCCTATTAGCTTTTCCCTGGCGTTGACCTTCTTGAACATCTCGTTCATCGACTCGACATAGTTGTGATCTAAGAACCAGACGGAAGGGTCCTTCTCGTCCTCCTCAAACGGCACTGACACAATGGTCAGCAAGCTGTAGCAGTCAGCTCTCCGGATGGTTCTCACCTGCGAAGCTGTTCGACACGCGCACGTTCTTGCCATCGTTCTGTCCTAGCAGCACGCCCACGACTCGCTTGTTCCTAGTGGACTTTGCGGCGGCGCGGTTGTAGTGATCGACGACGGAGAGGAGGACTAGAGGAGCGACGGTGACATTGCGGGTGACGAGGGAGAGGGTCTCCGCTGTGGTGGTAGGCATGGTGGCAGGCTAGCTGTATGACAACTATCCCCAGGTGCTGTTCTCTCTCTCAGTGCCGGTGAATGAATGAATGGTGGGAGGCGAGAGGAGGATCGTAGTCAGGTCGCCGGGAGCCGTCTGGTGAGGATGGATTATTGGTGTCGTACTTTGGGAGGCTGCCTTTTCTCGAATGCACTGCACCTTAGCCTCGCCTTGCGTCAAGGTGAGCTGTTGATTGGGTCAGCCGCCAAAAGCTCCCTGAAGCGCTGGAGCACTGGGCTGGGCTGGCCGCCCGGTGCTGAAAGGTCCACTAACTTCGATGCTCTACTACGCAGTACTGTAGGTGCTGCCTGTGCCACATTATCTAATCAATCCACTCTCCAGGCACCACACGTGATGATGAAGCTTCCTAGACCTGTGGCTTACACCTTGTGGCTTGCTTTACTCACTGGTCTTCTCAAGTCCCGAGGTCAAGCTTGAAGCTTAACCGTTGGAAGATGATGCTATACAGCACCTAAGAATTGCACAGGAGAGTCTCCATTGGAGAAACTCACCGTCTCATTCCTACCCAGGTACCTGAGGTATCACCCAAGCATGAGTTAGCTTAGTCATGTGTGGAATTGTGCCTCTTAGTTTGTTTAGGTGACCAGCGAGTATAATAGGTCTTCAGCAGAGGTTCTCAGTATTTAGTAGTAGCTGTTTTCTATTTTCAATTAACGAATAGATCTACCGGTACCCCCGATGATCGGATGAGATGCAGAGGCCATCGTCACAAGCTGTCGGTTACTACTATGTTACCGGTATGTTCAGAGGAGTGACTACCGGTACATGGTAGAAGGGGCAGAAGCGGGATTCTTCCGTATTGCCGGGGCAGCTCCAGCTTGTGCCATGCGTTACCTCAGTAGCCTCGGAGCAGAGGATCGCACCACACCGGAAAACAGGAGGCTTTTTTCCTGCAGCACGCACATACGCCTAGGCACATGGGCACAGGCTGCCAGCCGACCCGAGCAACCCCGTCTCCCGTCTTTCATTCCCACCAGCTTTTTTCTACTCCAGTGTCTAGCGGGCCCCTCAACCCCCAAAACCCACTGCAAGATGCTACTGGTAGTGGGGCCTTTCCCCCAGGCCCAGCACTAATCAGCGCTCCCAATTGGACAGCATGGCATTTTTTGGCGCAAACCCACCCGACCTGCTCCCTGCAACTGCACCGAGCTCGCGCTGTAACTAAGGGAAAAAGTACCTCGTAAAACCCGGACCTCGAACCTCTGCCAACTCTCCTCTTCTCGAAACCCATTCCGCTCTGCATCTTCACGATCTGCCAGCACCTTCTCGTCTCCACGACTGCAGTGTGGCATAGCTTCAATAGCTTCTTTTCCCTTTTCTCTTATCTCCTCCTCTAGAATCCCTCCCGGTCTCCTCCACTGCCTCGGTCAGGCTACGCCATCCCGGCGTCCATAGTAAATCAAACTCGCAATGGGTCTAATCGAGGACGAAGTCAGCCGCCTGCAGGGCAAGATGGCCCAGCTGGATGCGCGCATCAAGTCTCTGGAGGAGAAGCAGTTCGGCGGCCCTGCAAAGACCACCGAGGAGATCCGCATGATCCTCATCGGGCCTCCCGGCGCCGGTATGTCAACACGAATTCGTCATGGAACGACGGCGTTTCGCAAAGACCCCAACGAAGGCTAACCAGCTCGCTGTGCTGCAGGCAAGGGCACCCAAGCTCCCAAGATCAAGGAGAAGTTCAGCTGTTGCCATCTGGTAAGCCAATTGACCCGAGGACGAGCTCCAACATCGTGTGAACGGCGACTAACAGCGGTGTTTTTTTCGTGTATTAGGCTACGGGCGACATGCTTCGATCTCAGGTTGCCAAGAAGACTCCTTTGGGCCGGGAAGCCAAGAAGATCATGGACCAGGGTGGTCTGGTCAGCGATGACATCGTCATCGGCATGATCAAGGAGGAGCTGGACAACAACACCGAGTGTAAGGGAGGGTAAGGGCAACAACTGGCTCTTCTTGGCCACGTCTTTCTCTGTCATAGCAGCAGACACTGACATGCTTTCTTCCCACTAGATTCATCCTCGATGGCTTTCCGCGAACCGTCCCCCAAGCCGAGGGCCTCGACGCCATGCTCAAGGAGCGCAAGCAGACGCTGCAGCACGCCGTCGAGCTGCAGATCGACGACGCCCTGCTAGTGGCGCGCATCACGGGGCGGCTCGTCCACCCGGCCTCGGGCCGCAGCTACCACCAGACCTTCAACCCGCCCAAGAAGCCCATGACCGACGACATCACCGGCGAGCCGCTGATCCAGCGCTCCGACGACAACGCCGAGGCCCTCAAGAAGCGCCTCGCCACCTACCACGCCCAGACCACCCCCGTCGTCGGCTACTACCAGAAGACCGGCATCTGGAAGGCCATCGACGCCTCCCAGGAGCCCGGCCAGGTCTGGAAGAGCCTGCTAAAGATCTTCGACGGCGACGCCAAGAAGGCCAGCCAGTCCGGCTCCGGCCTCCTCGACAAGCTGGCCGGCCGCTCGTAAGAGCCTCCCGCGCCCCCAGCAACTCTTCAGCAATCTCCAGTGACAATCGCGCCTGTTCCAAACACGACCTGGCTCGTCTCCTGTTTGGACCGCCCAAGGCATTGAGTTTATGATCGTCTTACGAAAAGGGGGAGGCGGACGGTTCTTGGTTGACCTCTCTGCCTCTCCCATGACACGTGTGGGATCGGACGAAAGGAAGGATAGAAAATCCGGGCCTGCACAGACAGAGAACGGGAGGAGAATTCAAAGGGCGAGGATAAGACAAGCTGAGCTGTATCATGTAGTATACCACCAAACACCCCCGAAATTCCCTCGATCACGCCCGTGTATGTATGTATTCCTCAAATTCACTAATTACGATACAATGGGGTTTCCCGTTCCAATCTCTATCTGAAATGGTGATTGTGTTCGTGACTTCATGCGGCAGCCCTACCATGCTAGGAGCCCTTTATTGAAGCAACTGACATGGCGTTTATCTCAGTGACATCCTGTGCTAGCTTACTTAATATGGTGTTGTTCGGTCACGGCCAAAAAGGGGCTAGGTAAACTGTAACAGTTTCAACAATAAATAAATCGCACCCAACCCATGCTATCGCTATAGGGGTATTGAAGAAGATATATATTCCAAAAAAAGTAATCATCAGCACAGACAATCACTTCTTCCAAAGCCTGCCTGACAACAGCAACACTCTCCTCAGGAACTCCCTCCTTGGAGCCACCAACACGCACCTCCATCCACCACTGCACATGTCGACCGAAAAGGTCCGCCGCACGGCGCGGCGGAAGACCCCGAGAAGAAGAGGCCTGGGAAATCCATAATCCAAGAGCATATCGTGATGCAACGCTGCTATGCCAAAATGAAACACTCGCCATGCTGTACAACGTAGGAGAGAGAGGGTGAGCAGCACGCCGTGGACGGCGGCGGCCGCGGTGGAGAGGGGATGGTTCTCGGCGACGACCTACAGGCCGTGAACCTCCTATCTTCGCGGTGTGGCTGCAACGGACATCGAGTCAGTTTCACTCAAAGACGAGAATAGATGACAAGCCTTTAGGGAGGCGCTCACCATTGACCATCTGCCGCTGCTTGTTGAGCCAGCTCTTGGGCATGTCCTGTCGTCGCTGCAGCACCACGTGGTTGCTCTGTAGACGAGCGGTGAGATCGTACCAAGCAGTGGTGATCAGAGCATTCTCGCGCTGCAGGTTCTTGATAATCTGGTCCGAGGTGGCCTACACATCGAGTGCATGTCAGTCATCCATCATATCATATCACAAGCTAAAGTATACCAAGTGGCAATACATGGAACATTGTTCTTGCAGGCGGTTACATTTACACAGAAGCCATTAAAATATTTACGTACCTTTTGCGCCGCATACGCCCCTCCTTGCTCTGCAGCCTTGAGCCGCCGCTGGAGATCGTATCTCTCCTGGTCGGCCTTCTCCAGTTGCTAGTTATCCCAAAGTCAGCTCTACCGTCCTACAATGTAGCAGTTCTAATAAAGACAAAGCAGAGGAATGTCACTCTATGACATCCATGACGACCAAAACGCGAAGCTGGGCTTCCGCATCTTGGACCGACGGTTCGCCATTGCTTGTGCCTCCGCTGGAGGTGGAGCTCGCACTAATAGCGTAGGATCATGTTGGAAAAGACGCCTTCCAGCAGGAGGGGGACAGGACAGCGCCCGATGCCCACCACTAGATGAGTGCATCTGCGTGCCCTCGGTCCCGTCTATGGGAACGGTAGACCAGGTCTCCGGCGGACCATCCTCCTCATCTGAGAAGGTGAAAGAGATCGGGGAGCTTAAGACTGATGACATATCAGATTCTGCATCACTCACCTCCTTTTGCTGCTTGACACGATCCCGCAGCTTCTCGATCTTGGATTTGGAGGACTTGAGTGCCTCCTCGACCGCTGGGTCGGTTCCCGCAGGTGTCTCGACTGGCGCGGTAGGAGCAGGCGTCTCGTCCAGTTCCTTGCGGAGCTTGTCCTTGGAGACGAGCGCGTCGATCAGCTGCGTCCTCTGCTGATCATTCTCGAGCTGCAAAGTCTTGTACTGCTTCCGCAGCGACTCGAGCTCGGACCTGAGTGATTCAGATATGAGGTTGTCAGTTGACTTCAGCACCTCAAGAGCCTCCGTTTGATCTTTCTCAACGGCATCCACTGTTTCTTGGTTAGAGACAGGTTCAAACCCAAGTAGAAGTAACTGACAATCGGTCTTGACACTAAGCAGTTCACGGTCTTTGTCCTTGACCTCGGCCTCGAGATCCCGAGACTTCGCTCGTTCCTGTGAAAGTTGCTGCTCGGCTTCGAGAGTCGTCTTTCGTAGGTTTTGGTATGCCTCGTGCCTGTAGTAGTCCGACGTGAGTATTGAGAGCTTGCCAAAGTGAAGACAGTCTTCGATGCAGTGCACTAACTCTTTGCCAGGTATTTTGTCGATAAGAGCCTGGATCTGCTCCTGCGCGACTGTGTGTTTCTCGAAAACATCGTTGTACTTCTTCTGCAGAAGCTCTTCTCTCTGTTTTGCAACCTCAAGATCTGCCCTCAACTGCTCATTTTGCACACCGACACCGAGGTTCCGCCTCAGAAGATTATTCTCGGCCTCCAAGCGGCTTAATTGTGATTTGAGTAGTGCTGTAGGGTCAGTGCTGTGTTGTAGTTCTTCTTCCAGGTTAAACGCAGTGTGAGTAGCTGTTGGCGTTCCAGCAGAGGCCGGAGGAGCAGCGCCGCCATTGCTTAATTGCTCCCTCAACTCGGCAATGTAGCTCTCGTTCAGGTTGTTCTTATCCTGAAGAGCGGCATACTGTACCTGTAGCTCCTTGAATACATTCTCTAGGGTCTGTTTTTGCTCTCTGAGCTCCCAGAGGTGGCCCTCGCTCTGCCCCAGCGAATCGATTGTCTGCTTTTGCGTCTGCTCAAGCCTCCTCTTTTCTTCCATGAGAGACTCGAATTGACTCTGTCCCTCCTTGAGTGCATCTAATTGAAATCGGAGTTCTGTGTTTTGCTGCTCCAGCTTCTTCTGCTCCTTGAGCTTCTCCTTGTAGCGATCAGCCGCATTTGCTTTCTTCTCCAATTCTTCTCTTCCGTGTTTCAGCTCGTCATACTGGTCCTGGAGACGATCAGCTTTGGCCGACTTCAGCCTTAGCTCCGCCACCTCAGACTCGAGCCTCTCCTTGGCTATCCTATAAGCCTCGGCTTCTGCTTCTTGATTCTCGATGAGCTGTGACTGTTCCCGTAGCTTGTCCTGAAGCATCTTGATCTGCCGCGACTCGTCCGCCCCGTGGAGTTCCTGAAGCTCTTCAAGTTGAGTCTCCACCGCCTTGAGCTTTGCGGAGATTTCTTCATTTGTCTCTTGTAGGCGTTCGTGGCCTGACAGGAGGTCGGCGTACTTCTTGGTAGTGTAGTCCAGTTCGCGCCTCTTCTCCTCCAGCTCCGTCTTGAGTCTGAGATGTTCCTCCTCCGCCTCCAAGCCCGGGTCTCGGCCTGCCATGCTCGCCTCGATGATCTCCTCTCGCGCCGCCGCAGCTTGCGCCCTCGCCATGTCCTTCTCCTTCTCCTGGATCACGTTCGCGAGGGCGGCCATGCTCTTCGTGTCGAGCTTGGTCTGCATGGCCACGATGTACTTTTGCCGAGTGGCCTGGTCATTGTGGAAGGCGACGGCGGCAACGAAGACGGACAGGATCTGCGTGACGGCATCAGTATCAACGGGGCCCCTGGGCGGCTCCTCGTCCGGACGTAAACTCACCTGACAGATGCCCTCGGCATCAGGGTTCTCCGCAATGGCGCGGAAGTCGGCCGTGTGGGCCTGGTGGGCGAGGTCCGGGTTCTCGCGCTTGATGTAGCTGAAGAGGCCCTTGTAGACGGACTGTATGTTGCGCTTCCTCGTGAGCCACCGCGAGGAGCCGACGTTGTCGTCGAGCTCGGAGGGGTCGTAGCTGGGGTCGAGGTCCCGGAGCATCTGGGCGAGGATGGCGCCGTCAAGGAGGTCATCGAACGACTCGGCCGGCCGGTCGATGGGGAACGTGTTGACCCATTTCAGCAGTGCCGCCTGGGTGCCTCGGTCGAAGGGCATGGCGGGGATATGTATGGTTGGACTCGTCAACGAGTCCTGTTCTTCGTGAGATAGTACCAGATTATGTGCGTGTTGTATCGTTTGTGTCGAGTCGGGTAAGAGGAATGCAAGTCTCGGCTGCCTGCAGGAAGACTGCGCCGGAGGACCAGCTTGGTTTAAAAAGAAGAGTATTGTTTGAAGATAACAAAGACGCAGGATGAACAATAACTGCTCAAGTTCAGACAAGCAGTGGGGGCGTATATCAGTTAAAGAGTGTTCGTGTTAAGTTGGCGGATCTGGCGTTTCATTGTCTTTCCGCTATTATGGATCCAGCGCCTCGGGCTGTTGTTCTTTGGCTGTCAAGCTTTCACAGTCTCAAGAGGCTATCAAGGGCATTGTTCACTGCCAGCTCAGCCACGACGATAAAGGCAAAAGGCGATCCACAGGTTGTCTGGCTGTCCGGGATGTTGTTCAAGGGCCTACTTTCAAGGGATAGGAAGCACGCACTGGAGTACATATCTCGTTATAATTAAATTACAGTATGTTCTTTTCGGCTTCGAGGAAGCTTTGACCGCCGTCGTCATTTAGCGTTGTACCTGACTGAGTAGCTTCGGGGGACCCAAAGTGTGCCGTGCAGCAAAATCGTAAGCCTAGGGACAGGGGTCTTTCCCCCCTTGGAGGCTTGTGTGTCCCGCTAGGCTCAGTAGACTGTCCCGAGTCTCCCTGAGAAGTGCGCCGTCTGCACTTTTTTGTGCTGACATCTGCATAACCGAGCGCCGCTGATCCCTTGTTACAGGCCACTTCCCGTCTTTCGCGTAAGACTAAGTTACCGCCGGTCTTTGATGCCACGTTCTTGAGGCGATGCTTTGTTGCTGAACAACGATCTCAGTGATCACAAAGCAACAAAGCAATGCATCTGAAAGTGCCGTCGATGCTAGACTTGTTAGACTAGACCAGTGGAGATCGTCCCTTCTGAACTCCGCAGGCCAGACTCGTTAGCCCGTCTTCGATTCTGTTTCATGTTCCTTCGAGTGTTACAATGCGGGCACTAGAACCCCACATAACGCTATGACACGGCCATATCAAGCCCAACAGACGAGATGAAGAGGGCTGTTTGCAGATGCGAAACGATCCATCGTGTGTGCAGCACCTTTGCAGCAGCTAAATCCGAAGCTGCAATCTGCACGACGATCTCGACAGGCGCAGGCGGCAGTACACATGTGCTGGCATCGATCGATCCGGAATATCACTCGATAATAAGCCAGGTTGAATGTGCAATGTCGAAAGCCTGGGACCTGGTGGTGTGTTTTAATGTGTTGTAATAGGATTGGGAAACGGACAGATGCTTACACAACAAATAATCCACCAGCGTTAGGAGCAGCCCTAGGGACGGATTCTTGCCGCTGATATTCGATTGTAGGAGTGACTACTGCATGTGATTCACTGTTAAGATTGACGATCTCGGAGGATACAAAGAGGCTCTCCACAACAAAAGTTTATTTATCTAGCACATGATATCCGAAGATGGTCGCAGATCGGTGAAATCAGATCGTTCGTATCAAGATTGACTCTTTTGCGGTTGCTCAAGCATTCACAAAGAGGTTTTATTATAATGACTGCAAACCGTAACGCCACTATCCTATCTGACGTATAACAAAGCGGGAACCATCGAGACCCATACTACCCGTCCCCTCAATCAGTCTTCCTGCTAGGCACTTGCAGGTTGAACCGTTGCAGGTCAACGGTGTGGGGGTGTCCAACCGCCATCCCAATGCCCAAAAAAAATCCCAGATCTAGGAGTTGATAGACACAACCTGATCCTCCTCGACCTGCGCGTTGTACTTGCTAAACATGGCCTGCACCGTCTCGAACGTCTTCTCTCCTGCCGTTGCCGCGAAACCCCTGTGATCATGTCAGTCAACGTCTTCTGATTCATTCAGCTCAACAGCCGCATCGATTGCGTCACCTACTTGATCAGCTGGTATTCGTGTGTGATGTATCCTCCAGCCGCAACGATCCTGTCCTTCGCCTCGTTGACCACAGAGTCAGGGGTGTCATGATCATACGAAACGATGAATGACTTCTGGACATCGACGGCGAAAGCGCCAGAGACGATGGTCAGGGCAGCGACGAGGAATGCGATGAGTCTCATGATGGCGGCTGCTGCGAGTAGATTGTTAGGGTGTGTTCGGTTGAGTCTGTGTGGGACGGCGATTGACAGAGCGACGGAATTTCAATGAGTCGTGGCCTTTTAAGATCGGGATCGGACGTTGTTGTGTGATGTGAAAAGTCGTTGCCTTTAGGAAGCGCCGGAAACTGGGAAAGGCTGTTCTTTTGGGTTGGGGTGAAGTCAGGGACGGACAGATGGTTTGACGTCGGAGTGTCCGCTGATCCCATTCGCTATGACTTGAAAGCATGCCACCCACTGTGACCACACTTGCACCTCTTGGCGGGTGGGACCCCTTTTGGGCAGGTGCATTTCTTGTCTGGTTGCGGGCACGATGCACGGGCCATGTATTAGATCAGCACCGTGTAAGCTTATATACCGGGATAGATGCATACTCGAGTGAATGGACTTGAGTCGTCCTCATCAGATCCTACGAGGTTTGGTCACCTTAATGACCTTGAAAAGTCAAGTCACAATGAAATCTTGCAATAAATTACAGTCCAGTGTTGTATGTAGCTTTTGGAACCGAGCCCACGCTTTCCATGTGCCAAACGCCCTGTAAATGCCTTCCAAAAACCCAAGCAGAGGATGATACGTTCATGTCTTTGCACTTCCGGGAACGCTCTCATTCTCGCCCCAAACATCTTTGCTCTCCTGCTCAACAGCTTTCATAGCGACGGCAACTTCTTCCAGCTTTGCCACAACATCCAACACTCCTTGGTTGACCCGCTGGAAGTAACGGTCGTTGGCCTCTCTTCGTTTCCTCGCAAGAAGTATATCGACTTCGGTCTCCTCTTCTAGTTTTGCGCCAAGTCGCTCCGTGCCTATACCAGCACTTCCGGGTCTTCCACTCCCTGCTGTGCTCCGGCCGCCAGCTCCATCCGTACCTCCTGCGGTGCCATCGGTCTTGCCTCCAGTGGTGTCGCCGCCGCCAATGACCTTCTCTGCACCAGGCACTGCCGCAGCAGCGGCGGCGGCGGCACTGGAGATGGTTGTCTCAATTGCTTCATCAGCCTCACTGCGAGCCCATGCTTGCGCCAAAGCAATCTGCGACGCTCTCAGCTCTGCCAATTTTCTGTCGTGATCTGGCCCAAACACACGCGTGCCACCGCTTGCACTTAGTTCAACCTCCTCCAACGTAGCTTGCATTTCAGCCCATAGTGCATCCGTCCTATCAGTAGCACGGCTAGACTCCCCGGTACGTAGTTGCAGGGGAAGAGGAAGCCCACCCAGTCCAGAACTTACGCCGGCTGGCGGCCTGAAAGAAGTGCGGCGTTGTTCCATTGGTGATGACACTGCTGCTGTACCATCGCGAGGGCCTAGGAGTGATGTAGTCCGTTGCAAGCTGTTGGGTCCTTGTGAAGACGACCCAGACGCGGCATTGGAACTGGTGGCAGCTGTCGCGCCTGGGGCGAGGATGCCCGGGAGTGAGACATGGGAAGCAGCGGGAGACGGGTGAAGAAACAATGACGGCGGCGGATCTCGCTGCTTTGATTTGCCCTTCAATAATTGCTGGGCCATAGTGGGCTACATTCCTCACCACCTCAGCCTGTGAGACTCTTGGGACGGGATATGAGTCGCCGTAATGCATTCAAGGCAGTTTATGCACTTGAGCGTAGCACCGATGTCCACTTATAGCGATGCACCGTCTCATTGGTGGTTAAAGTGGGGATCTCAGCAAAGACGTTCCGCCACCGGATTTTTTGTTCCTCCCTTCCGCTCTTTGCCTGAGGCCGCAGCGCATTTTTCGTCTAGGGTGAACAAACCCTATTGAATTTGTGAGGCTAGGAGGGATTCCAGCAACTTTTTCGACGTCCACCTCGACGAACCCCTCAGACATCACCCAGCACAGCGATCAAGACATAAATCGGTACGTTATCCCTCGCCCTCAACACGAATCACATTGCAGACGAGTTCATCATCCATCTAAAAATTATTTATCCTGTGTCCCCACGTCGTCGTCGTCCTGGGAGTGGTAAAAAACAACCGACTGACTTTCATCATCAGCAATCATGGGTAAAGGCAAGCCTAGAGGCCTCAACGCCGCCAGAAAACTCCGAAACAACCGCCGCGAGCAGCGATGGTCCGATCTTGGTTATAAGAAGAGAGCGCTGGGAACCGCCTTCAAGTCATCACCCTTCGGTGGCTCTTCCCACGCCAAGGGAATCGTCCTCGAGAAGGTCGGTGTCGAGGCCAAGCAGCCCAACTCGGCCATTCGAAAGTGTGTCCGTGTTCAGTTGATCAAGAACGGCAAGAAGGTCACCGCTTTCGGTACGAAATACCCCCCAACTCATTCTCATTCGATGAGGATGCGACGAGGAGCGCTTGCTCTGGCGAGGACTTTTTTTAAGGTATCAGAATTGCTAATAATGGATCTTATCTAGTCCCCAATGACGGTTGCCTGAACTTCGTTGACGAGAACGACGAGGTCCTCCTGGCTGGTTTCGGTCGCAAGGGCAAGGCCAAGGGTGATATTCCCGGTGTCCGTTTCAAGGTCGTCAAGGTCTCTGGTGTCGGTCTGCTGGCTCTGTGGAAGGAGAAGAAGGAGAAGCCCCGCTCATAAACGGTTAGAGAAACTGGAAAAAGGGGCAGGCTTTGGGTTTCCGGCGTCACTGTGTTTCTTCGCATTGGCATCGTATCGGCTTCAGAAGTGCTGATACTACTCCGGTAGACATGATCAACAACGAATAAATTGGTCATGGACCACCAACACATTTGCACCAAGATATTTCTGGCGGAAGAGTGAAAATACTCAATGTTCTTCATTATGACAGGATTATTGGGGATGATATCGCTACATTCAATCTTACAGAGTTGTACATTTTGTACAGAGCAGCCCAGAGCTCACTCCTGCTTGATGCTCTCCTCCTTGCCTTCTTGAGCGTATCTGATGGCATAATCGACAGCCAGCCCAGCACTGATGACCCCACCTGTCAGCCAGCAACCATTGACGAACCACCACCAACAGTCCTTGACACTCTTTAGATTGACCTTCTTGATCATGTAGCCCAGCGTCAGTGCCGCTCCACCACAGCTTCCAATGAAGAATGCCGGACCGGCTCCGGAGGCGACGCCAGCTGCGGCCAGTAGACCAATTTGAGTGGCGCCGAGGCCAAGTAAGATCTGCTTCGTTTGGCCATCGTGTGCCAGAGCAATGCTCTTGATTCCAGCCTTGACATCATCCTTGATGTCCATGTGTGCATAGATAAAGTCATAAAGCACTGTCCAGGCGATGTTGGACGAGTACAGCAGTGCAGCAGCTGCCAAAGCCGCCTGGTTGGAAATAAGGTCGACACCCAATGCCGGAAATCCCATGATCGCCCCCCATGAGAATGTAAGCCCGAGTACCGCCTGAGGGTAGTACGTTACTCTCTTGGCCAAAGGATAAGATGCCACAAACAACAAGCTGGGGATCCCGTAGAAAAGGCATTCGTATGGGAATTGGACAAGAATGCCAAGTCCAGCGAGAAGTTGTGCACCCGTATACACCAAACCCTTGAAAGGGGTGATGGCGCCGCGAGCAATCGGCCGGAGTCGTGTCCGTGCAACGTGAGGATCCAGATTGCGGTCCCAGAGGTCATTGATGGTACAGCCAGCTCCGCGCATGATCAAAGCGCCTGTGAAGAATAATGCCGTGGTTCCAATCACAGCTCCCGGAGAAGCCATTGGCGTTGCCATTGGGGCAGCCATCAAAGTCGAGAAGAGGCAGGGGAAGAAAAGATAGTACGTGCCTGTCGGCTTGTCGATACGGATCAGCTCAGCATACGGGATCCATGCCTTTGGGATCACCGAAAGTATTCCAGACTTTGGTGGCTCGTAGGGCGGGAGCTCGGTCGCGGCTGCAATGGCTTTGACTGGTACAGTGGGCTTGAAAGGAGTGCTCGCCGGCGGCGATGAGAGCCGAGCTGCAGACTCATGATACCGGAGACAAGGTGTAGCTCGTAAAATACTGAGGCTTGACCCCCGAAGATTGGTCGCACATGCCGAGCCCTTCGAGAAAGTGCTTCTGGACGAGGACCAAGCCAGCTGCCTGACTGGCAGGCGTTGCAAGCCCAGCATTGGCTTCATCAGACTTCGCCTCTGTCAACTCGCAGTCACTGAGTGCTCTTAGTCTAAAGACCATATGTGAGGTAGAGCAAGAGCTAGAGAGCGATTTGTAGCCTCGTCTCCACTAGCCGCTTTTTGAGGTTGGGATATGTGAGCCACAAAGCACCTGATTGGTTGAGTAAGCTTTCCAGGCCTGATCGTCCGCAAGGTCAACCCGGAGCCTTGCACCTACCCACCAAACCAAGTTACCCCCTCGGTTGTCGCGATTCTGACGGAAACCTTCACTTTTCGCCTCTAGCAGCAGGCCTTATTTTGATTTCAGTAACCTCAGTTCTATCCCACATTTCCAGCTGAAGGGCCCATATGAATGTGTTTTTCTCGCGTTGGATGGCGTCTGAGCCATCCGTCACCTTGGATCCAAAGCTAGTCCCAGCTCCGAGCTTCATCTAGGTCGCGCGTCGCATCAGGCCGGACAAGCCAACCGTCTCAGAGCTGGTCATTGCATCACTGCTCTATCACTGAGTACCCGAATTATCACCTCTAAGAACCACCAAGATGGCGCCCTCTATGCACCCCCAGGCCAAGTTCGACCCTATACCTCCGAACCTCGACCTCCATAACCTAGTCGACCGAACTCCAAATTTCGAATGGGCTATGCGGATTTCGGCCAAAGAACTTATGCGCTTCGATGCCCAGAGATTCGAGAAGCTAGTATATTTACATGTCATTGCTGGCGGAAAGCCGTTAGTCATCACGGACTGGAACCTCAAGCTCCCCAAGTCTATTTTCAGTGCAGCTTTCCTACAGAATACATATGATAAGAAGGGTGCGCTGATTGACCCTCATTGCCAGACGGCGCGCTAATACTAAGTACAGAGGAAAACGTTCGCGACATCAATGCGCAGTCCGACATACCCATGACCACTGGTCACTACCTCAGATCCATGAAACAGCTGACGGACCAGTGGACACCCAGCAACTTTCGTGACGAGCGAAGACAGCGACTCTACCTCAAGGATATCGATTGCCCGCCTGAGTGGCACGACTATCTTCGCAAAGTCATTCCTCCAGTACTCTTTTACATGAACGAGAATGTTGATGACAAGGGTGTCCCTCGCAACGAGGCTCGCGACGAGGGGATGTTCGTTGATGAGCAAGCAAATGCGCCGGCTGCCCCGGCAGGTGACTTGATGAGCAGCTTGCCCGAAGATATGCGCGCTCAGAATCTTATGTGCTATATCGGCCATGAAGGTACTTACACTCCCGCTCATCGTGAGATGTGCGCCTCTCTGGGACAGAATATCATGGTGGATGCTTCCGGAGACGAGAAAGGAGAGAAGCCGGGAAGCTCAATCTGGTTCATGACCGAGACAAAAGACAGAGAAGTTGTGAGGGAGTATTTTCTCTCAATGCTCGGACATGATATTGAGATTGAGAAGCACTTTGCCCAAGTCAATGCCTGGAAGAAGGCAACATTCCCGGTCTACATCGTGGAGCAGAAGGTTGGAGATTTTATTCTCGTACCTCCTCTAGCTCCCCATCAGGTCTGGAATCGTGGCACGAGAACGATGAAAGTCGCATGGAATCGGACTACCGTGGAGACACTCGAGCTAGCCCTCCATGAAGCGCTTCCTAAAGCGAGGCTCGTATGCCGTGACGAGCAATATAAGAACAAGGCAATCATCTACTTCACTCTGCGCAAGTACTATGCACAACTCAATGAGATGGAAGAAGCGGAAATGTCTTGGCTTAACTTTGGCCAGGATCTGATCCGAAGCTCCACTTCGTCTCGGAAGGACCAGATGGCGAAAGACTTCAAGAAACTTCTTAGCCTTTTCACCGAGATACTAGTCGATGAAATGTTCGGCCAGAAGGAGAAAGATGTCGAGATGATTCCCTTCGATTCGTTCGTGACCTGCTCATACTGTCGCGCCAATATCTTCAACAGGTTTCTCACATGCAAGCATTGCGTACGACAGCTTGTAAATGGCGATGAGGATACCTACGACGTCTGCATGGAGTGTTATGCGATGGGCCGGTCTTGTCTCTGCATCTCCAAACTATCTTGGTGTGAGCAATGGGACTGGTCAGAGCTGGTGAACAACTACGCGGCGTGGTGCGAGATGGTGATCAGGAATGACCAAGTCTTTGATGTTGAGACGTCACCACTTCCGCTCGAAGTCGCCAGGAGGAAAGCAGGCAAGAAATCTTTGGCACAGATTTGCCAGGAACAGCTACGTAGAAGACCCTTCAGGGATATCTCGAAGCCGGAGGAGCCATCTGACTTAGAGCCATCTGATCCTGAGCTCGATGACAACAATCGCCCTAAGAAGAAATCGAGACGAAAGAAGAAGAAGGGCGATGTTTACAGATGCCATGTGTGCAGTCACAAAGACTACACTCATCGCTTGGCGTTTTGCTCGAATCAAGGTTGTCGTGAGGCATACTGCTTCGGTACGCTGTACCGAGGGTTTGACCTAATGCCACAGGACGTTCTGCAAGACGAAAAATGGCAATGTCCCAAATGCAGGAAGATATGCAATTGCGGTGGTTGCCGTCGGCTGGGTAATACTACGCCATATCAACCTAAAAACACATTTATTGGCCACGATACGCGATCCGTTGCTGATGATCGGAGCGTGGAATCGTTGGTCGACTTCCGCCTGCACAACCTGAACTGGCTTAAGGCTGCTGGTGACGAACCCCGGAACCATAATAGCAAGCGCATGGAGCGGCTTCGACAGCAGGCTGATGCAGAAAAGGCGAAAGATGGTGCTTCACGCGATGCTGTTGGCCCTGCACTGGCTGATGGTGTGGCTGCGACCATGGATCACACAATGCCAGAGTCCATGCCGGAGGGCTTTGATGATCTCCAGAACGCCGTCAGGGCCGAGAATGTGCCCGCTGATTATAGCATAGGCGATCCTAGCGCTCACCAGCAAAACGAAAACGGCGGCCCAGCTGAGGTAGCCGATATGATGACAGCTATAAGCCAAGATCCATCAAGCTACCCTGATCCCTCGATGTATCCTGACCCATTGATGATGGGCGGAGAACGAAGATTGGGGATGGGCTACTACGAACATGACGACACTCCGGACAAGATTTTGTTTGACCCTTATCAGATGCCCTCTGCCGATGTCATTGCACTTGATGATGAGCCCTCTGAGTTTGTTAAGAAGACGCTTCGGGCTGCCAAAAGACGTGCGCGTCTAGATGATGACAATGATCCGGATTTCCTAGCCCCCAAATCCCATAAGAAACGGCCAAGGCTTGAGAAAGATATGCTTGTGGATCCTGCCATGACACTGGATCCAGCGTTCTTGACACAGGACAACACGATGACAGAAGCTCAAGCGAATGGATCCACTGAACCGGAGCCAGAACCTGCAAACGTGGAGGAGGATGAACCTGAAGAGGAGGATCGAGAAGACTCTGCAGACCAATACAAACCCTACGAGCCTAATGTTCCTGCCCTTCGACACTCAAAACCAAAGGTTTCTTATGCGGATTTCGAGCATGATGTTGAAGAGTTCAACGATGTTGTACCTGTCAAGAATACGGCTGACACAGGGGACAATGATGCACCGTCTCAAGTTACAGATCCTCTTGATGCCGCTGCGAATGCTATACGGGCATTGACGGGGACGGATACACCACAGGAAACTACCCCGGCTCCGACTCGGGTCGCAGCATCTTCTAGCACGGGACGCAGACGTGGCCGTTCTGCTGGCGCTCGAGGTGCTCGAGGTGGACGAGGTGGACGTGTTTCAACTCACACCGCACCGGAGACTTCTGTTACGTCACAGCCAGCATCGCAAAAGCGGCGTGGGAGACCACCAAGAAAGTCATTCGTCACCACTATAGCTACAGGCAAGCCAGCTATGGCATCCACTGATGACGAAGAGTCACCCATCGATATCGATATCGACGAATTGGAGGCTCAACTCGCGCGCGAGATAGCCGAGGCAGACGAGGAAGAAGCCGCCGGAGGGTCAGCTCGTGCGCCCGTTGCGGTTCCACTTACAAGTGAGGATTCTGCACCCAAAAAGAGGCGAGGTCGTCCACCTAAGGCCAAGCCTGCTGAGACGCCAACCTCTGTGTCAAGGTCGGCTAGAGCAACTAGGTCTTCTGCAGCACCGACCCCTCCCATTATTCCTACTGTGAACACTCCATTCTTGTCGATGGCAGAGCGTATGAAGCTCAAGGGGAAGTCATTCAAGATTGGACAGCGAAGGAGTGGCCGGGGCGTTTCGAATAGCCATGACAGCAGTCTGCAGGCAACTCCAACAACAGCCGGGCCAAGTCATGAGAAGCAAGCTACTGAGTCACCCAACAGATTGAGTGCAGCACGGGAGCAGCAGTCTGATTCGCATGCTGAGCCTGAGGAGCCCGTCGAGCCCGTCAAGAAGCCTTTTGCGGAGCCGGCTGAGGAGCCCGCCCAGGCAACTCCAAGCAGCGAGGAGACTCCTTATCAGGATGACCTACCAGCTCAGAGAGAAGATTCGCCATATGCGTCTAGCCACCACTCAGAAGCACCGGAATCCGTCAAAGAGGTACCGCCGAGTCCCAGCCCGCCTGCTCCCAGCCCACCAAGACGTACTGGGCCGACAATCGTCAGGCTTGGAAGTTCTTCAGACGAGGAATCGGAACCTGACTATAACGACGCGGAGTCTTCTTCCGACTCGGATTCTGACTCTGATGGTGACGATGAGGGCATCCCTGCCAGGAACCCAGCGTATGCTACCAGAGGCCGGCCAGTTGCTTCCAGAGGACGAGGTAGAGGCGGCCGCATGGCTCATCGTGGACGTGGTGGTCGTGGTGGTCGTGCTGGATGAAGCAAACAACCGCTTCTGGCCATAGCATTTATCCTCTTGGTAAACCATCGCGCTCAATCATGCGCGTTCGATCAATTGCGTTGGTTTTCAGTACCTTTACTTAGCAGCACCTGTCATTGCTACAGACATACCCAGCTTTCAAAGAGCTAATTATACCCAGGCGTTGATGTGCACATTAGATACCACAATTAAAAGAGAAAATTGACTCTATTGTCGGTGGCGTCTTCTGGCCACCTCCAGTGACTAATCACATATGCATACAAAGTTCTCATACGTTCATACATAGCTCCAGCGTCCTCCAACTCGCAACGAGTGCCAATCTGGGGAGAGCCAGGTTAAGTAGTCCAGCCTCAACTCCGTCCAAAGGAAAAATCAGCCATGGAGATGCGGTAAATAAATGAGATTTGAGCTCTGGTCTTTGGTCTTTAATCATTACAGTCCGTCCCGCATGCTGGTGCCGGCCTTGGACTTCTCCTCGGCGGCCTGCTTCGTCCGCTCCTGCAGGCGCTTCATGGCCTCCGCGTCGCTGGGCTCGCCGTGCGATCGGTCCGCCTTGACGGACTCCTCGCTGTCCGAGGCCAGCTCCGGCTTCCAGTGGGCCTTGCCCTGCTTCTGCTTGGCGAGGGAGTCCTCCTTGTGCTTCTCGTAGTCGGGGTCATCTGTTGAAGGGACATGACATGTTAGCTGGTGGTCGGGTCTTCCCAGGGTAATGATAGCCGGCGATGGTAATTGAGGCAACGATGAAAAGATGCTTCAATGAAGAGACTGAGGGCTGGTAGAGGAGTTAAATTGACTTACGGGAAGAGCTCTCCTTGATGCCGATGTGCCTAGTTCCGGCAAAGCTTCTGACCATGTTGGGGCTGACGGCAACGATGCTAGGTCGCACCGCAGCGGCGGCTGAGGATCGGAAGAGCATGCGAGCAGACATGATCGAGATGGAGAGAAAGGAAGACAGATACGAGAAGATATGGGTTGGGTCGTGGTTCGAAGTTGTATGGAGGGGTATGTCAATTGGGTTGTTGGAAGAAGTTGTGTGTTCCGGGGGAAAAGGACCAATTGAGGCAATTTGTTTTTTTATGGCCCAGGAATAAGCCGAGGATATCGTGATAGGAGGGGTGTGTGCCAGGCTGTCACATCAAGGGGGAAAAGGAATTGAGAGGGACTGTGTGTAAGGTGCATATGTCTGGGAGAGCATGTATCTTGCTTGAAGGGAGCTTCTTGCCGGATCGGGTCGGTGCGGTGACGTCACTATTGAATCGTTGCTAACACATGTGGATTTCTGATGCAAGCGCCCGCCTAACAACCTCCACTGTCATGTAACAGACATGCCCTTCCCGTCATTGGAGCCGATCCAGACCGTTCCCACATTTTCCTCGCCCGTCCTGTGCGTCCTCCTTCGCCTGGGGAATAAATGTCAATCTTCAGGTGAAGATATCAAATGATGAGAATGGATAGGATGGCAAAGCTAATTCAGTCCTCATTCTTTACCATCTTTGAGACGGAAAATTGGAATGGAAGCACTTCCTGTGTTTCCATACGGTGATTTCATCATCGCAGAGACTGGCTTTCATTTCTCAATGGCTCTGTTCAAACAGGTATTAGTACCCATCATGATATGTTTAGAGAAGGACTATATCATCCATGCGACATAGCCGTGTAGACTAATTAATTACAACCTCCCGTGACAACATCTTGGGACTTGTTTCCCTTTTCAACGGACCCTCTTCAAAGTATTTCTCCCCACTGGTAAGCACTGTCAGCAGCATTAGCATCTGCATACGTTGATCCATCTTCATAATGTTCCATGCCTGTTCGGCAAACACCAAAGTCTTGAGAACGAGCAAATCTACACCACTCGTGCGGACCATGCAAATGGTAGTCGCACACTTCTCCCAGGAACTCTCCCAGGTCGGGCACCCTCACCATGTGGCATTGATGGTTGCGCTCTTTCCAGGAACAGAGCTCCTTCATGATAGCCAGACTGACTGCTTGATTGCCAGCCCTCAAAATGGTTTCCCATGCGTTCAGTTCCTCCATCTTATTGGTGCCAACAAAGGAGTTCCAAGCGATCCATCTAGCAATCAGTGTGCGAATAGGAGCAGACTCTTGAGTGTGTTCGAAGACGTGATTCACCTCTTCCACATACAGGTACTCGGTCCACAAACGGGTTTGGCTCAGCGCATGAAGCTTCGTGATTGCGGCATCTTGCAGGGCCCGGTCATTGTACTTGTCCGCGAATATCCAGGTGAATGCCACTGCCGATGGGGCAGAGTCGGAGAAGATGGACTCCGGCTCAACAGATTTCAGGGTAAGAGCGTAGATCCATTGAACAAACAGGCCAAATGCGTTGGGGTCGTCGTCGGGAAGATTGATCACGGCGTCCTTCTCCATAAAAGGACCGCGGAGGGCTTTCTTGAAGAAGTCATTGTGTTTGCAGAGTAGGTTCTCGGGGAGAGTCCATTTGACCTTGTCTTGGCCGACGAAAATGACCACCGTTCGACCTGAGAGGACCCTGTGCGAAAGTTAGAATTTGTTCTGGAACAATATCACTGGCGTTTTGGTCGAGTGATGGCGGTTCTCAGGTTGGCTGCTATGTGTGAGCAGGAATGTGACGTACTCATTCAGGGGCATAGCATCGCCAGACTCAACCATCTTGCCGTCACTTGATTTGACATGCAAGCGCCGTTGGTGGTTTAAGAAATTCGGGTTTCGAGTGATTAAATTCTGACTCAAAACATGGCCGTGTCTGCACGAATTTAGGTTGGATTTGAGAGACCGCCAGAATGTATTGGCGAAAGGAAAACCTCATACGCTGGCTGGTGTGTCATTTAGGGTTTCTGCCTATTATTTCTCAACTTTATCATGACATTTCTTCATTTTTCATGGTGGAAATGGCAAGAAAAACGAGGAAAGGCGGGAGTAAAAACTTGGTCAAAGGTAGGTTGAGTGTTTTGATATTTGATTTTACAGCCCATCTCACCGTGTTCCTCAGAGCAAATCCACGTTTGCAAGCACTACATTAAATCTAGAGCATCGCGACGGGGTGTTTTCTGATATAAAAGAATGGCGTTGTCACTGCCCTTCCGCTTGCGCTCAATACTATTCTCCCTGAGCTGAATGATTTCTGATAGATTGATTGACGATCACGGAAGCTCGCGATTTTGTGAAGCCTAGCTATGATCTAGCTATGTATGTGCTCTATTCTCAGCAACTCAATTTGGTCGATATAAATTTTAAGTAAAATTGGTGCCATTAAGAGCATTTGTTTCTCGCGCCCATCCACTTAGATCCCCTTCAAGGTGTATAACGCCAAAGGTATGCTGAGAAAGTCGCCAGGCAACGTAGGCCGCAAGTCCAGGAATCTCAAGTATCTTGAATCCCGCCTGAAAACTCAGCGGGCTCTCAAAACTTTCCTTTTTCTCTAAGCGAGGAAGTTCAAGTAGACTCAATGAGAAAATCGTCTACACACCCAACAAAGTCCAAGAAAGTAGGGGGTTTCTTGATGAGCCCAGGTTTCTTCTGATAGTCTGCGATCCAACGAAACACTTCCTTGAGTAAGATTGAGTTCAACTCTGCGTTTCCATGCTCCACGATCTTCTCGCACCATTCCGGCATGTTTGCACCGGAAGATGCGCCACAAAAGTGCCGGTAAACGAACGATCTGGCCAGCAATAGGCGCATCTTGGAGGACTTTAGAGTCTTTGCGAAGACATCGACAATGGAATAATACTCTGAGCGACTCTTCAAACAATCTGCTTTAAGATCACGCCATACCACGCCGATGCTTGCATCTTGGAAGATCACATTCAGGTACTTGTAGGCAAGAAGATATACGTCGATGACCTGGCTAGTTGGAAGCTCTCGAAGCTGTGCCTCTGGCTGATTTCCCATGTGAACACTGTATACGGAGCGAATGAAGTGCTCGAAAGCCACGGGGTCGTCTTCTGGTAGCTCAATGTGTCCGCTACTCTCCTTGAACTGACCACGCAGTGCTTGTTTGAAGAAATCACTGCAGCTGCAAAGGACATTCTCCGGCAGTGCCCATTTGATCTTGTCTGGGCCAACAAGCACGGTAATGGTTCGGCTTGAGAGTAACCTTCTGAGGGTTAGTAGTGAACATCACGGCGACAGGGCAAATGGTTAACAGCATTTTTTGTCTCGATACAGAGACAGAACGGCTGATCATTTTAGGTAGCTCATAAGAAAGAAGTAAGTACGACTTACTCGTTCAGTGGAAGATCATCGCCGGATTCCGCCATTATGTCCTGGTGAAAGAGGAAGGCGGAAACGAAGTTGTTGCGGAAGCTTAAGGCAACCGAGGAAACAAGCCTTGCGAGTAAAAAGTCGAGGAAGAGAAATGATAATATTCCGGCTAGGACGACGAAGTGGAAAGGCGAGGTTGTTCCTATGGCAAGCACGAGGGTGTTGTAGTTACTTGCTGGGGAGATCAAAACGAAGCTGTATCCGAGTTAGCCTGAAGGTTGATCAACGTTTTCCGACAGAAATCGAGATTTTTCGTTCGAAGGGGGAATAAAGTCTATGTTTAAATACCTAGGCAGCTGCCTACAACGCGCTTAATACCATAAACATCGAATCTATAAGTTATCTGGGGACTGCGATCAAATTTTGATTCGTACCACGAAGTTGCAGTACCAGGGAAAGATGTCTTAAATGAGCGTAAGTAGAGTTCTGGAAGCCGCTGGTTGTGACTGCCTCGTTTAACTGAAGCTGGGCATTGTAATGTGACTTAAGTGGAATCTTTGAGATAGCCCTCGACGTGTCGTAGCGAATGTAGACGACAGAATCTCTGAAAGACGTTTTACATGAACGGTATTGTTTCTAAAGTGCTAGTCTCAGCAAAATGAATGTATTGTGGTCTTCTACAACAAAAGCAAGAAGTATCTTTAGTTCCCAGCGACAACAATTATGGAGCTATCGCATATATCCTTCACAAAACGACTGGCAGGACTTCTGACCTTGGGCAATGTCTCGTCTCAGGCAACAAATTATTATCTCCCCTGACATCGTGCGCCTTCTGAAGCTATTCAAGACTAATCGCAGTCTAAAATCCTGCAGAACTAGATTGTTCCGCCAGCCTGCACTCGGCGGCGCCATGCCAACTGGCGTCCCCGAACAGGAGTGCCTGGAGGACTTGGAGAACTTGAAGCGCTTGGGGAGTCGGACGGGCACGACTCACCAGGCATGTGCGTGTGAAATTCACACTTACCAGAGGGTTCCGGAGGCGATAGACCTCTGGGCATGATAGAACGGCTACAAATCATCGAGACAATGTCCCTGCCAAATTCCGATCTGTGCCTGAGACTGTAACGCCATCCCAAAGACTCATCTTCCTTGTATGAGAGCATCTTGACCACGGCGAACATTGTGAGAAGCTTGCGCAGTTTGCATCCCTCTGGGGTTCGCTCGTAAACGAAGTGAGCATCTTGCGGGTCTACATCGCTTGACTTGAGAGCGTAGTAGTCGTAGATCAAGTCGATTGCCTCTCGCTTGAGGCACTCGACAAGGTATTTTGCAGCAAATACATACAATCCAAGGTAATCTCGGATTGTGACTTTCTGGCCGTCAGGGGGATTCAAGACTTGCTGTAGAGGTGTGGTCAGGTCTTTTTTGCTCTTGGCATTGATGTAGGCGACGAATAGCTCAAACACACGAGGATCGTCTTCTGGAAGGCGAAGAATACTATCCCGACTTTCCTGGAAAGAAGACCGAAACGCAGCTCTGAAGAAGTCGGATATGTGGATTAACGCACCTTCGTGGAGTTCCCATTTCCTGCCGCTATCTGCTGGACCGACGAAAATCGTGACTTGGCGTTCGTCACGGAGAGGCATGTTTCTACCCGATTCCTGTTCAGGGAGAAAGAAATGGTGCGAGAACAAGGAATCTACTCAACGAACCTGGAGGTTCAACATGACTCACAGAGAGTGTTTCATTGCTCGACCGGCAAGGTCTGATTCTGATGGTATCAAGTTTCGGGTATCACCAAGACTGTCCAGGCAGGTAGGCTTGTGTTGGAGGACTGTCCGAACTCAAGGGTCGTACCCAGTATTGCTAGACAGCTCTGCTAGTGGAATGAGGTGATGTCAGTCATCGTTGGTTCATGTATGAGATTGCGGAGATGAAGATGGGCTAAACTTCTAGGTGATGGCGTTAATCCATACCCTGCAATGCGTTATATACTCGAGACGTTAAGTAATTCCTCTTTGTCTTATTGATGCCTAGAGTGCTAAGGACTAACGACGTCTATCCTCTTCCAGCAACTCAAACTGACATGTCCGACTTTCATATTTGAATCATAACCTCTTTCACTGAACCTGCTACTTAAATTACCCTTCCGTCTAGCTTTGCATATGCTAGGTGAAGCTTGTGCTAGTCCATGTGCACTTCTCAGTGGACTCGTGTCTGTGGAAGCTGCATTTATTCTCAACTTTCACATTTCCTATCGGGATCCCAGTGGCACCAAATTTCCAGACCGCCATCATAATGTGTTGTGCGAGATCCGGGTTTTTTAGCATTGCCTCTTCCCATAGCGGCAGGCTGCGAGTGTTCCCCACAACGAGTCTATAAACAACTTGAGCAGAAAGGAGACGAGACATCCCACTTTGGCTTGTAGAATGCTGAAGGACATACTCGACGTCTTCCGGGTTGATCTGATTGCCGAAATTTGAGTGATGATCATGGACCTTGTTGAGCACTGCATTCTCGAGATCCTCGATGAGGTACTTGTGAGCAAGAATGTAGAGCTTCAAGTAATCCCTGATGGTGATTTGTTTACCATCCGGGGCTGAGATCGTCGGCATGTGATTGATATTCAGCCTGTTGAAGGTCCCGTAGGCATAATTGACCAACAGTTCAAATGCGCTCTCATCATCTTCGGGAAGATGGAGCTTTCCTTCTTGTCCCTCCTTGAATACGGGTCGAAGTGCGGCCTTGAAAAAGTCTGATAGCTGTGCGAGGACGTTCTCGTGCACAATCCATTTCTTCTGGGAAGTGCCGACGAAGACAGTAACTGTGCGGCCTGATAGACTAATTCATAGCAACAGGTTAGTGGGTATCTGATAGGAGACTGAGGGACGACGTACTGATCGACTTTACCAGGCGCTGCTTCAACAGCCTCCGGTCCTGTGCCCTTTTTCACCCGCTTGCGGTCTAGTGAGGCCATGGTGAGAGGGTCGCAAGGAGATGTATGGCTGCTATGACCGTGAGGAGAGAAGTTAAGGAGGTATCAAGAAATAAGTCAGACGGTTTAGATTATCAAAAACATGTTTTTGCGCAGGAATTGGAGGTGCGGAATTCCTTAAGTGGTAGGAAGAGAGGAGGAAGGAGAACCTCACTTATTCGGCAACGGTGAAAAATAATAGGGGTCGGGTATTTGGGCGTAGAGGACAAGGTATTGTCCCGTGATGACTTTGCAATCTTTGCAACGCCTCGCAGCAGAAACTTAAATCAAACACCCAGTGCCCATTGTGTACTCATATCTGACACTGTCTACTGGCGTTGTTCATTATGTATCAGACCGACCAAAAACATCCCTGCAAGAGCTCTGAGACCTCCACACGAGCGCGACCGACATGAGATTAGTGAGCAATTTCCATCCACCCTTTGCGACCCTTCGCGACCGTTCACGGCCCTTCCTTTATCTATTACAAGTTTGCCCGGAGACATGCTTGTGGAATTGACATTTTGTGATACTATGGCCTCCATCTGTTCTCACCCCCCAACCCCATACTGTGGTGACAATATCGCGGCCGATCGCCGAATTATCGTTGAGGATCAAGTGTAAGCCCTCTGGCATTCTCCGCGAGCCTTTGAACATCACGCGAGCGAGGCAGCAGATAAGAAGATCCCGCATTGCCGAACCATCAGTCGAGCGGTGGTAGAGATACTCGACATCGTATGGGTGAGGGAAGTGTTCGGGGTTTTCGTAGTAGTCAAAGAGAGCGTCGACCACATCATTTTGCAAGTCGTCTACGAGGAACTTGCAAGCTAGGACATAAAGACCTAGGTAATCGCGTGCGGTGACTTTGACGCCATCAGGCAGTGGGAGCGGTTTCACCATGTTCATCGCCTTGCCCACAGATCGCGAGTAGGCGTAACTAACGAACAACTCGAACGCGGATGGATCATCCTCTGGTAGTCGTAAGACGCCGCGCCTGGTCTCGCGGAATCCAGAACGGAAAGTGGCTCGAAAGAAGGATGAGAGTTGGACCAGCAGATCCTCGTGAAGCATCCATTTCTGCTCGTTGGCGCCAACATAGATCGTCACAATGCGGCCGGAGAGTATAGGGCTGCTGTTGAGGATGAGTATGATATTCAATAGGAAGGAAGTAATGGGAATCCATACGTAGGGGTTCCAGCATTGTTACTCGGTACATCTGACGGCTCAGCGCGGACATCGGTGTCCCCGCCTTCAAAGCCTGAATTCCATCTCCTTTCCCCCGGGCGAGGGCATTTGATGTAGGGTTCGACGTCTTCGTCGCTCGATTCATACATTGTGATAGATTGGTCAGATAGCTTGTGGATGTTGCAAGATGCCCAGAGGAGAGCAAGTGCAGGATAGAAGTGAGTAGGCAGAGCGCAAGCTCCTGCGAGCTCCTGCTTGCTCCTGCTTCACATCCGGTAAGAATTGATGGAATATGGGACGAGAGAAGTTCTGCAGTTGTTCGTGAGCTGTGAATCACCAATCCAGCTGCAATGAACTTTTAGAGTCTACCTAAGGCAGGGAGACAAGGCATTCGTGGGCAAAACCTTAGAGACTTGCTAGTTGCCTAAGGTATTGAGGGAAACTTGATTCACATCCCCCATCTGAACTCCATTCGCCAGCTAGGCAAATGTCCCTTCCCTTGTTCGCTCAAATCTTGCAAATATCTGTCCTATCATGCCTATGGAACGCACAACCCCCCGTGACGGCCCTCAGCGGACAGTTTCCTCCACTGATCCAGTTCCAGCTGCTAATCTCACTAATGATATCAAACCCTAGGTCTTGCGTCTCGTTCATCACCTCCTTCCACTCCGGTGTGAGCGGATTGTTGTGCTTACCCCTGAACAAGCCCAACGTGATCCTCTCCTTCAGCAACCGCCTCATACCCGCGCCGGGCGGCGTATTGTCGTACACGTACTGCACGTCACGGATATCCGGCCGCCGCGTACCCACTTTGTAATACCCCTGCGCGATATCCACCACCGTGTTCTCGAGCTCCTCGACCAGCAGCTTACTCGCGAGCACGTACAGCCTTAGGTAGTCCTGGATGGTGGTACGACACCTGTCCGGCGGGAGGAGGATCGTCAGGGACGCGGAGGCTGAGGGGGAGGCACTTGAGGCGGCTGTGCCGGACCCCGATGACGATGATGCGGCTGCCCCTGAGCCGGTGCTGTTGTTCAGCCCGCCCGCCGCGGGGCTCAGCGCCTTGCCGTACAGCCAACGGACGAACAGCTCGAACGCAGCGGGATCATCTTCCGGCAGGGCGAGCGTGTCGTCAGTCGACTCCTTGAAGCCGCCGTTGAACGCGGAGCGGAAGAAGTCCGACGTGGCAGACAGCAGGTTCTCATGCAGCGACCACTTGATGCGGGCGGGCCCGACGAAGATGGTCACCACCCTTTCCGAAAAGAGCCTGTAAACAACCACTCGATGAGCATCCCATCCCTGAGAACAGAAAACAAGAAGATTCACCTGGTCATAACAGGCTCATCTGCGCCCTCCATAGTGGAAGGCGTCTTGCCCGCCGACTTCCTCTTGTGAGCTGGTTTCTCGGATATTGAGCGCGCCATATCGCTGCTTGGAGAATCTGATAGGCCTATTACTCAGTTCAGCTCATTGCTCTTCACTTAGAATGAACTCAATCTTACTTGTAGACACCTGGTGTACTGGGTCCTCCTCCTCAGATGGGCTTCGATCCCTCTTCACCATGGCGTTTGCCAGAAGCTTGGTCACATATGAGTCTTTTATGTGGTGTTGTGTGGTCCGAGGCTCAACTTACAATAATCGGTGGCGGGGTGGTACCTAGTAGGCAACAAACTCTGGGGCCTAGGGGATGGATTTAACATCGATTCACAATAGAACGACCATCATTGAATATGAACATGTCACGAATATCGGAAGGATCATGAATTTGTAGAGAAAGAGGCGATGTTGTTCGCCGTCTTGATTGCTTTAAATAACGGTACTCGTATCTTCGCATACACATCGCCATTTCGGAGCAATGAGCTCCATCAAAACGCTCCCAATAGCTCCAGCCGACCAAGATGCATCGCTTGCCCTCTTTTATCACAGAGTTTCCTTCACACCGACCTCAACATGCAACCCGTTTAGAAACCCTGCGGTTGTACTCAAGAGGATAAACAATCCATAAAAAGCGGCAGATTATGGGCGTTTTGCTGCCAATGGTACATCGAAAAAGAAGAGATATCCACAACCCATTGATGAAAGACCAACTCCCCGACCCGAAAGCCTAGTTTCCAGCTTTGTATAAGATTCGCAGCAACAGGTAAACCGCATAAATGTTCCGTGCCAACCGCCCGCCGCCCCAGTGATATTTCCCATGATAGCAAAAAGCATCAGAACACCTGATGAGTAAAAAAGAGGACCCCGCTTTGATACTTGCCCGCAAACCTCATCAGAAGACTCGTTCTATATGTCGAATAATCTTTTTCTTGGATGAAATCGTGGACCCATGATGAACCGTTTTTATCATGCGAAGTCGCCGCTTCTTGTAGAAAATGAGAGGAACCAAAAACAAAACTCCGCTGTGAGGCACCGATGCATGGATTATTTGGTTGCGAGAATGCAAAATCACCGTGTGAACGCCCGTTCGTGATCAAACAGCCTCCATCTTGACAGGTCGGAACACCGTTTCCGATTTTGGTATTTTTAAAAACACCGCGATTGTGTGAAGAACAAAAAGGACCAGGTATCGATAGTATCTTCATGTCGCGCCGTGGAAAATGTCAAATTTCCGCTTTGAACAAGGAGCTTATGTCGAAATAAGGATGTTTGTACAGGGTATGGTTGAGATTGAGCCAGAAGTCGAAGCCGAGTATCCAGTCGACCATGAAAGTGTGCCCTGCCTGCTGGGTGGTGAAAAAATCGATGCCTGTACCCTTCCGAATCGGTGCCCGTGCCTGTCAAGACGAACAGCTGATGATAGAAGAACGTCATGGTGATTGAACATTCTCATCTGCAACGGCAACGACGGCCTAGCAGAACCGCTCATATTCTGTCAAGAAGCTGAGCGTATCCGCTTACCATCGTCGGCCCATGTTCAATCGGGCACCGGGCGACACGGACGGAGGCGGGCTGGACATGGAGATGCCGGTAGCAGGGTTGATGATGGGAATGGCATTTCGGGCACGGGTAGCAGCAGGCTGGTGCAGCTTCAGGGTCGACTGTTGGCTCTGAAATGCGGGAGGAATGAAAGCGGGTGACGTGGAGTTGAGAGAGAAAGAGGGTGCAACCTGTTGGGGCTGCTGTGTGGGAGATGACTCCGGGGAGTTGCTTGCCAATGACGAGCGCTCAGACGAGCCACTGTGAATGGAGACAAGCTGGTAATAGAAAATCCAGGTCAGTGGAATGTTGCATTGACATCAGGACTGGTGTAGCCTCTAGGATGTGTAGCCGCACAGGCCACCGGCATGTTTGGCGTGTCAAAGAGAAGTACTCACATCACTCTCCGTCAACAGACCAGGACAGAACTCCATGTCGTCTTCGAGGTCGAAAGACCGGCCGGCCTCGAATCGCATGCGAAAGCTGGACAACGAGGGGGTCTCGGTGAGCTCCTTCATGCTCCGAACACCCCTGAACTGCTTGTGGGAGTTCTGCGAGACGGATAACCTCGGCGCCCGTCGATTGCGACCGCCATGGTGGCTATGGGAGATGGCGGACACTGCCGCGGACGTATGTTGCTGGTGAGCGTTATAGTGATAGTATGAAGACATTATATTCTGATGAGCAAAGACGCTGTAAAAGTAGACGTCGTGGTGGTGGTTGTAGTGTGTGGTGTGGTGGGAGGTAGCGAAGCTTTTGCGGTATTAAACCAGCATTTACAACAACAATGAAATCTGCGTCGAAGCCGGGTTCTTTAGAAAGAGAAGTGGGTGGTTTATACGAGGAAGTATAAATAAAACCGTTTTGTCTTTTTGAAGGGTTTTTGAAGGTTGAGAAATGTATGTCGTTTTGTTTTCGTCGAAAGGAGATGGATAGATGGTGAGGTATGGTGGTTAAGCTCTTTGCGGTGTGTGGTTGGAATGGCGGAGGGTGAGATGCGGTTGAAGTAAGTACGCAGGTGTTAGGTGGTAAAGTGAAGAGGCGGAGGAAGGAGGGACAGGAGTGCGCTTCGGAGAAGGCGACGCTTTTTGCTGGACCAGGCCTCTGCAGAGAGGGAAGGCTCGGATTGGGCGGAACAGAGGGGGCGGGCCACACCTACCTACAGACTACTGTACAGTACACTGGGGCCGCACTGGGCTGGGCTGGGGGGGGGAGAAAGAGCAAGAGAGCGAAAAGGTGGTGGGTGGGAAGGGTCCTGGGGGGTGGTGGGATGCGCCGGGCCTCGCTGGGAGCAGAGAGAGGAAAGGGAAAGAGCGACGGGACGGCACACACACGCACACAAACACTGATCAAGCCAAGCCAAGCACACAGGACGGTAGGCGATGCATCCAGCACCGGGGCCAGCAGCTGCACAATGAGAAGGGGGGCAAGGGGAAACAGGGGCAGCCAACTGCCTGCAGGGCACCACCGCAGAGGGTGAGAGCAAGACAAGATACAGTGAGCGCGGCACTGGGTAAAACTGGTGAGGATGGGGCCATTGCAGGTCACTCGGTCATTAAAGTGGACGTAATTCCCTCTATCAGCCAATGGAACGACGTCTGTCCCGAAAGAGACCGCCTCCGGCACACAGTCCAGTGCTCATCAGACACGGTATGAGCTCCACATTCTCGATGCCTCGCCACCCTGTTTTGATTCGTGGGGCGATCTCAGGCTAGTCCATATGGAGGCAAGCGGTATTTTGTAAATTTGGCCATGGCGTCTGCTTGCGGATCCGTCCATTTCGCAGACAGTGTCGAAAACGGACCAGCCAAACTAAGGTACCTCCTAATTCCAATAATGCGTTATCCGGGCAGGTGCCCAAGAACAACCAGGTGAGCAAGTGACCCCATCCAAACTCTTTGTGGCCAAGGTCCACGTTAGCAGAATTGCCTGCGCTCATCGCCAGCACCCGATCACGAGAGACATCCGACAAGGCACACACCACTCGCCCACAGCTCACCATCCGTTCTTCTCCATGGCTCCCGAAGGAGCCCGACTGCTGCCAGTACATACGGGGACGAACAGGATGCCATTCTCGAAGCCGATATCGAAGTCTTACCATCCACATCCAGGTCCTTACCTGGCTCTCCGCTATTCCCCTTGGTAACACCACGAGGCAGACCACCCGCCAAAAAGATCGTGTCCGGCGTGACCATTGGCTTCTCACCTTTTGTATCTTTGGCGAATTTACAATTACACAGTACTTGCTTTATTTGTCGACTGGGACCGGGCGTCTGCGAGTGAGTCGTCTCTTGTCTCTGACAGAGCGCTGTTGGTCATCATCTGAGGGGGAAATAGGGCAATACGACAAGCGAGGCACGGCTCTTGTTTCGACCCAGAGCTTGGTCTCAGTTTGTGTCTGACAACTTCTCATACCTCCCAGGCAAAACCCCTCTGTTTACATTCGAGCGCATGGCCGCAGGAACCAACTATTGCCTCCGGCCAATGCACCCCTCAATTCGATGAAACTCCCCTGATGGACCGGTCCTCTAAACCATCAAGTCGAATCCCTATTGTCTCCCTTAGCCATTGCCCCTTCGTTCTTCACCTAGGCGATGCAGGATTCCAACTACTGAGAGCACACAGTACAGACTGTTCGACCTGCAGACATCCTGGGTCTCATTTCAAGCTCTGGCCGGTCCTGTTTCTGGAGATGCATAATTAAGTGTGAGGCAGTGACCACTCCCAGGCCGGTTCCACTACACAGCGAGCAGCCTTGTGCAATGGGAACCCACGACTCTGCACGTCAGCACGCTTTGACTGGCTCCGCCCGACGCCTCCTTCTGGGAGAAGCAGGAGAGAACCCTGTAGGATTCCTGCAGCCAGCGCCTGTTTAATGAACGAACCGGACCTGGTTGTGGTGTGCAACCTGCCCACTAACGCATGGCCCGGTTCCAGACAATGGAAACGTGGCGGTTGGCCCAGACCAGGAGTACCACACAGTATGGAATTCCTTTGATGCCTTGAGCGCCTCAGGCACCAAAAGAGTTATGGCCACCCGACCCTACAGTGCGTGTCCAGGTGCTTGCCTCCCCCGCCGCTCACACAGTGCTGACAGGCGGTACGTCAATGTCAATCATGGAAGGCATCTGGTCTGAGGTAGACGCTTCTAGGGCTGTGACATTGCGTCCCTTTCCTTCAGTGACTCTGCAGATCACTAGGCGGAAGATCGCAGGGCACCTTGGACGGGAGCCAGAATATCGAGAATCTAGTTGAACGAAAGCGGGAAGCCTTGATGCCATCGCCACACGGATTGACGCTTCTGACGTTTGTCAGGGCTCATCAGGGTCCCCTCTGTCCCCTCTGTCCCAACCACTCTTCCCTTCTTGATAACGATGCAATACGCTTGTCCCCCTTAGTATCCCAGTGCCCTCGGCTATGGATCGATTAGCCTCCCTCTGTCCACCATTGCCAGCAGTACGATGGTTGGAGACAGACCTGGGACGACTGGACGAGTGGCTGTCGGAGGACAAGAACAGCCGCCTTGTGCGCCTGTCGCGCATGAACAATGGACGTTTCGGTGATCCTGTCCCTCGTTGTTCCAAACGGGAACCAAGGGGATCCCTTCCTCCCTTCACTGTTCATGTACTGGCGGCACAAGATTAGGGATTGATCAATGGGGTTTGACGCAGAATTCACCCGGCTGTGCAGGCATCGGCATAATGATGTGAAGGTGGTGAGACACTTGCTCTAAACCGCTCGCCACCCAGACTCGCCAGGCTCACCCAGGGTCGTCAGGCCTGTCAGTCGTGGCCGCACTGCTCATCGGCTGACCCCCACCACTATCTACTGTGCAGTACTGGCTCAGGCATCCAAGCCATTTTCATCTGCCCAGACTTGCCAGGTCGTGCAATTGCATCTGGCGTGACGAAAGAGGCAAATCGATTATCGTTGTACTTGCGGCGTCTGTCGAGATGGCATCATATCCAGCCCATTCTGCCGGTTATCTCAGCCCATCTCCCATCTGCCACGATAAGCATAGTCACATTCCCAACGGCATTCCAAGCGAGTGCCTTCTCAATTCAATACCCTAGATGCACCTGGATAATACGGCCCATCTAACTCGAACCATCTCTCGTCCGGTCATTGAAGAGATGAGGAGGCACTGGGGGCGGCCGTAGATTGGTCAATGCATGCCATAGCATCTGCGGGGTTGGGTAATGGGAAAGGGGATGCTGCTATTTTAGTTGTGAGGACTGCACCTAACTCCCAGTTGAAATTCTCCGGCAGCCTGAGCCGGCTGGGTGGCCGTAGAAGTGCTTTGACAGCCAATGCCTCGGGCTTCGCTTTGTCCCAGACGAACGGCTTGCAGCCGGCTCACACGACACAGCCCGTTTCCTCCAGCTAAGGTAGCAGTTGGGTGCAGAAGAAGAAAAGCCAAGGATAGAAGAGCAAACAAATCTCAGATGAGGAGAGAGTGGCTTGCAAGCAATCATCGCCAGAGGGTTTGTCCGAAGGGACGTGCTTCTGAAGCTTCAAGCACCTCAGGAGCGGTCTCGAGAAGGGCCTAGGGGTCCTGGACTGCCCACGATCCTGGCCTCCAAAGATGAAAGAGCAGAAGAAACTGGCAGACCTTCTCATCTTCCCCCTTGCATTCGCGGCGGCCCTGCCACTGGACTGGGAATTCTCGGCTGTGCCTTGTCCTGCACTGTCCTGCACGGCAGCCCACATTGGGCGTTACGGCTCTGGGTCCCTCCTCCCCTGACTGGCGCCCTGTGACTCCACACGATAGTTCAGCCGTAGCTAACCCAAGCAAGGCACTCGGACCGCAGAGAGGCCTAAGGGCCCCAGTCTTTCTCGCTTGCCAAACAACTGCGACAGGCACAAAACACTGCCACACCGCCATTTCATGGGGAAGAAAACTGGACATGGCCGCCATACCATAGCATACCATCGCATGCTGCGGCAGGCTCACCTTATTCTTGTGCCACCTTGTGTGGGAGATGCTACTACTGTCAGTGGGCGATGCAGAGCTTTAGCAGGTTTAAGATCTGACTGCGCCGAGCTCTTCACCTTCCACGCAGCTACTGCGGAATATCTATCAGCCACGTGGGGTCTGCACATGCCATGGATCCGGATAATACTCGCAGTTGGGCTTGCAGTGGGATTTGTCTTAGAATTTCAAGGGACTTGTCGTAGCCGAAACGATTGTGCATACTTGGCTCATGAAGCCTGATATGCTCCTTGCTGGGAGGCTGGGATGGGTAACATCTCAAGTCTAGCTCTTCCCCTATTCTACTGTACCAAGTGTGATATCACTTCGTACAAATTAAGGTCCCTGATAGACCTGTAGTTGCAGTATTTCTTGTTCAGTCACTCTTTCCAGTGTTGCCCTTACTCATTTTCATTCTCGCACCTAGTTCTTCGAGCCCCCTGAATTACCCCTATTTTAACCCCCCTCGTCTTGGTTCTCAGAAAGTATTCTCTTAGACCGGGCCAAGCGGCTCGTGGAACAATTATTCTGGATTGTGATGTCTTAACTGACTTCACGATTTTTCAAAATCATCATGGAAGACGTGCGGAGGATCTCATCTCAAGGAGAATCATAGTCTCGGATTTCAGAACAATGTCCGCAAAAGACGGGGAAACCATACGGACGCCGGCCTTGAGACGATAGGCTTACACTAATACAGAAGACCGAGGCTGCATCGAAATGTGACGAAGGAATGGTGTTCTATGTTAACTATTTTCACAGAGAATTCTCGAGTTAGTAGGGAAACCTGAAGTCTTCTGTCTTTACCTGGTCTGTTGGGAGAGCATCTGGCAAAGTTAAGTTGAGCTCTCGCTTAGAGTCTCGATTTCCTCACATTTCATTTGAACATAATCTGTCAAAGAAGGGAGCATACAAAAATAGTCTAAAAAATCTCTACCATGTTTATCTTGGAGAAGCGACTCCATCAAGCCATGGATACATGAGTACAGCATCGACCCTTCTAGCATCATATCAATTTTTACTACAGCTGGCGCAGTGTAGACATGGAAAAGATCCTTTGGAGTTTTACAGAGTCTTCCAGAAGATAAAAACAGCTGGTATTAACAACCTCGATGGTGATCATCACTGCAAAGAACTGTCTCCTCGTGTCTTGCCCGCAATTAGCCCCTGCAACCCCGCGTGGACTTACATGAATGACAGGTCGGCATTTTAATTAAAGTGCGTCTGAGGAGATGGAAACGTGATAAATGGGTTGAGCATATTTTATTGCTTACTGCTGTTGGAAGACAACATATGAATACCAGGGTCCGTTGCGATATTATATTCATATAGATATTCTAACATAATCATAATTACCAATATGCCAGGACTTGTTCAGGAGACCCCGTTCAAGACTTTTGCGGTCCGGGAGCTACACCCTACCTTTGCTGCCGAGATTGAGGGCGTAGACTTTGGGAATCTGTCAGATGAGCAGCTTACAGAAGTCAAAGATGCTATGGCAAAGGTGATTAGATCTCATCTCCCGAACCATGTACCTTGCCCCTAACGCATCTTTGTTATGTGACTTCAATGAGTTAATACAGCCCCTTTTCACAAATACTGACATGGCCAAACCGGTAGTATGGCGTCTGTGTCTTCCGCGATACTGGCCTGACAGACGATTCGCACGTCGAGTTCTCCCGCAAGCTCGGGGATTTGGACGACATCCGTCGATACCTGGGCCCAGGCCGGAAGATGCGATATACCCATGTAGAGCTCTTCGACGCCGGCAACCTAGACGCAGACAGCAACCTCATCGACCCGGACTCGCCTCGCGCACACTCGAACAAGGGCAACGGCCTCTTCCACGTCGACAGCAGCTTCAACCCTCGCCGCGCCTCATACAGTCTCCTACGCGGCGTCGAGTTGCCTCCCCCCGAGGCAGGCGGCAACACGGACTTTGCCGACTCACGCGCCGCATGGGATGATCTACCGGAGGAGCTAAAGACGGAGCTGCTAGAGAAGAACTACCTCGGCGCCCACTGCATGGCGCACAGCAGAAAGCAGGGCAGCCCGGAGTACTTTGCTGATCTGGACCCCAGCACGGCGCCCATGTCGTATCACCGCATAGCGCAGCTGCATGAGCCGTCGGGGCGCATGAACCTGTACGTGGGTGCCCATCTGCACCACATCGAGGGCGTGTCTGCGGAGAAGTCGGCGGCGTTGATCGAGGCTCTCAATAACCACACCCGCCAGCAGAAGTACATCATCAGCGTATCATGGCACAACCCCGGGGATATGATTATATGGGATAATCGTGCGGTGCTGCACCGCGCTGGGGAGTTCAGGGGTAGATATAAGAGGGATATGAGGCGGACGACTGTCCATGACGATGGCAGCTATGCCTGGGGCGAAAACAGCGTTGGAACGAGGATGCCGGGCAATGAGAGTTGGACAAAGCCTCAGCTGGTGCAGCAGATGAGCGGCCCTACTCATACGACTATGGCCTCGAATTAAGGGAAACCTCATTCGCAGATAGTAACGATATGCATGAATGAATCTAATAGTTCTAATTGAATCACCCTGGATCGCGTGTGTGCTTGTAGTTGTCAAAAGATATCCGGACTTTCGAGTTTGTTCCTTGTGAGCCGACAAGTGAAACTTTATCAGAACTCGCGTTTTTTTTTGGGTGGCTTTGGAATACCATTAAAAAAATGGGGTGGGAGGTTCACTCCCTACGCTCCATAACATCAAGCCAATCTAAGAACGACGGAAATTTAAGAAAAGGGGTAAAATTTTCATATTGAATTCATCTACAACCAGTGTCTCTATGTAGAAGCTGTCCTGGGGTAATTTGAGGGCTTGAAGGATATCTACGGCTCGAGCACCCTGCCCCTAATTGGAACTCCTGCCAACCAATGTATCCTATTCTTCTTGCCTAATATATGTCATGCGAGCCCACATGGACCTCTGCCACGACTTGCCTTGAGGCTGGGCCGGTGTGCCCCTGCTCACCAACCAAGGGCCATGCAGCCATTTGGCGACGTTTTGATTTATTAGACCACTTGTAACCTTGCCTTGAGCATGCAGGTTAGGGGTTAGTTGTGGTTGATAGGCCTGGCTATCAATAGCCGACTGTTACCTCTTATTTCCAAGGTGTATTGTATATCTCGTGATCCCATGTTACTGGGATTCACCGTCATTTGTCAAGCCCTCTCGCTTTTACAAACCGAATGATCTGCTCGCGCGTGAGCTTGTCGTTATACTGCTCATGACATTCGTAGAACGCAATCAGCTCCTGCGTGCAATCGACCATGGCCTCGATGTCGATGTTACTATCAGCAAGCCAGGCGGCGAATCGTTGTACTTTGCTGACACGTATATCTTGGGTCTTCTCCTTTCCATTTGCACCGTCCCCTTGAAGCCCTCCTGGGGTGGAAGGCTGTTGACCTTGATTACCACCCGCCAGAGCCGCTCGCGCTTGTGCTTGAGCCAATGCTGCAGTTGCAGCTGCGATGCCCATAGTAGCCGCATTTCCTCCAGCCGTGACGCTGCTGTTCTGATTGCTTTGGGAGGGCCCGTTCGAGGGCCGAAGCACCAAAGCCAGCAGAACGGCAGTCAAGGCTACTATGTGTGGTGGGTATAGCAGAGGGAGATCCGTCATATAATGATCATTGATAACGGACCACGCCAACGCTGTCTCGTCTTGCGACAAGGAGAACTCGTTTTGGAGCGACGTGAGGGTTCGGTACGGTTGATGAACAATCAGCTGGGAGTTCATCTCGGAGATCAGGAAGAACTCGCACTCTCCCAACTTGGATGTTTCGAGGATATGGAAATCTGCTTGATACGAATTCGAATTAGTTCGTTCTAACTAGAAGTTAGTCCTCGCGCCAAAAAGCTACACAACGTATGCTTTACGGAGGAAGAAAAGAGGATGGGAGCCTCACCAGGCCACAGAGACCGGGCCTCCTGTACGACCAGTCTGATGTGCTGCGGACACTCCTCCATCTTACAGGCCAGGTACACCGCCGTTGTCAGCACCAGAAACGGGTTCGTCCTCCGGATTTCGACTTTTGTGTAGAAGCGCTTGATGTAGAGCTGGGCTGTGGCCATGGCTTGTTGGCGGACGCCAAGTCGTTTGCCGAGCCGGTTTATTTCTGCTCGAGGAGATTGTTGTTAGCTGATACGTTCCACAGAAGATACAAGACAGATGGGATATATACGCTGATTGAAGTATATGCTCAGATGCCTCAGCTGCGGCAGTGGGAACATCTGCGCGAGGGCTGGGTCGTCGTCCTCGAGTTTCTGGCGCATGGAGCTGAGCTGCTCCTTGGTGAACTGCCAGTGCCGACGCTGGGTCGACTCCCAGTAGTTGGCAGCCATCTTCGCTGTTGATCCACCGACATCCGGGCAATTTCCTGCGCTGATGCGTTCACACAGCGGTCGAATGGGCTGAGAGGAGTTGCCTCCGGGAGCGGGATAAGTTGATTGGAGTAGCGAGGCTGAAAAATGACCCAAGCTGTGGCTTACAAGGCTGAGAAGAACGGAGGCGTGATTCGCTATGACATAATTTAGTCGGGGCTAATCGGCAGTAGCTGATAGGCGCAGTCGGTACCCTGTTTTCCAGCTTTACTGAGCGCCAGACCAACCAGACCAGGGGTGGGGAGACCAGTCCTTTGAAAGCCCTACCTACATAGCATCATCGCGCATACAGGCCTGTGCAACTTCAATTGCTCTCCCCTAGATAATGGTTCTGAAGGCCCAGCGATTGCGGCAGAAGCTGTTAACAACGATGCCGCATCGATAGCAATCGCGCGCGCAAGCTTAGCAACGGGCGACGACGTCGTGATCCCTCCGTTTCGGTTCCTCCCGTCCCGCCCGAGTCCCGCCGCCGTCCTGCCATGATAACTGGCAATGAGGATCACAGACGTGGTCTCGGAGCTCGAGCTGGAGATGGAGGAGTCCCAGAATCAAAGGGATAAGAGGGTGGAGGAGCTGTGGAGGAAATTGGATCCCCAGGGGAAGGGCGAGCTGGATCTCAAAGGCCTGCAGAAAGGATTGCGGAAAATTGACCACCGTCAGCTGAACCTATACGGCCTTCTGGGCCGTGGTGTCTGGAGCAATTGCTGACCCATGACAGCTATGAAAAATGCCGACGACATGCTTAAGTCTATTGTGAAGAAGCTTGACACGAGCGGCGATGGCAAGATACAATACGAAGGTTGGTCCGATGGGCTCAGCTTTAGTGAAGAAAGCAACATAGCTGACGCTGCGGACAATATTAGAGTTCCGAGTCTTCGTCGAAGCCGCTGAGCGCCAGCTCCTTCTCCTGTTCCGGTCTATCGATCGAGACCACGACGGCAAACTGAATAGAGACGAACTTCGATCTGCCTTCCAGCGGGCCGGACTCACTGTGCCGCTGCGTAGACTTGCTGGGTTCTTTGACGAGATAGATATGAACAACGATGGCTATATTAGCTTTGACGAATGGCGGTAAGTTTTCTCGTGTTACTGCTGTTAAAGCCGTGTCTCCCTAGTCACGATGGAAAGAATAGCATGTTCCCTGGTGGCAGATTGTTTGGTTTGGCCGAGTCAGCATACGCCTGTCTGCAAAGAAGACCACTTCCCTGCCCTCAGTGAAAATGTTGGGATAAATCTCTAGAATTTGGTGCTAATGCCGTTTCTGCAAAGTGATTTCCTGCTGTTCATGCCCGCTCACGATAGCGGCTCCCCTCTTCAAGCGGCATTATCTTTTTATGCAGAGGTGTTTACGCTGAATTCGGAGGGAGACTCGGTTGTTAGCGAGGAAACATTGGAGGGCTTAGGTACGACCGGCTTCCTTTTTCAAGCCCTTTTCGGTTCTATCTTAAAGATTGCCCAACCCTCCATCCCTCCCTCCGATCAACCTCTTATCCGCGAAGCGTCACCTGCACCTTCAGACCCGGCGTCACCTTCTTCTCAGTCATCTCGCTCTACAACACCACAACAAGAACAGTCACATCCCACTACATCAATACCCAAAGCCGCTGCAGTAGCAACAGAAGCGCCTGATATGGCAGCGGCAAGGGTTGCACACGAGACTTACTCCGACAATATGGCGAAACTTCGACGTGCTACTGACGGTGCTGTGACGAGCTTGATGGTGACCTTCGAGGGCGACGGCGACGAGCCATGGGCAGACATTCATGACCACCCAATTGAATTCCACATGGAAAACGAGACTACGAGATTCAAACTGACTCAATACCTACCTGAACCAGGTTACTTCGTCGCCGGAGCCCTCGCTGGTGGTATCTCACGCACAGCAACCGCACCTCTCGATCGTCTTAAAGTGTACCTGCTCGTCAACACGAAGGCGACTACTAACATCGCCATTGACGCCGCAAAACATGGGCATCCTCTCTCGGCCATTCGGAAGGCTGGTCGGCCTATCACTTCTGCCGTCATGGAGCTGTGGAAGGCTGGTGGGTTCCGAACCTTCTTTGCCGGTAAGTCTTGCAGGGAAGCGGCATATGCTCCCGCCGCTTTTCCTTCCTAAGAACGTGTCAGAATAATGACTGACTATCTCGTAGGCAATGGCTTGAATGTGGTGAAGATCATGCCTGAAACTGCCGTCAAGGTCTGTACACACCATTCAGCCCCGGATTCAGACACGAACCAACAGAGTTTAACATCACCTTCTAGTTCGGCTCCTATGAAGCTGCAAAGCGCACTCTTGCTAACCTGGAGGGTCATGGCGACCCGCAACACATCAATCCTTACTCGAGATTCGTTGCTGGTGGGCTGGCTGGTATGACAGCTCAGTATGTTACCATCAGACACATGTTTGCGGCGGATTGTTGACTTGATTCTAGATTCTGCGTTTACCCCCTTGACACTTTGAAGTTCCGGTGAGTTCTTCAGGTCTCTCTGCTTATCAATTGCCTGCTAACAAGAGTAGACTTCAATGTGAGACAGTAGAAGGGGGCTTGACCGGAAATGCGCTTCTGGTCCAGACGGCAAAGAAGATGTATGCTAACGGCGGAGTTCGCTCTGCTTACCGTGGACTAACCATGGGCCTCATCGGCATGTTCCCTTATAGTGCCATCGATATGGGCACCTTTGAGTTCCTGAAGAGCACATTTAAACGCTACAAGGCCAGATATCATGGCATACACGAGGAAGATGCCATCCCTGGCAATTTCGTCACCGGAATTATCGGTGCTACATCAGGAGCGTTCGGTGCGACAGTCGTCTACCCCCTGAACGTCCTTCGAACTCGCCTCCAGACACAAGGCACAGTCATGCACCCACCTACTTATACTGGCATCTGGGATGTCGCCCAAAAGACGCTCCGCAATGAGGGCGTTCGCGGCATGTACAAAGGCCTTACACCCAACTTGCTAAAAGTCGCGCCAGCCTTGAGCATCACATGGGTTGTCTACGAGAACTCGAAGAAGCTTCTAAGTCTACACTGATCAGTCGGCGTCCACATAATATAATAAGCGGGGGATGGAAGGAAGATATGATGTAGAAACCAGTCACTAACAACAAGAGGTTGTACGATGACAACAACAAGAACAACAACAACAACGACACCAAGGCATATATCGGCGTTTAAGGGATCTAGCGAGCTCATTTGGCTGAGATTCTGTTGCTCTGGCGATTGCAGGAGTCAACAACAAGTTAGGAGGTGATACCAGAGGAAGCAAAACGCGTTGTCTGTCAATTGACATAGAGCACTACGAGATGGACCGGATCGGACTACGAGACACGAAGATGTCGTAAGAGATGGCCGTAGATAGCTAAGCTAGCCGATGCGGCTCCATCCAGATATGTCCCGGGCCATTTGGTCAAGTAAGGTTATCTAGGTTAGGATAGGATACCAATGGCATCAGCGCACTAGAGATGCAGCGTAGAGATCACAATACAGAGGAACTCGTCATCAGTGTGCGTTTCTGGCGTTGGCGACCTGCAGGTGGTGAATAGGCATTCGTAAGTCCTGCGAAGCTACCCCTCCTTGATGGTGATAGCCAGCCAATGGGCCATGTCGCCAACCCTTCAACTCAATAACGTTTGCTTCCCACTTAGACCGCTTCTGGAATGAATCTGCGGGGGCCAGAATGCGGCGACGAGGTGCTAATAACGCAGTGCGCAGCAATCTAGGCGGCGACGCACATCATTGTGGTGCAGGAATCAGTGTGCCAGGCAGTAATCACGGCCTGACATTGGTCCTCGAGGCAGATCCTTCGCCCATGGCAATTCAAGCTTACTGCGTAGTTGACCGCAATCACGTCTTTCCCAGCTTCCTGTTGCGGCCGAGTCCCGGCCGATAGATTATGAACCGGCCTGCAATTGCCAGCCTCCCACTCGCCAGGCCAACCATGCACGCAACTTAGACTTGAGACTTCCAGAGTCGGCGGCGGCCTGTGAGTCAATGTCACTCACACCACCTTTCCCGCGCCGCGAGATACCTGCTTGGTGTTGACCCAGAACTGAAGAGCCAAGTCCTTGTACGCGGCCTGACCCTATCAGCGATCGTCCATGCTGACGAAAGCTTGTCGGCATACTTTCGCCATAGACTTGTCGACTGCATGAGGGACGTTGGCAGTCCTGCGTCTATCGGATCCGACAAAATGCCCCATGCACCTCGCAGGCTGAGGTGACTTGCCTCTTTTGTCTCCTCACTAGGCACTCAGAGTTTGCAGTTGTCGTGTGTTGCTTTCGTAGACATCTCATCAATTCATCATCTTTCATCAATTGTAAGCTGCTGAGACTGCGCAAGTGCCTCGAGTTTGTACAGTGTATTTGCGTTCTGCGGCGCCTTGAAGGAACGTGTTCGTGCGAGTGTTTGCTTGGCATCTGGCGATAGTTTCATACCGCCCCGCCAAGCCGTTTCGAACCATGGCGTACCCGTACTCCGACAACATGTACTCCATGGTGGACGACGACTCAGACGTCGACCCAATTGACGATCCGCTTCAGGCCCAGACAGTCCTGAACGATCAGGAGGACCAGGACCCTACCGAGCAACAAGTGCTTCTCTCGCCCAGCGACGGTTACTTCCGCGCGTCGGAGCAAGCGACATCGCCGTCGTCGCAGGCCCAGGACTCGTGGCAGCCCTCCTATTCGACTCGTGCTGCGGCGTCATCCCAAGTTCCCCACGTCCCTGACGTCTGGGTAGCAGATCCATCTCTCGAGCACGGAAGCACTGCCGAGAGCAAGGCCAGAGAAGCTCGCGAGGAGCAGGAACAAAACAGACAGCGGTTCAACGACCGATATCCCGCCCTTGCATGCAACAGAAGCACAACCTCTCCGGCTGCTGGCGGCTCTATTGGAGGAAACATCCCTTCTACACACTCACCGGCACATACCAGGAGTACTTCGTCCAACTCGTTCAACTACGGGTCACACTACCAGACATCTCGGTACACCCCACCATCAACAGCAGCTACGCCCAGCCGGTCTCGCCGCAGCGAGACCTTATATTCGGAGCGCTCTTCCCTTTTCTCCCATCCCAACGAGGCGCCTCCAGCCTACACGCCATCCCCCACGTCGCCCACAAGTGCCGCAAGCCCAACAAACTACAGAACCTTCTCACAATCCAGCATGGGTAGACCAGAGGAAGCTCAAGGCCTCCTGGCCGGCCATCATCGACCTGAGAGCATGGCAGACCATGGCGATGAGGAATTGTACGATGCTGAGCCTGCGTGGCGAGAACGGGTAAAGCGACGATTGCCTTGGTTCAACGGCAGGAACTGCAGGGCTGTTCTTCTGTGCTTGGTGTTGCTGCTGATCGCAATTGGTTTCCTCGTAACCATGTTCACATCTGTCAAGCAAGAGGTAAGCACTTACGTATCTATTTGCGCCATCATCTTTCGTCCCTTGCTCTTTTACAATTTCAATCCTACCTGCTTCGTATACTGGTCTTCTCCTCGTCTTGTATAAAGACCTTCTTCACCTGAGATCCCTTTACGATGTCTTCCTTCATCATCTCAACCCATCCAAGCTTCTCATGTCTTCGTCTATTGACAAGAGCCCTAACCCCTCTCAGAACTCCAAACCTATCAACTCCCCAGGTAGTAAGCAGCCAGTCGATGATGAACCAGTCAACGAGGCCCCAGACGGAGAAAAGCCAAGTGATGGCACCGTCAGGATCAACTACCCAGCCTTCGACGGCGATGTCCCCTGGAACAATGGGCGATACTGCTCCTACAAGAAAATCAAGCTACCAGAAGAGTCATTCTCACTCGACTTTTCAGCCGGCCGAAACATTTCTTTCTTCCAGGATGTGGACGCCAGCGGACCTTCGGAGGGCTGGGATGTCCATGTAAGTGGTGAGGTGATCATCCGCCGCACGGGAGACGGTACCCCTGACCCATCTGTCGTCATCAACGGGATCGTCAACGACGACCGGATCCGAATCGATACTGTGTGGGACGGCAGCACGCAGCGGCTGGAAGTGCGTGTGCCCCGCAAGCTCCGTGGTGATGACGGCCATACGTGGCCTTGCCTGCAGCTGCGTGTCATGATCTGGGTACCTGAAAACGCTCAGCTTGACTCCTTGATTGTGGAGAACACGCATTTAGGCGCCCTGCTTCTGGACAACTTAGCTATTGACATCGCAACCTTTACTCGTATCTCGAGCGTTGTTGGAGAGATCATTGCTGCGACAGATGGTGAGCGAGACATGCACGAGCTTGCTCTGAACGGCGCTCCAAAGTCATTCAACTTCGACTCGAGAGTCGTTGAGGTCAAGACCACCTCTGGATCGATTGCGGGCGCCTGGCCATTATATGACTATCTCGGTGTTGAGAGTATCTCTGGCAGCATCAAGGTCGGGATTGAACCCAAGGCTGTCCTGAAGAAAGCGCCCAAGCCTGCAGTGCTGTACGTCAAGTCCACATCTGGCACCATCGAACTATGGGAACCCATCCACCGCGCCATCGAGACACTTGCGGCGCAAAGCAGTGCGCAAGAGGGCATGGCAACATTCACAGCTGAGAGCATCATCCCTCCGCGAGACTATGGCGTCGAGATCAAGGGCATATCAGGCTCTATCAAGGGAGCTTTGGCATTCACCTATTCTGCCAACGTTCACACCACTTCTGGGAGCATTGCGTTTGACTTCCTGCCCGTGCTTGATAAGTCACTCGCGGACCCGAAGACAGATAAACGCATCGATCTCGAAACCTCCACGACAAGCGGAACCACGGTTATCCGTCTGCTGGACACTCTGTGGTCAGACGCATCGTCGGGATCATTCCTGAAGCTCCCCACCCCTCCTACTCCTCCAACTCCTCCAACACCCCCTACTCCGCCCACTCCTCCCAAGCGCAAAGAGCCGCCCCCACCAGTCGACTACATCCCGATCTACGACGGCGATCCGTACGACCTTATCGGCAAGCCGTCCATCGTCACAGATCCGTCCTTTGAGATCGAGAAGAAGAAGAAGACCGAGGAGCCGGTCGACTACGCGCGCGCTCTCCGCTGCCTGCACTCGACGCACAGCACGACGAGCGCGTCGGTGGCGCTGCGCTACCCTGTCTCCTGGGAGGGCGACATTGATGTCTCGACCATGAGCGGCAGCATCAGCGTCAAGGGCGAGGGCGTCGAGGTCATCCGCAAGGGGCCGGACTTCCCGGGTGTGGGCAAGACGCTGCTTGCGCGCAAGGGCAAGGATGGGGGCAGTGTCTGCAAGGTGAAGACGCTGTCGGGGAGTATAGGGGTCAAGATCGGCGAGGTTTGAGGCGGTAGGCTACGAGCATCAAGTTATGAAGAGTTATATGTTTGCCATGGGTGTGGAGGCAGCGAATATGATGGGATCAACATGATTTGACGAAGGCCAATGAGGGGCCAATGAGTACTAATATACGAGGAATAGGAGAGATTTCTTTCTTGTCAGCACAATTGGGCGGAGTTCAGGGGCTGTGCTCGGATTCAGGGGTTGGGCTTCATCTGTCGTTTATTCATGATACACTATCGCTCCACACAGCAACCTAGGCAACTGCAATCTCATCACAGACAAATATCACACATGCCCTGGCAAAAATCGGTGACGTGATGTGCAATGGCGTCTTGTGTACTTCGTGAAGATCTCCTTGCTAACAAACAGCAATGCCAGAACTTGGATGGGTGCTCATCCCTTCAGACACCTTCTGGACCATAACAGAAACGGAACAAGCTTCCAAGACGTCCTGTGACAACCTCCCCATCATTTGGCATGTGTAAACGTTGCCAGTACATCACCAATCCTGATGCCATGAGACCAAAACATACAGCTATGGCAATGCCTGCCGTCCGAAAGCCCGCCCCCTCTCCTTTCCCCCCTCACATCCAGACAACCTCCTTTACCAGGCCCGGGACAGTCTTGGACTTGAAGATGGCGACGACAGGGTCTCTGCCCTCGGCAGCAGCGGCAGCCCAGCCCCACCAGCAGGTGTAGCAGCGGCTGGGGATGACGACGTACTCCTTGCGCTGGTGGTGGAAGGAGTTGCAGCCGGGAGCCAGCTTGCACTTGGAGCGCCAGCTCTTGCCCCACTTCTCGCGGTGGCAGAAGGTGCAGATGCCGACCTCGTAGCTGGCGTGACACATTGTTTTGGCTTGTGGGAGTTGGTAGAGGGTGGTGATGACGAGAGTGACAATGGTGAGGCGAATGTGACTCGGAGAAGCTTGTCCTAGGAAAAGGGGTTAGTGAATCTGCATTTTGGAATGAAAGGATTGTGAGATCCTTCATACCTCAGATGAATGACGATGGGGACTTTGGCGATACTTGGATTGTATGAATTTAGTATCTGTTTGGTGGGATTGTGGTTGTACCGTGAATCCGGGGCGAGTGATGGTGTTGACAAGATCTGGAGGAACAGGAGAAATAAAGTCCTTGTGGGCAGTTATCCTGGGTCACGGAAGGAGCATCAAAACAAGAGCTTGCTGCAGGGGACCTTTGTCACTTTCACAAAAGGAAGCTATTCATCGTGATAGCTTAGGCTGCCTTCCATTCTGCTTCTTTTTGAAATTCCAATGATACCTAGAAAGCCGAAGGGAACTTGATGGTGCCGGTCCAACACAGTACTGAGTTAAATTAAACACCCATCCTCTTCAAGCTGACATTGATCTTATAGAGTTTTGTTTTCTTGGAGTAAACAATGTAGCTGCCAGACATGTCAACCATGGTTCTGCCAAAAGGCCCACAGCTTGCCTTCCAAGGCTGACAAGGTATCTCCATCCTAATAAAGAAAACACGTCAAACAGACCACACAACGACATGGCCAGTCATTTCCCCTTGAGTGAGATAATCAACAACAAAGTCTGAGTCTGCAGGCCGCCATGAAACAGAATCTCGCTCTTTCGACATATTGATTTCCTTTTACAGCAATTTCCGCCATCTGGCACATCTTCTTGTCCTCCTCTTTCCGCTCTCGTAGCTTCCCTTGATGTATCTCGCCATTTCTGTACTGTAAACACTCACTTGGGCAGCCACCGCAATGTGCAACCTCATCTTCACACTGCATCAGCACTGCAGCCACGAGCAGTACCAGAACACCTTCCCCTGTCACGTCGTCAGGGGCTGTGAGCCCTATGAACCGATGGGCCTGGAGAAAACAGTCTTCCTCTTCGACACCAAGAAAGACCCCAAGCTCTTTGCCAACGCGCCGTGCAAGAAACTCAAGCTGAGAAGGCCCGCACAGAGCTTGTGTGATATCTGCAAGAAGAAGCAAATCAACACAAAGGACAAGGGGAAGGGCAAGCAAGTGTTGGGCCTCAGCAGCTCTGTCAGCAGCCCGGCGATGATCTCTAGCCCCAGCGGCCCCTTTATTGCAGAGAGCTCGAGCAGTCCTGATGTTGACCTGGAGTCAGGTAAATGCCTCTGGCATGACCATTTACTTTGAAGAGATAGCGGCTAACTAGATGCATCTAGCCCAAAATACGACTATTGTCTCCTTACTGAGAATGTCTCGTCTGCAACCTGGGCTTGATGGTAGTCCGACGGACAACTCCAGGACCGAGTTCTCTTTTGACGCCTCTCCGCTATCACATCGAGAAAAACAAAGACTGAGCGAAATCTGACAACTGCACTTGCTTCCGAAAGGGGTTATTTTTGGAGGGATACAAGCTAATCAGAAATTTGTTTGACAAAATGGAATGTTGAAGGAATAGGGGTAAACTTGGAGGCAGGTATCTTTCATTCCAGATTATTTCATGACTGGCTGCCATTGTCCTGAGAATCATTGATGTACATTCGATGGCATGTGTAGGGGATTGTTGTTGTTGCTGCAAGCAGAAAAGAGATACCTGACGCTAGATAACCTACTTGTCCTCACGACTTCTTGGTTGTTATTCTAGAATGATTGTCTTGATGGCATCAGGGATAGAAGATGCCCAGTCTTTCTCCTTCTGTGGCTGCCATCCTATATCAAACGCCTTTTCCGGCCGAGTGCTCGACCTGAAGTGGCGAGTTAGCCTTGAATACGGTACAGCATGGTAGGCCAAATTACTGACGTGGATGCCAGGGTCTGTTCAGTACGTGTTTCATCACCACCCATAAATTTTGGAGCGGCTTCAGACAGGCTCAAGGCGACCGTTTCCATGGAGCGAAAAACTCCAAGCTCGTGACCAGCTTTCGCAATCGCCTCGGACACTTCCAGCCAGGAATGACTGCCTGTATTGGCAAAGAAGTAACCATTCCTGCCCGAAGGAAGCGCAGGATCGGCAATAGCCCGCGCTACAACGAGCTCGAACAGACTGGCCAGGTCGACGACGTGCACATGGCCGAGCCGAGACGAGCCCGGGGCGACGTATTCGACTCGACCTGCTTTCAGGGCTTGCCGAATGAGCATGGGGATCTGGTGCGACACGCGGTGGAAATGGCCGGTGCCCTGGCCCCACACGGTAGGCGGCATGATGATGTACGCCCTGACGCTGAGGGTCTCGCTCGTCTCGATGACGGCAAGGTCTGCAGTCCGCTGGGCGTAGGGCTGGCACGCATCGACGCCGGCCTCGTGCGCGTAGATGTCCTCGTCCTTGTCGGAGAAGGTCCGCCGCTCCCCGCCCAGGCCGGTCACGTCGCCGACGGCAAGATTGGAGGTCCCAGACAACTATATGTGGATTGAGGTTGTTAGTGAGTGCTATATTGACGAGCTTGTGAGGGGCATTACATGAATATAAAACACATCAATGGAGACGCTCTTCTTGCGCTCAGCAAGCCCCGTGATGAAGGCCCTTGCGGAAGCGGCGTGGAAGCCGGTAGCTGCGTTGACGACGATGTCATGCTGGCTGGCTAGATGGGTCAGGCCAGATGAATCATCTAAGCCGCCTTCCAAGACGATGCTTCGGATCCCGTTCCTCTCCAGGGTCTCTGATTGACTCTCTGTTCTGACGAGAGCTGTGATAGTCAAAGTGCGAATGTTTTCGTGTAGTGAGTGAAGTAGACGATCAAGTACGGTCCCTCCACTAAAGGCTTGAGTAAGCACTCGGGTAGGACACGAGTATTTTTGATCCTAAAAGGGGCAACTTGAATCGATTATTGAGATATGATATGCTATGCCACGTACATAAAACCAGTAGCACCAACCAGCAACAAGGACTTTGGCTGGCTCATCTTGCAGATTGATCGTAGAGTTTTGGGTGAAGAGGGCCGCTTTGCCTTCCGGGCTGATGTTGAACGAGGGACAAGCTACTTGGATTCTTCCACGACAATATCTGTGTAGCAACCAGCTATCGTTTCGGAGGCCACATGCATTTGGAAGACATATCACTCGAACTGGCTACTTCTCGCCTGATCCCTCCAGTTCAGTCACATAATTCGTTCTCCAGTGCAGTGTGCTGAATAATTGCATGGCTGTCGTCATTGAATTTCCCCGCTGTATATGGCGAGATTGTGGGGTCGCGTCGATGCTGTTAGTTGCAGAACCATCTCAACTTCGCGATCAGCGCCGTTTTCCACCATGCTGACAGTTAAAGTGAGGTTATTGCTGAATCTAGATTCCCTATCTAGGACCAAAATGTTCAAGAGTATTATTTGACTGTCAAGGCCGCACTGTGTCCAGCTATGTATGAGAGTTCATTCGGTTTATAGCTTACGGAATCGAGAAGTATACCAAGACAAGATGGACGACTTGCTTTTCTAACCTATCGAGGCAACATCATGCCATTGTGACTGCACAAAAAAAAATCATATTCTGTGAATCATTCTCTGAGCTTTAGATGGACATGTAAATGGACCTCCTTGTCCACAATGACATCCACAATGACAATGACAAGCCTCATATGAATATGATCAACCGCATCTTTTGGAATTGTAGCCACTTGTCATGTCGTTTGTTGAATGAAGCCCAGGCTTGCTGTGGAGTCGTTGGCTGAGAACAAAGCCATTCATTCTGCCTTATGCGAACCACCCGTCGAACTGTGACAGTGCGGAGAAGCGCCAAACCTCCACCAACCCATCTCTGCCCATGTGTACGCAGTAGGCCGTATTACGCCATCTCAACCGGGAGAGCGGCCAGGATTGGCTCGTGAGTCGCTTGATGCTTGAAGCTTGATGCTTCTGCTGCCACCGAGAATGGCGATGGCGGGCCAGGGATGTGCAGCAGGAGCAGCAGGGATGGGCCACGCAGCGACAGGGGAGACCTTGGCGGGGAAGCCCATCAGCAAGCAATCGATTAGGAAGCTGGGAATGGCCTGGACGCTAAGCGCATAGCACTGCACCTTACTCCATACATAGTAGTACTGCATAGTACTGCATCGTAGGCGGCGCTAGATGCAGATGCAGACGAACGGGGACGGTTCTGGGACCACCTGGGACCACCATTGCGTCGCCAGTGCTCCAGTCTTCCCCCTCGCCTAAGCCTAATGGTTACGGTAGCTTGCACTTACTACATACCTAGCTAGCCTAGGTAGTAGCAGTGAATAGTGTGACCGGCGCAAATGGCCGTCGCCGCCGCCAGTTAAAAAGATGATGGCAATAGTAGTAATGAATGTGGTTGGTAAGATAGGTATACTACTACCTTTATACTACATTAGCGTACTAAGGCATAGTGGTAGGTGCTTTTGCTGCTCCTCTCCCCCAGGATTTGGACTTGGGGCCACCGACCACCTGGGCAGGCTCGGCAGGCCATCATCCCCTCTCAACAAATGGGAGTGCGTGACATTTCGAGGCCCGTTCCAGGTTAACGTTAGGTTCGACAGACTGGTCCGTCATCTCTTCCCCTCTCTACATGTCTACCTCCCTCCCTTTTAACTGCGTAACTGAACTGTCAAGTGTCGATCTTATCCTGATTGCAGGTGTGTTGCGCAGCTCGGGGTAGCATACATTACATACATTACACTCTATACTACCCTATACCGTACAGTAGTAGTAGTGTAGACCCAGAGTTTTCCCAGTTACCAGTTACCAGTTCCTCGGGGGTTGAGCCGCCCGCGGACGACGACGACCCTTCTTGATTCTGGCCACCTGATAGCAATAGCAATAGCACGTTGCTTGCACGTTGCACATATTAAGCGTTTGTTCCACACTACCTTAGCTTAGGTAGAGGCATAGCGCCGTCTCTCCGTGATAGTGGGCGCTGGGCACGCTCCATTCCTCTCTCTCTCTGGGTCGTCCCTCTTACATACCTACATCCTTTTGCTACCTACTGCACAACACCACAGTATCAAGCCTTCCATTGCATTGCCTTGGGAGACGCACATGATCCTGTCCTCTTGGTCTGATTCGTGATGGCCAAGAAGGCGCGTCAGAGGATTAGCTATGGTATGTCTCGCCCTTTCCTCTTCTTCTTCTACTTTTCCTACTGCTTGCTTGGCTCTCGACGGAAACCCCGCACGTACGCAGGCACACACCAGGCACAAAGCACGAGAGCAGAGAGCAAACGCCACGCGCACAGCATGGTAATCCGCATGGCAATCGCATGGCAAAGGGGCACACAACTCACTGCAAGCTGCTTCAAAGCAAGATAGAGTCATTTGCACTCCTTTGCTGACATTGTCCCTTCTCTATCGCAGTTCTCGAGCTAGCCGGGTCTCAAGCGGGCGGCCACAGACTTGGTGTCAATGGTCTCGCCATAGATCGTGACAATGCTATCCTGTAAGCTCCCTTTCCGCCAGTCCGTACCCATCCTCTTCTGACACCACCGTCACACAGCTATTCCGGAGGTCGCGACGGCATCGTCTGTGCCTGGGATCTGAACCTCGACCTTCGAAGCTCTTCGACCTCCTCCGTCATCGATGCGACGCCCACCGGAGATAAGGCCGCCAACGGCACCGCGAAACTGAAGTCGACCACCAAGTTCCGCCGCCAGACGCAGGCGCATACCCACTGGATCAATGATGTTGCATTGGCCCAGAACAATACGGCTGTCGTCTCGGCGTCGTCAGATCTGACCGTCAAGGTGTGGCGGCCCCATGCGCAGGATGACCAGGAGCCGGCGACGATCGGCCAGCATGCCGACTACGTGAAATGCGTCGCGACGCCAAACCAGCAGACCAATTGGGTGGCCTCCGGCGGACTGGACCGGAAGATATACCTCTGGGACCTGCAGGGTGGTGGAAAGACTCTCGAGATCGATGTGAGCGGCGAGGAGATCACCGAGAAGGGTTCCGTATATGCCCTCAGCGTCAACGACAGCATTCTCGCCAGTGGAGGCCCCGAGTCCACCGTGCGCCTCTGGGACCCGAAGAGCGGCAAGCGCATCACCAAGTTCGTGGGACATACTGACAACATCCGTGCTATCCTCGTCAATGACACAGGAGATACGATCATGACCGCCAGTGCCGATCAGACCGTCAAGGTGTGGAGTGTCACGGCAGGTCGCTGCATGCATACCCTCACCATGCACAACGACAGCGTCTGGTCTCTGTACTCGAATGAGCCCGACCTAGGCATTTTCTACAGCAGTGACCGCTCGGGCATGGTTGTCAAGACAGATGTTCGCGGTACGCTGGACGAGATGGACGACGGTCTCGCACTTGCCGTTGCACAAGAACATGAGGGTGTTGGAAAGGTTATTGCGTGCGGTGACTACATCTGGACGGCCACCTCGAGCTCATCTATCAACCGATGGCGAGATGTGGACACGGGTGCTGATATCCAGCTTCCCGAGGCCTACAGGCAACACCGAGCCTCACTTTCTACCACGATCCCACGGTCAGCATCAGCGTCTACAGTCAGTGCCCCGGCAAAGAAAGAGATACCAGCAAGATCGATACTGCGCATATCCAATACAGCTCTGTTCCCAGCTCGTGTTGCCCAGGAGTCTGAGTCTAATACGGTCAATGGCGTGGCGATGAGTCGAAAGGGGTCAGATATCGGCATCGATCAAGCCCCCAACGTCATTGAGCCAATTCTCGATCTCCCAGAGGAGACAATTGAGGGTCAGTTCGGCCTGGTCAAGCATCGCTTGTTAAACGATAGACGGAGGGTGCTCACATTGGATACTGCCGGAGATGTGCTCCTATGGGATCTGATACAGGTAAGCACCACCACTGCATCCTCTGAAGCTAGGCAATCTCTGACATGAAATTTCTAGTGCAAACCGATTCAGAGTTTTGGCAAGAAGCATCTGGAAGATATCGAGCCACATGTGAACACGCTAGAAGCGGTCGCCCCATGGTGTTCTATCGATACTAGCTCAGGTAACCTTACCGTTGTGCTCGAGCCTTACAACTGCTTCGATGCCGAGATGTATGCGGACGAGCTCTCGTTAGACGAACCCGTTGATTTTAGAGACGATCAAAGGAGTAGGCTCCCTCACCCCTGACCGAGCGTATGGTTTTACTGACTTCAATGAAGTAAATCTTGGAAAGTGGATCTTGCGTTATCTTTTCTCAAAGCTCATAGACGAAGAAATCAAGCGCGATGAAGCACATCGCCTGAAACTTAATGACGCAGTAGAGAAGCGCATTGCGGCTGCTCAAGCAAACCCTCCAATGTCTATATCGCTACCAAGCCCTGCAACCAATTGGGAGAGCGCGACAGAGTCTCCGGTGACTACACCAAGGGCCAATGGGTCGCAGTACCCTCCGCCTACTCCAGGAATTGGTATCGGCCTCGCCACGCCCGGGCTCCCTGGCGTCAAGGAAGAGGGCACGAGCCCAATGAGCCCGCTGGACAAACGGCTGTCCCATGTCAGTCGTCCATCAGTGGACAAGGACGACTACTTCTCCAACGCCATTGGATCCGTAGAGAGCGCCAAGCCTGCGACTACACCAGCAACTGAACAACCTCCATCGGACGCGAAGACTTCTACCGAAAATGGAAAGGAGAAAGAAAAAGAAAAAGAGAAGGAGAAGGGCGACAATGGAAAGTCTCAAGCTACACCATTCGGCAAGAAGTTCCGTATGGGCATGTCCTTTGGCAGCAAGAAACTCGGTCGCTCCGCATCAACAACTGCTCCTGAGAAGCCGGCGGTCGTTGATGAGAGAGCAGAGGAGTCTGAATCTTCTTCTAACCACGAGAAAGAATTCGACGACAGCTTCCTCGGTGTTGTGCAGAAGATCCAGAACGAGTATGAGAAGCAGCTGACCGAAACCCCTGAAAAGTTCGTCGAGACACGCATCGCGCCCAGCTTAGCGAACGATACGCCGGTGCTCAAGCTGCCTTCTGGTACAAAGGTCATTATCCAAGAGGAGACGTCCGGTGGAAGCGCCGAGCTGTACAGGGGCACCGTGGAGACCGTTGGAGCAGATGCCGATACTATCGAGCAATGTGCACCAATGTGGCTTGGCGAGGTGCTTCTCTTGAACGCCATTCCGCAGAAGGATCCTATCAAGGTTTCTTTCGTTTTGCACCCGTGGCAAGACTCACTGCCGAGTATAGCAACAGCTGACGGTAACAACCGGCTAAACGCCAATCGGATGCTGAGAGTCAAGAAGATCCTAGCGTACGTCGCCGAGAGAATTGATCCGCCTGCGGACCCCGAGAATCCGGACCCGGATGCCTTACGGCCAGAGGAGTATCTCGAGCTGTACTGTAACGATCAGGTGAGTCATGTTGCCATGTCGAGTCCGTCATCTCCCCACACGCTGACATACTTCCAGCTCTTGCCGATTTCGATGAGTCTGGCCACCCTTCGTGCACATATTTGGAAGGGCGGCAATGATATTGTGTTGTACTATAAAGCCAACGGCAAGAAGGAGATACCATTCCCACCGCCACCTGCCCCGGAGCCAGAACCAGAGCCGGCGGAGACAGAGGCCCCTGGCATCCCTCCGCAACCTACCGCGGTGGCTGCATGAGCATGAAACAAGCATGAGAGGAGCCTTTGATATATTGTTGTGTCTTTCTGCTGTCTATAGGGTATTGTGCGACGTACATTGTGATGTACGTACCAAAAGTTCTTCCCACTACCAGGGAGTAATTTTGATGGGAGTTCATATAATACAGACCTTGTACATGAACTTGGATGCCCCTTAATCCTAGTGCATCCCGTCTATGCCTCGTGATATTTTACACATTATGTGACGATCGATCCTGTCCTTCCCAGGTCATATTCGGCCGCCTCCTTGTAAGGTATTGATAGCCCACTGGTAACTGCCCAAGAATATGGCACCTCCAGCGCTGATCCACATGACACGCGGTCCTATGCCTGCAAAGAATGGCCTGACGCCATGTTCCCTGAGTATGCTCGTGACAACAGTCAGTACTCTCTCGCGCCGCGCACTCAGCATCACCCTCGTCTTCAACACATCCAATGGCGTCGTGATGCCCGCCGCCACGGCACCCGCCGCGCTGCCGTAGAGCCCGCTCTCGAGCGCGCCGATCTCCTGGCCGCGCCGCCTGTCGAGGTGCTGCCGGCGGCGGCCCCACGCCTTCATGGCCTCCCACAGCGGGAACTGGATGACGGTGAAGGGCACCTCGCGCATCACGGTGATGCCCCACCCGCGGTACAGCTCCCGCCACACGCCGGCCAGCCCCCCGCCGCCGCCGCCGCCGCCGCTGCGGTGCTGGTGCTGCGCCAGGATGTGCGCCAGCGAGGCGAGCGACGACCCGCCGTGCTGGCCCGCCTGCGCGCGCTGCTTGACCACCTCGGTGGGCACGCGCACCGCGCACGCGGCGATCTCGCCCAGGGACGCGGCGAGCATGTGCTCGAGGGGCCGCGACGCCTCCGCCTCCGCCGCCGCCTCCTCCTCCCGGCCCCCTGCTGCGGACCTTCCGACGGCTGCGGCGGCGGCCGGGTCGAGCGCGAC